AATATCTGGCTGTACAAGTACTTGACGGAGGCGCTGTTCAGGGAGAAACGACGATCCGGGGATCCGCTTGTTCACCAGTGGAGCAAGAAGAGCTTGCCTGACACGTTTGACTTTGAGAGGTCTTAGGGGTGTGGTGTTGGCTTCGATGTAGATATTTTAGCGTCGCTTTTGAGAAATGTTAATGTGTCATACCTGTCCAGAATAGCATGTTTCTGTATCGTGTACGAATGCAATAACTCTCCCTCTGGGTCATAACACCGGTCAGTACCTGGTGAGAGAAGCAGGTCGTCATCTTCTCGTCGAACAGAGATGTGTTACCGATCAGGAAGAGTCAAGACGGAAAACCAGCTTTTAGGAGTTCTGCTCGATCTCAATCGCAACAAATGCAGAAAATCGCATTATGATCTGTCGTAGAATTAGAGTGTCTTTGTGCCACTTTTTAAACTACCTTACTTACGTGATGGTGAGCGGCGCTATGTGCGGGATTGAAAGTGCAAAGTTAAAGGGTGAGTATTAGTAGTCTAGAAACACGCAGAGAACTGCTCTCGGAAGGTTTCACTTGCATATTATCTGATCTAGGAGATGCAATTCTTGGATTCTCTGATGGCATGTCAGCACAGATCTACTCCTGCGTCCAATGCTCTTTAAGAGCAACTTTGTCCTGGCGGATCGAGCCTCAGTCTCGTTCGCCCAAGACCACATCGACTTTACCTCTCGTCGTTATTTTATAGGAACTCCACAAGTATCTTCTAGACTTTGGCCACGAGAACTGGTGAGTCTTGACGGATTGTCAATTCGCAAATAGATCTTGCGTGCTGTCTGTCAGGTCACGAATCAGATGTAATTTTATCATGGTATTCAAGAGGCCAAGATACGTGCGACCATCAGCCCCTTGAGCCTGTGACGATAGCAATAGAGTTCTTCAAGAGAGGACTTATCCCTGATTAAAAGCAGAGTCGAACTGGGCGGAAGTGAGAATAGACCCAGAGGGAGACATTCTCAAAGCCCCGCAAGGTGAGTGACCACAACAGCCCCACCTTTGCACTCACCTCGGCGCTGCCACGGAGCGCTCGGTGAGGCCAAATCGCGGCTCGGAAAAACACCAACCTCCAGCTACCTTCCTCCTCCAGAGCCCGCCTTCACTTTTCATCATCCACCACCCCAAACCGCCCCGACCCGCGATCGCGACAAGCTACTCCCGACCCCCCTCCACCCATCCATCTCGACCTAAACACCCACGACAGCTCGACCTCGATTCCTCCAAACAACCGCAATCATGACCTCCACAATTGGCATCCCCATCAAGCTCCTCAACGAGGCACAGGTACTTTCTTCTGGCCCCCACAGGAAGTATTTAAGCTAACCATGCGCGCGCAGGGCCACATCGTCACCCTCGAAATCACATCAGGCCAAACTTACCGCGGCAAGCTCCTCGAAGGTACGCTACCTTCCTCCCTCCCTGTCCCTTTGTCCCTAATCTGGTCATAACAACCCGCTGACATTCACCTCTCCCCCCAACAGCCGAAGACAACATGAACGTCCAACTCAAAGACATCACCGTCACCGCCCGCGATGGCCGCGTCTCCCACCTCGACCAGGTCTACATCCGCGGCTCCCACGTCCGCTTCTTCATCGTCCCGGACATGCTGCGCAACGCGCCCATGTTCCGCTCCCGCAACGTCCGCGGCCGCGGTGTCGGTATGGCGCGCGGTCGCGCGACTGTGAGCAGGGCGAGGGCCAGCGGGCGCGGAGGACGCTAGGATCTTACGCCGCAGCATTCGCAGCATGCCTCTTCGACTCGGTCTTGAAAAGAAAAGAAAAGAAAATACTCGATTGTTATTGCAAGAGGGAGAGAGAGAGAGAGGGCGAACAAAGGGGGGGAGCGACAGCGTATTGCTTCGATACGAGACATCAGCGCGCATTTCCTTCACGATGGAAACCACCGAACCTGCCCATAACAAGTCGTTTAAGAGTGGAAGGAAAGGAGAAGGACGGGGGCCGACTTTCGGGTTTTTTGCGTGAATGGAAACCCCAGAGCTTCAAAATGTGGCTCTTTCGGAAAAGAAGAAAAGTTTCCTGGCGTTTTACGGTGGTTTTTGAGAGTTTGATAGGGAATGGTTCAACGTTCCATAGGTGGATACCAGTCGAGGGGGAACCGGGAAACCACAAAAATCAGCGCGAGGCATGATACTGCCGATGACTGTGCCACGGGACCACAAGTTTCCCCCGAGCAAGTACGGGCGATCTGAGGATGTCACTGGCCAAGCAGCATGTGGGAAATGGCGGTCGCTAGGGTAGGCCTTAACTCTTTCTATCTAAATGAGCCAGCCGTCAACCACCCTCAGCTGACACATAAAGTTAGGCGTCGAAGCCAAGATACCGCAGCAATAGAATGCTAATGCCCTCCCGGCGCCTCAAACAAATCTCTCCTGCTTGTTCCTCTTGTCTCTTGTGGTATCGGGGATTTCGTGCGTGTATGTCTATCATGGACATTTCTCATACATTATACAGATGATGATACAAACCCGTGACACGCAAATCCTCGTTCTTGCTCTCCTCACCTCACTTCAACCGCTTCAGCGCATCCTCGGCCTTCCCAACAAGCTCCTTGGCCCTACGGAGCTCCTCCGCGCCCTCAACAACAGCACCCTCCCTCGACCCATCAAGCGTATCCGCAACACTCTGCTCCACACCCCGCACAGCCTTGCGCCCTTCCTCACGCACCTCGCCCTCCCAGTACGTCCGCGCCATCTCCCACTTGGTCTGCAACCTGCGCAGGCTCCACATCACGCCCAGCGCCGCCACGGCGCCAGCCTCGTAGACGGAGGAAGCGTACTGCGACACGTACAGCAGACCCGCCAGCGCCGTCGTCAGGGCCGAGGTGCTCGAGGCCTGGAGGACGAGCTTCTGCGCGAGGGCCTGGAGGGAGGGAACGGTTTCCTCGTGGAGGTAGCGACGCGTGAAGGCGATGTGCGTAGGCCATTTGGGCTTCTGCGTCACGGCTTTGGCGACGGTGCTGCTTTCGGGCAGGGATTTCTGGAGTTCGGACGTCGGCTGGGCGTAGACGGGCGGTTCGGTGGTGGTTGAAGCGACGCCCGACTCGGCGATGCGGCCGGCTAGGTAGACGAGTTCCCTCTCTGCGCCGGGGAGGAATCGCTGGCTGAGCATATCTGTCGTGAGAACGCCTACGTCGTCCACCCTCCAGAAGAGCTTCCACCAGCCCAGCTTGCGCCACCTCGTGCCCGCGAAAGCGAGGTCGAGCTGCTGCTGGAGTTCCTCGTGCGCGAACTGGGACCACTGCGCCAGTCTCTCGTTCATGACGGTCAGTCCGGATGACGCAGCTTCCGCGGTCAGTCGTCCTGAAAGCAAGCGCGATTCCTCGGCTTCAATCTCTGCGAGGGCGTTGCGGAGGAGTGAGGCGACGAGGAGACGGACTGCTGGCTTGGTAGCCTGGCTTTCATCCGTCTGCACGCCTGTCTTGAGCCATTGAACAAGGACAGGCACATTACTCTTGTACCATGACCTCTCGTACTCCATAGCGTTTCCAATGTTCTGGCGAATGAGATCAAGGCCCTTGCTGCCCACCGACACATCAATCGGCTGGAACGTGACTCCCGCCTCCTTTTCCACAGGATACTCTGGCAAGTTGACGGCCCCAAACACGGTATCGCGGTACTCCGCCAACGGCAGAGCCGCAACAGAAGCAGCCCCCATGACACCACCAGAAACAACCAAAGCCTTGTGCACCGGCGTCGTAATAGGCGTGTACCGCCCCGTGTTGGACGGGATATCCACCGTCGGCACAAGAACAGCCTCCTCGACATCCTGCACCGCCGTCTCGCCCGGTCCCGGCACGGGGCTAAAGGGGTTCACCTCCATCAGCAAAAGCTCAATCCCGTGTCCATTCAGCGCAGGCGACGACACGTCGAGCTCGTGCAGCAGATTCGTCTTTGATATCGTCACCCGCGGCCCGGCCTCCGCCGCATTATGCTCCTGTCCGATGCGCACTACGAGCGGGTGCGACGGGTCATGCTGCGCCAGCTCCCTTTCCCACTCTGCCTCGTCGCCCAAGGGATCCGCGAGGAGCAGTCGGAGAAGGTCCTTTGCCGCCTTGCCCTGTTCCGCGCCGCCGGTGGCGAGGGAGAGGATTGTGACGCGGATCGATTCCTGACCAGGTTCTTGTCGCAGGCCCTGGAGCGCGAGCTGTAGACGGGAGAGGTTGACGTGGTTTACGGCGTGTTTTTGGAGCTTTAGGAGGGTGTCGATGAGTTCGGCCCTCGGGTTCTCGGGCGCGGTGGTCTCTGCTGCTGGTGATGGTGACGGTGATGGTGCTGTCGATTCGGTGGATTGGAAGCGGTGTTGCTTCAATGCCTTTCTCGTTTGGATTCGGTTGTTGGTGGTTGCATTCGTCGTTGTCGTCGTCGGTCGCGAGGGAGTGGAAAGCGAGCAGAACAGGCATACTGCGCGCGAAGGGGCAGCAGCATTTTGCTTTGCCGCTGCCAGGGAAGAGGCGGCGCGGCCTGCGATTGGCCTCAGTGGGAGTCGCGGAGGCATCGTGTAGGAACCACAATGGAGAAGAAGGGAGTTCGCGTCCCCGTTCCCTTGCTTTCCTAGGTACGCAGAAAGTATGAGAAAAAGCGACTGTCGAGAATTGGATTGGTGGTTGGATGATGTCGGCCGGGGAGACGGGTGGACAGAGCTCCCAAAAAATGCTCGGTGAACCCGACCCAAGCTTCGATCCATGTGCCACCCGTCGGGGTAAACTTCGGAGAACCACTTGGACAGGGAAGTTTCCCCCCCACCCCCGCCAATCTGCCATCACTATGACCACCATTACCCGGAGATCCATCCCGTCCACGTCCATCTCTTGTGTAAGTCACCGGAGACACCAGCCCGCTAGATCATAATCCCCGACCTTCTCAGCCATCGTCCACAAACCTCGCATCTCTACCTCTCCATCCTCAACTCCCCGCGACTCCAACCGGGCCACCATCGCCGCCATGGCCCAATCCACCGCCCACCGCCGCCTGCTCCAAGAGTACCGCGCCTTGACAAATAATCCCCCAGAAGGCATCACCGCCGGCCCCGTCTCCGAAGACGACCTCCTCCACTGGGAAGCCCTGATCCAAGGACCCGAAGGAACCCCTTTCGAAGGCGGTGTCTTCCCCGCCGAGCTCAAGTTCCCCAAGGACTATCCTCTTGCCCCGCCGACCATGAAGTTCCTCGTCGACATGTGGCATCCGAATAGTACAGTCTCCTCCTGCTCCTCTTCTTTCCCCGTGATATCACCTCGCAGACACCTCGTAGAGAGTACAAACGCATTGCTGACAAAAAATCACCAGTCTACCCAAGCGGCCTAGTCTGCATCTCCATCCTCCACCCGCCCGGCGACGACCCAAACCACTACGAACACGCCTCGGAGCGCTGGTCCCCGATCCAGTCGGTCGAAAAGATCCTCATCTCCGTCATGAGCATGCTCGCCGAGCCAAACGACGAGAGCCCCGCCAACGTCGAGGCCGCGAAAATGTGGCGCGAGCGGAGGACAGAGTACGAGCAAAAGGTCCGTGACGGCGTCCGGCGATCGCTCGGCCTGTAAGCCTATGCTGGTCTTCTGAGATGTATCCAGAGAAAAGATACAGACGATAGAGCGGATGGTAGTTGCGGACTACGGAGAGAGCGAGACCGCCGTTCTATAAACGATCAGTGTACGCAGACGTAAAGTTGGCGGTCAACACTACAAGCATAGCACGGCGTTTGGGGAATCAATCAAATATGGCTTCAAATATTCACTTCCATCATAAATGCTTGCTTGCGTTCGGGACGAATGCCTTTAGCTTTCCTGCTCGTCCTTGCAGAACCGAATCTGCTCACTCACGCGTCTAAAACCCCCTCATCCATGCTACCCTCTAATTACAATCCATTCTCGGACTTGAACTTATCCCAACTCTCATTCAACGTCGCAAAGACCGTAGCGGCAATAAGCCTCACTTCCGTGCTAGCGTCTTGAGGAAGCTACACATCGTTAGCACGATTCCATAATCACCAACCAAAAGTGACGTACCTTGTCGGGATGACACTTGGCAATGGCCTTCATGTAGTGAATCTTCACCTTGTTGGCCATAACAAGCTCGTGCAGCCCAACCTTCTTCCACCCGCTGTTTTCCCAGAGCACCGAGTCCAAGCTACCAATGAGAGCGCGCAGGTTATCCCTTTTTCCGTCCCTCCACGCCGCAATCTTAGCGTCAACCTTCTCCGACAGCGCAAACTTCTCGTCGTCTTCTTGCGCCGCTGCCTGGTTCTGCTTCCGCAAGCGCTCGACGGCCTCCATGTTCTTGGCAGAAGCCGCGACAGGGCGAGACCGAGCAGGAGTAGCAGCGGCGGGTCGAGGCTTGGGCTTGGGCTTGGGAGCCAGGGCAGACTGGCATCTTTGTCGGCCAGAGATAGCAGTAGGGCCGCCGACGCCGTTCTTCACGCAGGTTGACCAGACGGCGTGGGCATCGCCCCATCGCTCCATCTGCTCGAGGGCCTCGGCCTTGCGGCTCAATGCCTTGCCGTACAGGTCTCGCATGTCGCGGCTTTCCTGGCCGCCGGTGTCACCTACAACAACAGACACTTGCTCGCCTTGGCCACCAGCAGGACCAATAATCTTCAGTGCGGCATCGGCATCCTCAACCGCCCGCTTGGGCTCACCGTTCTTCAACGATGTCAGTGCCCGGTTTGTAAGAATGACAATTGCGAGGGGATGCGAAGATGGCACAGCAGAGAGGGATGACGTGTAAGATGAGTGAGCTGCGCCGTAATCTCCACGCTTGAAATGGGCAGTTCCATCGAGACGATGTTTCGTTGACTGTTGTATCGCCGCAGGTGTAATAGGCGGGACTTGACGAGTCAGTCGAGGGGCAGGCTTAGGAGAAGGAGGTCTAGCAGGTCGTGCAGCTTGGGCGGGCTGTGCGGGTCGTGATGGCTGCGATGACTGAGCCGGGCGCTGAGGGAGGGATTGCGAGGGTTTGGGTGCTTGGGAACCAAGAAGCAGATCCGGCTCCTCCTGCTGAGGCGGAGGTGCTTCTGGCTGAGGTGTAGCCTTCTTCCTCCTGGCAGGGCTGAAATACGAGGCCGCGCTGTCGTCTGCCATGGCCAGCTTGCTTGCACGAGTTCTTGAATCCGGCACTGCTGGGCCGCTCTGTTGTTGCCATCTCGGGACCGGGGTGCCTCTTCCGCTTGACGGGGCCGACACCGCAGGAGATTGGTCTCTAGGGGATGCTGTCCGACGAGGCGCCTCTGGTCTCGGCGACTGCGATGACTGTCCGGTTCTCCTTTGTGGTCGACCGCCAGACTCTAGCATCATGGCCTCGTTTGTAGCCTCGGCCACCCGCCTCTCAGGCTGCGCACGATCTGCCTGCGCTACCGAACGCATCCATTTTGGCTGGCTAGGGTCTCCCTCGGGTTGGTTGAAGTCTGCCACTGCGGCCGCAACCTGCTTCTTGCTAGTCTTCCACAAAGAGTTGGCTGTCTTGAAAATGCTATTCCCCATAGCCGCAGCAGTCTTTGAGAAGTCAGCTTCACCGGCAGGAGACCTAGTATCGGCCCGCCTTTGACTGTCGTGTCTGCCACTATCCTCCCGGCCCCTTCTTGAAGCCGCTGCCGGGTCCTTTCCTTGGGCCTTTGCCTTGGCTTGTCGGTGCGCATCGTCCAAAAGCCAGTTGGCCGCTGCTTGCACATTCAACCCCGCACCACTCTCTGTCAACCCCCTCCGAGCGTTTTCAGGGGTAAAGCCATAATCGACGAGCTGCGCGACGGCATTGTCAAATTCGGCCATTTCGCCCCTGGGAGCTGGCTGCTGTTCATCATCTGAGCTGGAGTCGGATGCCTCAATCGGCTTTCCGGGCTCAGGCCCCTTGGGCTGCGGGGTGGGTTGCTTGCGCCGAACCTCTTCAACCGGGCGGGCTAGGTCGCCGAGGAAGTCGTCGTCGTCGTCGTTCATCGGCTGGGGTGCGGGATACACAGCTTTGGGCTTTAGCTGATTCAGACCAAACGGATCGTCGTCGTCTCCAAAGCCGCCATTGGCAGGGGGAGGTGCCTGACTCCATGCGCTTGGGTTGCTGAGGTCCAAGCCTGGGGCAATCGCAGGCGAGGGGCTCTTCTGAGGAGGCGGAGGATAGTGGCTGGCATTGTCGACCTTGGTCTCAGAGTTGAACGCCGCAAAGAGGTCGTCATCGTCACTGGCCTTCTTGCCCGTAGAAGAGCCAGGGGACAGTATGCCAGGGGACGTCGTCCTCGACACGGAGCCTGATCCGAGTGTATCCAAGAAACCACCACCAAATTGCGCCTGCGCTTGTTTCCGTCTCTCCTCTTCCTTCTTCCTCTTCTCCGCCTCGAGCTTCTGTTGCTGTTCTAGCAAGGTGAGTTTTGACGTCGGTTTGGCAGGCCCGGCACCACCAAAGTTCATCAGGTTGCTGAAACTGTCAGCGGGTGGCTTCGCGGGCGGAGGCTTCGCAGCGACGGCTCCAGATCCCTGTGCAGACAGAGGCGTGTTGCGACCGGAGGGGAACGGTGATGGCGTCGAGTTGGCCGGTCGCATGGAGCCGAAGTAGTTGGCACCCGAGGGGTTCATCGGCGGCGGCTTGTTGTTCGTCGAGTTGGTCGTCGACGACCAGTTTAATCCTGAGAGATCATCCATCTTTGAAACTTCGTGATGGTCAAGGTGTACACTTCATTTCATGAGCTTCGTGAGATCGTGAGGGCATCGAATGTGGCTCAATGCATCGTTTTCGGTTGCTTGTTGACTTTCGACTGTCACTTGTTCCTGCATCGGGCTTCGTTGATTGCGTGCGGTGTCGTGTGCACGTAAGGTGGCATGTGGGACACGTGTGGCTGAAGCTGTGATCGATGTGGCTGGTGGCTGTCTCACTGGAAAGACCGCGCCACACGAGGCACCTGCCACACTTCTTCGGTGATGTGCCTCATCGGCGTTAAGCACGACTGCCGAAGGCGAAAATAGGGGTAAACAATTGTGCCGCGTTTGGGATGATCGCTGCTGTCACTTTGAGATTGTGGCATGAACCCATTTGCTGATACCCACGACCATTTCGATGAGCTCCCAGGCCTTATCCGTCGCGGGGATGCCTCTGCGGCGTGCGCAGACCAAAGTCACAAGCTCTGGCTGCATGAATTGGACTCTCCATAGCTTCGGAGCCCAAGCCACATCGAACACTGCGCCGAATTCCAACTGCTGGCGAATTCCAGCAAGCAATTGTTTGCACATTCCAACTCAAACTCCACATACTCATCGCACAAAGGGGCAAAGCTCAGCTGGCGAGTAAGGCCGACTCACATCTCGGCATTCTCTATCCGCGATGCTGTTTTCTGGGAAGCATCTCCCAACCCCAGAGGACCAGTCAGCAGTAGCAAGTCTTGAAAGTCTACCTCTACTAGGCTACTAGCACTGAGCAGGTCTACGAGTAGCAAAAATGCTCCATCGACTGCCGCGATATTCGCTGAGAAACGGGCCTCGAGGTCGGAACAACCCCATTGACAAGTACGTCATGACTCCTAGGATTGACAGAGAGGGTCAAGGGATAGAAGCCCATCTCAATCACTTCGAAACCCCCGGCTGACGGGTCTGCTACCGCGGTTTGTTCGGCAGAGTGAGTCCCGCTCAATTCTGGGTCTCTGGTAGGATTCAGGTCCCTGAGATTTGTGCCCCTGATTGTTCGGAAGGAAATCACTGTCTTACGTGTCGTCGATTTGCTCGTGGCTCCATCCCATTGTATCTTGAGGGGCTGGGAGCACAGTGAGTTGTGACTTGGAAGGTAGCATTCCTTCACTGGAACGAGTGATGAGAAACTTTGCGGGGTATGTATTCTCCCAGGTTCACAAGGGCAGACGTGACTTGTTGGATGATTCAGTGTTCGGCCGGAAGAGTAAACTGAGGCAAACGACGAAGACCAGAATAATGTCGCATATGGAGTGAGGTCCGCCCTAGAGGATCACATTCTATGCGTCCAAGCTCCAGGTTCCAACTTGCAAGTATCCATGAGTTGCTTGCCTACGGATATTCTCTGATCAATTCGTGGATACAACCATTGTTTCTTCGCTAAAAGAAACAAGGAGAGTAAGCTTAAGAATTGACTCTGGAAGACAGGCAGACAAATCTCTTGCGTTTGAAGGGCAGCGCAAACGTCGGAAGTTTCTGGCAGTGTGGTGCAACGCACCGCAAATCATTGGGACGACAAGCCTTTGCTGTTGGTACCTTTCTCTAGAAGTTCGGATGATTGGCGCACCGCCACCTTCAGCCAGGTACTGAAACTCGCTGCATGTGTCGCAGTCTGGGATCTTCCCTGGAGATGGTGATCAGGGGAAGAAGATCTCGAGAAGGCTGAGGTGAGCTGGGCTAGCGGTATTGTATGCGTACGGTGTGCTAGTGTATCCAGACGGTGGTGGCGTGGTAAGAACGCCGTGGACCAGAAGAGTGTCTTCCAACATCATTGCCGCAAGTCTTCTCTCGGGACCTACAGGGAGAGTGTTGGTATCCGTAGCTCCTCAGTTCGGACTACAGATACGTGGCTCTTCGACAATGTCGTCACTCTAAAATTCAGAATACGAGGATGAAGAGCTGGAGATGCCGATGAGCGCTGATTACTGGCGACTTTATTTTGGTTCGGAGCTGAGTCGCGGGGCGCTGCTCGGATTGCTGAGCGAGCCGTGTCCATGCCAATCTGAAGATCTGGCAAACTGACCCTTGCGTTGGATTATGACGATAATCTCAGACTTGACTCGTAACTGATCATCAGAATTAGCACATAATTTGCGATGGATAGAGCGTCAAGAGCCACGAACGAATGTCGCACATGGCAAGACATGCTGTTCGTATAAGCAGGCGCGCCGCGCATTGGACGAAGAACGCCAGCGCTGTTCGGGCACTTTTTCTTCTTGGAGGTTGGGATGATAGCCGTCTGGCGATCACCCGAAAACTGTCGGCCCTTGAAGCGGAAAAAGGAAGAGAAAGAATGCCAGTGTCATCGTGACATGGCTAGAATGTTTGCTTTTGCTCGTGCGATTTACGCCGGGCTTGAACAGTCACCAAGGGGGGACGACGCGCCGTCGCACGAGGGGGTGCCAAGTGGCATCCGTTGCCTCGAGTTAAATGAGACGAGCGGTTGTGTCTGTATGGATGGAGGACCGGCCAACGCTGTCGTGCGAAGGAGGGATGTTCAATCTCGTGATGGGATTGTTTTCCTTCTCGATGCCCGCTGCCAAGAAAGAAAGTGAAGGTTCAGCTAAGCGCCTGCCGTGCGAGGGCTCGTCTTGACTGCTGTGTCTGCATGTAAATTAGCACCTGCTCACTGGGCGATGTTGCGAGGCTCAGCCGCAGCTCGAGCTGTGGACACTGGGCAGCATCGGAGCGTTGTTTTTCCCGGGATGCATGTTTCGCCCTAAGAACAATCTCCTTGGATCGCCAGAATGTTCGCGGGGTTTGTTCACTTGTTCCTGGCGCACAGAGAGCATGGTGGCCGGTCATCCCAATGACAGCTGAGCCAACTCCCAAGCGGGTACAAATATCCGTACAGTAGCGAGGGTTTGTTCGGTACCAAGGCCGGATGACAAGGAGAAGAATGGCAATCTCGTGGTTTCATGATTTCTAGTATGTACCCGGCGCAAATTTGCCGCAAAAATGGGCATGATTGCTTCGTGATTGCTTCTTTCGTCTGCGCACCTGTATGCCACAATGGGGTCAGAGCCACAGAGTCTACTTCGTAGAGGTTCAGAGGTTTCTTGGGCAATTCTCCTGCCGTGGCTGCCGTGGATTGATTCCGATATCCATATTAAAGAGGGCCGACAGATTGTAGGGCGACGATGATCCGGGGTCGAGTGGCCGGTGGATGAATAAGAAGTTGAAAGAGGCAAAGGCAAAAGCGTCCGTTGCGGCGCCGGCGTGTTGTCCCCTGGTTCAAAATGAGAAGTCGCTCTCTGAGGACCAGGACGTTGACTTCCGTGACTCTTCCTCGTCGGAGCCGGCGCCTGCTGGGACTTTACTGGACTGGCGTCAATTCCATTGACCAAAAATGTCTGGAGCGGTCAGGGGGAAAGGGGGCCTCATTGGCTCTTGCATTGTTCCATGCAATTGGATCCCACCGGGGTGGAGTACGTACCCAAAGTGAGATCTCCTCCTGCCCACCTCTCTCCATCGACCCCGTTCCTGCCTTTTCCCCAAGTACCTTTCAAAAGGGGGTAAGAGGAACGCACAACCAACGGCTCAAGTGCTCAAGTACCTTCCCATGTACCTTCCCATGTAAGGTATGTACTCCGTACTGCGAGGTTTACTCCTCCCATTGTGCGCTGGTATGGGAGTTGCAACTTGCAAGACCAGGTGAAGCAATGGAAAGAACGGAGTGCCGGGAGTGATAGCCAGTCAGAGTTGGCGTGTTCGTCCCTCCTTCTCAAGTAAGGCAGGTTTCGTTTTCTTCCTCCTTTCCTCCCCCCACATCGGGACAGGAGCATCCCGTTACACAGTGCCATTGGTTGCAGATCCTCGGACGAAAGAAAGAAGGGGCCTCTGGAGATTCGTACGCCTTTCCTCTTGGCTTGACATTTTCTTCTCGTCCATCTGAAAGACTCCAATTCATCGTCCCCATTTCTTACTCCATACGACCACTCGGCTTCGGATCCATCTGTGATCATCTTCAATGCGGATATTTGGTTGCTTCTTTCGGTCGTTACTCAGGTGGCCCCCAGTTTGACAATGCCCAGCACGGTGGCTGCCGTTGTGGATGCAACAGCCGGTACCTGCATATCGCGTTTGTCAATCTGGAGCCATTCGCGGCATTTCCATCATTAGTCGTCCGTACGGTACATGCACTGATAATCAGTAGTGTAATTCTGCAGACTGCGCCGGTACGCCCCGAGCTATCGCATCACACCGTCCTTCACATCTCCCGCCAAACCGTTGGTGCTAAATGCTTGGTGCCATGCACGGCGCAACGATGCAGCCGTAACCCGAATGTGGACTGGCCAAACAGCTTATAATGTGGTGGCATCACAAGAACCCTCCATTTTGGCCGGCTCGTAAGGCCAGCGATACATATGTGAAGCAGCCACAAGTTCACAACAGCAGCGTCTGACCAGCTTCCGCCGCCAGCACCGGCTGCCCGACACATCGAAATGCATCGCAGCGGCGCATCGCACGGCGCAGCATGATCAGCAACCCATCCGCGCTTCGTCATTGACCCTTTCCCGTTGGGTCCCGTTAGGTCTCTTACAGTCACAACTCATCTCGTCCCATACCCAGCAGCCCAATACCATCTCGCAGACTCGCACTGGCATTGCCGGCTGCCCTCGCACAAAGTCTAACCCGGTGCTGCAATGGTCAATTTGCAATGTCCGTACCAATATGGGTCGTTCCCCTCTTCTGCGATGGATCCAAGCCTGTCGCTTCGCCTCTCGGTTCTGGTCATTGCTTCATGCTTCTTTTGCGCTATAGTCTATCATCGTATAGACTATAGAGTCGAGTATAAGGGATGTTGCCTTTTCGCCTCTCGCTCCTAGTATACCCTCGACTCCTGCATCCGTCGTCGTCTGGAGTAGGCGTGGTGTTTGGCTCCATGGGGTCAAGCACCAAGCGTTGGATGATATGCAAAGGGGGCAAGGCCGCGAGGGGCCAAGCGGCAAGCGGCAAGCCCTCAAGTACCTTTTGGTGCGGTGGCCAAACGTCGAGGGGTACAAGCCACCTCCCACACCAGCGGTACATTTGCCATGTACCCAGCCTGCCCCCGTCACACAGCCAGCAGGATCCTGGTCGCGTCGCGCTGGCCCGGCCCCTTGAAGCAGTACCTTAATCTATTCCAACCCACATCCAGAGCGATCCCGACCACACTGTTTGCCCGACCACTGCCCTGGGGCATAACGCCGTTCCATGCTGGAAGGATTGGGGGAAACATGCACAGTAGTCAACGCCAGAGCCCTGGTTCAATCGCTCAGTGGTTGCGTCGCAGTGGCTGCACCTCGGAGACAGGAGGCGGCTGTCGTCCGCTGTCACTAACACAATCTCGAGCCAAGAAGGAGAGTTTCAAGAGACCCCTCAATCAGAGGCCAGAGAAGCAACGACGCTTGCCCGTCAGAAGCCAGTCATGAGGCCCACGACTCCCTTTGTAGCGGCAGTCAGTGCCCTCGTCTGGTCTGAGCATTTGAGCATTGAAGCAATGAACAGATGAATAGCAGGGAACACTAGACGAACACTTATCACTGACACTGGTAACTGGCAGCGTTGCTAAACCCCAGACCCCTGATAGTGAGGGCGAGAGAAAGACGCATATTCTCATTGAGAACGGGAAGAGAAAGCGCCATTTCTTCTCGTGACCCCATGCTCCCATTTCCTTTGCCTTTCCTTGGCCATCCTCGTCGTAAGGTATTAGAACCAAACCAAACGCGGCCAAGAGCGAGGAGAGAACAACAACTTTGAGCAAGCGCTCCTTCTCATCTCATCTCATCTGTGAGAAGTCACTGCCCGGCCGACGAGTGCCCGCCTCCCCTGTTCGTTTGCTCGTTCCCCCCGGTGGCCAAGAATGGGGATCAATGGAGATGGGAGCCATGGCATGGTGGTGCCTGCTTTCCGAAGTAACTTACGCAGTAGCAACTAGCGTCCGAGTGAGAGCGCAAGAGGAAGAACAAGGTGAAGGGGGAGTGGAAGAAGATGCCGTAAACTGCACAGCAAAATGGGCTCCAGGAGTTCCAGCAACCTCGTTCGGCATCCCATCCCTCGATCCCTGTCTTGCGCCCCCCGTTCATCCTTCCCACCCCCCCTTGAGAGTTCCCGCCTTGCATCCCACCACCAGAAATGCCATATCCTTTAGCCATGTCTCTCACTCCACCTGCCCACCCGTTTCCTTCTCTTTAGATGCCCTTTTTCTGCATCACCTTCATTCCAGTGTTCACCTCTCTTGTCCCCTCATTTCTCTCCCCCTCCTTTCGTCACCTACACGGGGTCTTTCGACTGTCACTCTCTCAACCCACGCTCTCTGTCAACGCTCGCTCGCTCGCACTTGTGGCCTCGCCCTTCTCTGGACGTCGCACTCAGCCATTCCTTTTTCTGTTTTTAAAACCTGAACAAAAAAAATCCCAAGCTGGCGGATTCCGCTCCTTTTCTTGGCTTTCCTGCTACTTGTAGTCAGGACTTACCAGCACATTCATTTCTCTCGGATCCCGTTTGGTGTGTGTGTTGATCGCATTCGTTTCTCGACTCGAACTTTTTGGGCAACCTGTAGGAGGATCGACAAGACAAAAAGCCGAATTCGCCATCTTCTGGTATCATCGTAACGGTTTTCCAACCTCCCGCTTCCTCGCACTTCGTGTCCGGCATCAAGACCATCCGACTAGCGTCTTTACGACATCGTCTTACACCACGTATCGCCTCACAACACCGTCGCATATCAACCTTTCGGCGCCAACACGAATAGATCATTCAACTCGTCGTGGCGGGAACGTACTCTGTGACTGTAGACTCACAGACTCTGCAGTCATCGACTCGCGCATCTCTCTAAGCCGTCAAAACGCATTTACTCAACACATTCCGAATTTGGACTCTGCCGGTGGTGCTGGACATCGACGACGGAATCTCGTAGGACCTCTGTGTTGTTACAACCCCGAAGCAGCATTGCCAAGAATCAAATCCGAATTCTCGTAGATATTGCCGAGCCAGGTCGAAAATCATCGCCAACTCTCTCACCGAGCCACCAAGAAAACCTCCACCGTTGAAATCCATCACGTGTCTAGGAAATCCCCAGCCACTGGAAAGCGCAAAAAACGACGGAAGAAAATCATCTGGAAGGATCAAACATTTTTTGCGACATTCCAAGCAGATCGCAGGACCCTTTTTTGTCTCTGCCATCTGACCCTGATTCCATCGTTGAAGAGTCCAAAAGTAGAAGTCACAGGTGAGTCGGGTCGCACCTGCTCCTTCCCTCCTTCCTTCCATCACCACCTTCACCGACAACCCAATCAGTGCCCCGCTTAACCCATCGCACCTGCCCTTCACTTTCTGTTGCTTCCTGCCTTTGCACCTTCCTCGGTGAATAGCGGCCGGGTCTTCATATCACGCGTCGCATTTCCTTCTCTGCCCGAGAAACTTCCTCACCACAACACACCACACACACTACACCTCGACGGAAAAACTCACAAATATCGTTTGCACAAAGCTGACCTTCTCAAAGATCTCTCATTCTCCAGCCTTCATTCAAGAATCCAACTGGGCTTGGAATTTCTTCAGATCTTTCTCAAGACCAGCAAACGGACTTGTCTTTCAGTCGAATTTTCATACTTTGATACCCACTCAACCTTTGTATCACCTTACCTCATCTCACCATTCACTACTCATCACACCCATCTCCCTCTCGACAATATTCATCAACCGTCACGATGAAGTTGTCCAACACCCAGGCCCTGGCTCTTGTCAGTGCTCTCATCACCAGTGCTGAGGCCTTCTGGCGCATGGAGTGCCCTGGCCGCGTTGGCCTTACCCGTGTCGACCCTCTCATGTCCTTTGGAGTGGCCGCTCCTCACGTTCACGCTATTCACGGTTCTGGCGGTAAGTTTGAATCCTTCTGAGATCGCAAGCACAACGTGCCTTGCTATCCTCGCGGCATCACCATTTTTTTTTTTGAACAGCTAGCTAATTTAAAATTCAGGCATCTCTCCTACCGCCGACTTTGGCGACCTTACCGCCAGCGACTGCACCTCCTGCCGTGTCAAGCAGGACAAGTCGGCCTACTGGCACCCTGCCCTGTACTTCCAGGACTCTGCCACTGGAGAGTTCGAGCTTGTTGATCAGGTTGGCGGAATGCTTGCGTAAGTCTCATGGCTCATAAAGCACCACATGAAGCATTCGATTCTGACCGTACCAGGTACTACCTTCTTAATGGAAAGGATATCAAGGCATTCCCCCCCGGCTTCCGCATGATTGCTGGCGACACCTATCGCCGCAACTACACTGCTGGAGACCCTTCCAAGCCCGACCCCCAGAAGTCCGAGTGGGCTATTCTTGGTCAGACCGACCAGTCTGTCCTTCGTCAGCGTGCCATTGGCTTCAACTGCCTCAATTACGCCCGTGCCCCCGAGGGCACCCTCTACCGCCACTTCCTTCCCGACAAGGCTTATCTCGATGCCAACTGCGCTAATGGCGTTCGGTTTGAGATGATGTTCCCTTCGTGCTGGAACGGAAAGGACGTCGACTCCACTGATCACAAGTCTCACATGGCTTACCCCGACCTCGTCATTGATGGTACCTGCCCCGATGGATTCGAGACCTCGACTCCCAACCTTCTGTACGAGATCATCTGGAACACCTATGCCTTCAAGGACCGCTCTGGCCGCTTCGTCGTTGCCAACGGTGACACCCAGGGATATGGATACCACGCCGACTTCATTTCCGGTTGGGATGAGGACTTCCTTCAGTCAGCCGTCGACACCTGCACCAACCTTTCCGGTCGCATCGAGGACTGCGCCGTCTTCGATCTCCAGGATGAGGCCACGGCCAAGCAGTGTGAGATGAAGATTCCCGACCTCGTCGCCAAGGACAATGTCACCGGTCCCGATGCTCAGCTTCCCGGAAACTGCCCCATCACCTACGCTGACGGCTCATCTGAGGGCGGCGATACTGACCCTGTCAGCTCCACCTCGAGCGTTGCGGTTCCCACCATTCCCACTCTCACCTACAAGCCTGGCAAGACCGCTACCTCCAACCCTCTCCCTGGTGAAGTGTTCAAGGAGACTGGCAAGATTCCCTACGGCTCGTCTAGCTCTGTCTCCGAGACGGCCGCTGCTGAGGCTGTGGCCACCTCTACGCCTGAGCCTACTCCCACTCCCGAGGCCACTCCCACCCCGGTCTTTGAGCCCATCACCACTTCTACTCCGGCCAGCTCCTCTGCCCCGGGTATGTCTTGCGTGTCTACTCAGACGATCACTGCCGTCAACACGGTTTCCATCATCTGCTGGGAGGAGGACATTGTCTATGTCACCGAGTACGAGGATATCACGGCCACGCTGACTGTGACTCCCACTCCGTCGGCTTCGGCGCCCGCCATGCGCGCCAAGCGTCACCTTCACCAGCACCGTCATCACCACGTCTAGGCGATGAAAACGTGTTTTCTCAATTTCTGGAGTTGATAACTCACTCCCTCTTGTATCTGGGTGCGAAAAAAAATCAGGGTTGCGGACGTCGTTTTTAAGGGACGCCACATCGGGATGTGGCGGTCTTTTTCTCTCTATCCAGTGGAAAACCTAACCCATTGAGATGATTTGGCTTCCCATTGGTTCTCTCGCATCTTGCTCAAGAACATCATTGTTGTTGTCTGGACATTCTGAGCAGACGGACACTTTTTTTCTTGGTGGTAGCTAGCAAGGTACGGGCACGATATGGCCTGCGTCATGAGTTTACGGCAATCATTAGGAGGCAAATCATCAAGTTGAGTTGGTCCTTAAATGTGTTTCTTTTCATGGTAGTCCGAGTGAGGCGGGGCGTCGTAAGGGGGTTTGCATTTGCTGCATCGCATTGAGTGCGTCCATGTTGTAGGCGTTGTAGGTTGATGTTTGAGAGATACCTATTCTCGTTGAGGTTATTCCAACGGTTCCATCCATAAAACACTTGCTCCATCCATGGCTTCCTTTGCGATTGTGTGAGAGGTCATCGTCATCATTCGCCTCTACACTTTCATAAGTAGCATCCGTGACAGAAGCCCATATTGTATGATGTATTGGCCATTGAGGTAGAGTGCCCACTATTGACCGACCTCCAGATGAGTCAACAATTACAAGTCAAAATAGAGCAAAATAAAAGCAGGATCAAGTAGAAAATACAGAAAGCCGCGTTTATGTAGAGTCTCGCACTTGCAGACCGGCTTTCAACCTGATGAGATGAAATTCAAGAAGTAAAAAAAAAAATTCCGTAACCTTCAGGTCCCTCCAGGTCTTTTTGGTTTCCGCGACTAACATTCAAGAACTCAGAAATCTGCCATCAATACAGCTTTCCAGAATGTAGCCTGGAAAGTTGCGCGTGGGTGTCCCGGTGCCGTTGCCGACAACTTCAACAGAGTTCATGCGGTCGAGGTCGACGGTGACGCCGGCGATGGAGTTGGAGTCACCCGCGTTGCGCGAGTGGCCGCCGCCCTTGACGGCAAAGTGGCACCAGTTGTCGACGAGGGTTTTGAGGATGAGGGAGACGTCGGATGCGGTGGTGGGTTCGACGCGGCATGCTGGGCGGACTTCTTGCTGCTTTGCGTCCCAGATTGCAAAGGTTGTGTCGTTTGATGGGTAGTGAAAGCGGGAGGGAGGAAAGGTGGTGGAGAGCTGAGCGCACTGGTTTGAGTGAGAGGAAGCTGTTAGTTGCTGTGTATGACTGCCGGGATAAGGATTGGAGAGGTCGGTATGGCTTACTGCTTGTGCGCATGATGCAGAGACTGGCTCGATGAGCTGGCTCCTTCTTAGATGCCAGTCGACTGGGGTTTCTGCTGCGGCAGCAGGCACGCCGATGGCGGCGGCGGCTCCGGTAAGGATACAAGAGGTGAGAAGTCCGTTGGAGTACATTTTCGTGACTCGGGTGCTTTGCGCATAGAGAACGATACTTGGTAATGGGTGCCCGCGGGTCTTATAATGCTCCCGATGCACAATCGACTTGGAGGTGGAGCGAAGATCTCACATTGTCAATATCAAAGCCCTTACACCACGGAGGCCTCGTTCAACATGACGTATTGGGATTGCTGATGACGTTCGGCGGTATGGAGGTTATGTCCTCTGCTGACAAGACCCTCGGAGATTGAGGTGGGATGTGGACGCTTGGCTACTTAGCTTTCAGGAACGGGAAAAGCAAAGCATTCACCAAACCTCCTTGCTCCGACTTGGCAGGTGACATTGATTCTGGAAAGCAACTCGCTCGACGCTCAGCATCTCAAGGAGTTGAACCATAACGTTACAGCAGAGGTATCCGGAGGTGGACTCTCTTGGGCCAGGCTGGAGTCTAGTCATTGGTTCAATGCTTGCCGGACACCAGAGAACGTCGTCTTAGTCTTCGGTCCGATTGCCGCTCACTCGTCACTCGAGTACCCATACTTGCCCTAGTCTATCCGTAATTACACTGCCTTCCTGATATGGGGTAGAGATTGGTTACCGGACAGATGGAGTTGCCGCGAGAGCACGTCACCTTGAGGCTGTGTAACTGCTTAGAGCGTGTAAGTGCCAATTATCTTTTGGGAAACATACTAGCGAAGAGCTGCAATACCAAGAAAGGCTGTCTACCAGTAACCTTTGGCAGCATTGCCTAATGAAAACATCGATACAGAATACCAACAAGATGTGAAACTGACTCTGTACGTGTCAAGTGCGAATGGAAGGACGTGCTGTTTGATACCACTAACCCATATTTCTTTCAGAGCAGACGAGAATGTGACAGATGCGTCTTTCTCACGGACACGGCTCTGGTCATTGAGATTACTAAACATACAAACACACCTTACGGCTTCTCATCCCAGCCATGGAGTTCATGGAACTCATTGCCAACATCGGATCCGACTTGTACAACCTAAGCGGTGGAGACAGGGCGAGCAGGAGAAAAATGAGCGCTTCCAACTACCGTTTACAATAGGTCCCAGCGACAGACAGCTGCTTCATCGTAGTGCGGAAGCAATGAGGCCCTTGTTTTGCGTGATGAAGTCATCTCGATGGTCCATTCCTGGGCTTAGCAACTCTTGGAATTAAGCTACGGCGGAGGGGCCGGGAGATCATCAAGTTAAACAGAAGCGTACCTTGTTTACCACTTGTCAGCAGATACTCAGATGTGGTAGGCGAGACTATTACAAACGCACGCAATACCATAACAATTCAACCCTCGAGCATGGGTGGAGTTACCAATAAGTCCGGTCACCGATGACACCCCCGCTTGCTGACACGAAGGTTACGGTTCTTGGCGTTCTTTACACTGGCTCGATCTCTTACGGTATAATTTTACTACACATGAGTGGATCAGAGGCCATCGAAGCTGATTAATGTTCATGGACATAAAGGAATAAGTACTTGAGTCCCCGGGCGACGGGTTGCAAGATGAGTTCATTCTTCCCATCGAAGTTCCTACAATCAACCACGGTCCACCGCTTCGATGCCGAAGCTGTCTTGGATCGATGCTGAAGCTTGGTTTACTTCAACGGCTGCGACGACTAATTACAGAAGTTTAGCAATTAAGGTTCTGCACCGGAGCATCACCCACATATCTCGACAAGACTGGATGTTGTCAGCCCAAACCATGTCAATCTGTAAGGCAGGCGATGAACATCACTAGAGAAGACTTTACCACGGCATTTCGCTCCTCGTCTTTCTCTTCAATTTTATTTTTACGTATTTGCAACCTTCATTCTCAAGAACATAACAAAAAGAAGAGAGAATATTCTCGTCCGAGTATCTCAAGTGGGATGAGGGGGAGTTGCAAGCGACGATTCCCGGTAAAGCATACCAAGGTCGCCTAATAACATGTATCCAGAAGCTGCAGGCTACAAACCCAACAGACACATACCCCGCCATTGTCGGACGGGCCCGAAATCCCGTGTATGGCTGGGTTTCTCCAACATGCGACGAACGGAGGCGGAGTTGACCTCTCGTCGTTGGACGACTGTCAAGAGGATTTGAGCTCTCCCCTCATTTATCCCATGCATGCGGCCCTCATCTTTCTTCGGACGGTATTTTGTTTCTTTTGGGATTCCCCTCACGGTGTTCTTAGTGCCTCACAGACTGACGAACGTACCCCTCACGGATCCGGGTTCATTGGGCTTTTCCGTGTCACTACAAACTATGGGTTGGCCAGCATGGTTCGTCACTAGATGAGCTTGGATCATCTACATTCCCCAGTAATATCATACAACGGATCCAGGATCCTGGGATAACCGGTTCAAGATGCCTCGTGAAAGAAGGACGGCGATCTGCGCTGTCACCTTATTCATGGCCACCGCGTGGCCATCCGCCCATGCCCAGCAATGGGACTGGGATGAACTTGGGGTATGTTGCATTTTCCCACTCCCGTTCGATACTAAGGCGCTGAGGGGTTGTCGGATGGGATGATGGTGGGTTGGAACTGGAAGATCATGTTGCATGCATCTACAATGTTTCCTCTGTCTATATGAAACCTCGAAGCCACTTCTCGGGCTGTACCCTTCTATGCCGCCGGCCCAGCTGTCCTCCAGTCCATCTTGCCAATCCACAGTCCTGGGAGAATTGGAAGCTCTGATTCGAGGCCGTGATAGCTGAAGCCTCGATATACCTGCCACAAGCCGGAACCCCTCGACATCTTCGCAATGCGTTCGGCCATCCTCGCCGCCGTAGGCCTGTCATCCACGGCCGCGGCACTTGTCAGCCGCAATGGCAAGACTGGCCGTCTTCCCGCGTTGGGATGGAACTCTTGGAATGAGTACGGGTGCGACATCAACGAGACGGTGTTCCTCACCGTCGCGCAGCATATTGTGGACCTCGGGCTCAAGGATCTGGGGTACGAGTACGTCAACATTGACGACTGCTGGAGCGACAAGAAGCTGCGAAGGGACAACGTCACCAAGGAGATTATTGTCGACAAGGTGAAGTTTCCGCAGGGGATCAAGCATACCGTCGACAAGATCCAAGAGTTGGGGTTGAAGGTTGGGATCTACAGTGATGCGGGTGAGTTGAATCTTGCCGTTTGGTTGGTGTTGAGTATGCCAAGTTGCCAAGGGCTCTCCGTGAGGAACTTTGGCTGTGGTCCGAGTCGCGAGAATGCTGGATGGCTCTAGTGTTTGGTCTTGTGATGACGTTTGATGGTCTGACGTAAACATCGCAGGGACTTCTGCCTGCGGCGGATTCGAGGGATCGCTAGGCTTCGAAGAAATCGACGCCGCGACGTTTGCGAAATGGGGTATCGGCTGTAAGTTCCTTCGCCGTTGACCGTTCCGTCCTCCCTGCATCGTGTCATCCCTCAACTTAACCCCTCCAACCCCTTCCACCGTCCCCTAGACTCACCACGAAACGCAATATTGAACCACCTTCTAATGCACATTTCACTTTGTTACAGGCCTAAAGTACGACAACTACAACGTCCCGAAAGAATGGTTCGACGACTGGAAATACGTCCCCGAACTCTGGCTCGGCGGGCCCCCCAACGAAGACTAAGACAACGGCGACCCCGTCAACTCCAAGACGGGCCTCCCCGCACCCGCAGGCTACAACTGGTCAACCTCTGTCACGGCAGAACGCTACCGCCTCATGCGCGACGCCCTCCTCGCCCAGGACAGGACGATCCAGTACTCCCTCTGCGCCTGAGGCCACGCCCACGTCGAGGCCTGGGGCAACGAGACGGGCCACAGCTGGCGCATGTGGGGCGACATTTACCCCGAGTGGTACGGCCAGCACCAGTGGTCCTGGGGACTGATGCCGATCCTCAATCATGCTGCCTTCTGGAGCGGACCGGATGTGAATGGGTTCTGGGGCCACGGGGACTGGGATATGCTCGAGGTCGGCAACGGGAACCTGACGCTGCAGGAGAGCAGGAGCCATTTTGCGTTTTGGGCTGCCTTGAAGAGTTCGTTTATCATCAGTACCAAGTTGGAGGGCATTCAGCCTGAGATTTCGGAGATTTTGTCGACGAAAGAGTTGGTGAAATTCAATCAGGATCCGGAGTTCGGGGCCGCGGCGCAGCCGTATAAGTGGGGCGTGAACCCGGACGGAGCGTGGAACATCACGCACCCTGCCGAGTTCTGGTCCGGAGCTTCGGTGGAGGGGACGCACGTGTTTGTGCTGAACACACTGAGCGGCACGGAGGAGAAGACGGTCGCTTTCAAGGATGTTCCTGGGCTGGAGGCCGGGAAGAAGTATGTTGTGCATGACATGTGGACTGGCAAGGATCTCGGGGTGTTTGAGGACGAGTACACGATTGAGCTGGAGAGTCACGATACCGCTGCGTTGAGGATCAACGAGGTCAAGTGCGTCAAGAGAGCGCGGGTATGATGGAAGCAAAGGGGTCCGGCCCGAGGGGGAAGGGAAGGGTTGGTGACTTGAGTTTGGAGCGTGTTAACGAGTCTATTGGGTCCTGGATGCAATGGACGGATTAGATGGCTCTGCAGACAAGTGGCCACACGTTCATATAGCAACACGAAATCTAGAACTGAGATGAGTTAAACCATCTAGATTCAGCGGCGAAAGAAAATAGGAAAACATCCAACGTGAAATAACTTTCCACGAAGTACCAAGAAATGCAACGGTGTCATGTGCGACCTTGTTTACCTCCGCCGATAGCACGCAATCTCATCTCGCATTTGATTAAAAGTACCGCTCAGCTACCCGCCTCGTGCATACCAGCAACCCACGAAGCTATTCCCAAAACTCACGCGTCGCCACCCCGCCGACCCAGCAAATTCATATTACCTCACGTTCCCGCAGCATCACCTCTGCTGATCACTCGCTTCTAGCCCGTTTCTGTATTTTTTGCGTGGAAATGGCCCAGACAGCAAAGCTCGGATGGACGACTGGCCGAAGAAGAGAACCCAAAGGAGGATTTCCTTCCTCCCTTCCATTGGAATGCATTCCCCAGGACGACGGGATCACAACGCATTCCCGGTGGCTAGATTAGACTGAGACCCAACCCACAACTCGTTACCCTTTCTGAGCAAAACCAAACAAGACCAACACAGTCATCATTGCGGATGGCGGTTGGCTGGTCTGGGCAGCGAAAAAGACCCTTTGAGGCGAAGGCATGCTGCCAGCCACTTCGTGAGGCGGAAATCCGGTCATCCATCTTTCCTTCGTCCTCGTGATTCACCCCAACTCGTGTTGCAATTCTTCTCTTTCTGCTCTGTACGACTGTTCATTTACTATTCTGGATTTGGTTCTCATTCTTTCCTACACTTGTTTACACACTGTCATTTGCTAGAGCTTCTTTCTAGACCGTTTCCTTCCCATCTTTCCCAACTCTTCCTAATCTAATCCCTAATACGAACACCTAGAGAGTTACACAGAAGACGGGAGAAGGGGAGATTCGACTGTGAATACCGAACACACACTCACGCCATGAGAGATCCTATTCGTGATCTGTGATCTCATCACCATCAGTCCCTCAGTCAACCACTAGATCTCGTCTTAGTCCTTGAAGCTACCAACCCACTCAGCCATATCACGACACCTTAGACCCTCTCCGGTGATGTCGAGCCTACTCCTCCGCATCCGCGAGGAGGTAGAAGAAGGAGGAAGCGGCGGCGGCATGACCTTACCACTTGTCCTCGCCATCGCCATAGGAGGCGGCGTCCTTCTCTTCATATGCCTCGCCTTCTTCCTCATCGCACTGGCAGGCCGCCGCCACCGAGCCCGCGCCCGAGCCCGATCACCGACGCCCAGGACAAGACTCGACCTCGACTCGGACGGCGGCTCAATCCACACGCCCAGCCCGCGTCCGCGGCGCCTCACCAAGCCGAAGCCGGGCGAGCTGTACGCCGACATGGTCGAGGTCCAGGGGAAACAGCCTTCCCACCGCTCGCTCTCGTCCATCATCAGCGTGCCGAGGAGCAAGAGCTGGAGCGTCTTCAGCAGTACGCCTGCGGGAGGTGCTGGCGGGCAGCAGCGTGGAGGTCATCTGCGGAGAAATAATAGCTGGATTGATGAGGATGCGATTCACGGGCCCAGGGTGCAGAGTGATGGTCGGCGGCTGAGTATCCGTGACAGCTTCATCCTCCGTACGCCGACGTTGCCGGATTTGTTTGGACACAAAGGGGAGTCGGATGGGCATTTTGAGGACGACTTTGCGAATTACCCCATCGAACAGTCTCGGCCGGTCAGTATGCCGGCACAGCGTGGCCAGCCTTTGCGGATGCCGTTGCCGAGGACAGCTTCCTATGAGCTGGCCGAGAAATTGGCTGCGGCAGCAAGGGGCGGACCGCCCGTACTTCCAAGCCCACAGGGACCAGGACCTCGACCAGTGCCATTACAGCGACTGCGGCACAAGACGACGGAGTCGGACCTTGCTGAGATATTGCGTTCCACGGAAGAGAGGCTACAGCTCGGAACGCCAACCAACAGCCGGCCGGCCACACGACAGAGGGCTGCATCGGCATCAGCTGGGTCCAGTGTACAGACTCCGCGCGGGTCACCGACAAAGTCAAATTCCCCGATAAAGGCCCAGTCACCGGTCAAGATCCCATCACCAGTTAAGAATCAGTCTCCCGTCCGATCACGATCCCCAACAAAGACACAGGTCTTGAACCACGTCGGTCAAGCGTTGGATCTCAATGCCCAGCGAGCTCGAACTCCTAGTCCATCGAAGCGAATGGTTGTCCCGATGCTTGCCCAGACTCCGAACCACCACAAGAGGAACACTTCGCAGTCTTCTGCTGTCTCAGATGCAGACAGCTTATTTGGCGAAACAACCCCGGAAGTCGAACACATCCTCCCCACAGGGCTGTCGAGCCCCAGCAGACGATCCGAGCACGAGTCGCCAACCAAGCCCGCCAACAACGGCGAATCAATAGAATCTCCCGGCAGCGATGCCTCGTCGTCCCTGTCGACCTTGTACAGTGTTAACGAACCCGAGGATGATAGCAAGACTGGCGGAACCGGACACACCGGACACTTAGACAGCACCCCTCGCGACAGGAAACCCAGGAGCCTTGTCGTCGATACTCAGATATGCGACCCATTCATCACGCCGGGCCCGCCAGAAGTACCCTCAAGGAGTCCCAAGCGCCAGTCATCCAGCTTGCCGCCTCTCCGACGCCTTACGCCACCCGAAGAGGAAATCCTGAACCGCACACCTACGAAAGTGACGCCTGTTGCCAACTCTCCTGTACCAAGACCGTTGGACGTCATCAAGCGCAGCAGCACGGCCGATCAACTCCAGACGCGGTATTCCATCATGATGCAACCATCCGACCTGGCAGCATCGCCCGAGACCATACGCCCAAAGAGGGTCATGTCGATGAAGCCCACTTTCCTCGTCTCGAGTAACAGCGTCGTGAGCATGAGGGCAAGTCCTGGCACGTCTCCCGAGGACAATGGCAGCCGGCCAGCAATGCCGAATGACATGTTGACGTTTGGTCCAAAGGCACCTGTCTTCCCACCGCCCTTGAACTTGAAAGCTGGCCCGGGATCGCCAAACCGAGAGGCCCTGGTTATGGGCAGCCCAGACAGGAGAATGTCGATGTCGCGCGGCAGCCCTTCTCCAACAGGTCGTGCTAGACGACGATCGGTCGACACCACTGCGTCTGCGTCTCCGGTTCCTGGCTCGCCTACCCGAAGGCCGCTGCCGAGTCCCGACCTGTCAAAGGGGGGATCTCCCACACCGAGGCGATACAAACGTGGTATGGCCAGTCCTATCCGCGACCGCGCGTTGTCGAGACAGCCTACACCCAGAGAGTCCCGCGTCGAGCGCGTCCTCTCGAGCTCCGATTGCCCTTCGATTGTGCTGAAGCCCTCCAGTTCCCCTAAGCGGAACTCATACCACCGCGACTTCGCGGTAATGGGACTCCAGTCTACTGTGGCCCAGCTTCGACGTATGAACAGCCAAATGAGCACCTTTAGCGCCGGCTCATCCATCTCGGATCCTGACAGTCCAACACTACCAAATTTGAGAGGAGGCGGGTTCAGCCCCGACAGGAGCAACAGCCGCGTAAGCAAAATGGGTCGACAAAACTACTTGTCTCTAGGCACGAGCCCAGGCTCAGCGAAGCGGACCAAGTCCATCAAATCGGCCAGAAACTCAATCGCTGTTCTCAAGAGTCGACCAGGGGGTAACAAACATCTCGATTCGCTACGCGCAGCAGTTGAGGAGAAGGAAAACGAGAGAAGAAACGGTTCTCTGATTCGAGGACCTCGGCCGCTTAACCCAACACCTAGGAGTGCCGGAAGAGGGGTGGCTAGAGACAGCGTGGTAACGGTGGAAAGTCCCACTCGGAGAAGAGTCTCCAATATCGATGCCAGGGACCAGAAGCATCTGGAGAGGCCGATTAAGCATCAAGACAGTGGTACCAGCTTGGGCGCATACGGGAAAGAGGACTATTTGCTAAATTCCCCAGACAGCCTCACTGCAGGGGCAGAGAGACAGAGCCCAAACATGAGGGTTTAAGTCCGAGAAGTTTTCTTTTGTCCCACAGTGGTCCGCATTGATTGGGGGTGTTGCGTTCAGCGACGGTTAGCGAGTACTTTCTTCAGGGTTGAATATTTCTAAGCTGAGCACGGCGTCATTGTAATACCTAGGCAGTAGGCCATTAGCAAAATCCAGATACAACCATCATTCAAATCAACGAATTATAACACAAGAGAAAGCCGAGTTTCCTTCAATATCGAAGCATGACAGTTGGTTTCGAGTTGATGCGAAAAAGAATGGTATTCTTACGTCGGTTTCATGAGCCCGAGTCCTATTCCTGGTATCAAGTCGTTCCTCGTCAACTCCCACGCCTCATTTGCCGCGCAAATTCATGACTCGTCAACACGCGGACGCTTGTTGCTCGGGTCGTCATGGCCATTGACGCCGTTGTTGGCTTCGTTGTGACCGCGAACCCGACCGGCTCCCTCTCCCAGCTGGCCACCTTCCTCCTCCTCATCCTCATTGCCATTCTGACCGATCCAGTTGCCGTCGGCGTCAAAATGCTCATGGACGTTCTCTGCGGTGATCCAGCCTCCACTTCCAGGGAAGGCAGGAGGCAAGCCTCCATCGGGTGCGCCGTACAGGACACCCTCGTATCCCTCGACTGGCTCATGTTCACCCTCGAAAATGATGCGGCCGTCCTCCTCCTCATCATCCTCGTCGACGGGGTCGGGGTGGAGATCGGAACAAGCTGAGATGGCATCGTAGAACTTCTGGATATCGGCCTGGGCGCCAGCAGTGACCGCGGGCACGAGAGTCAAGTCGATGGTATCGAAGTCGTCGTCGCCGTCGCCGCCGTCGGCAAGCTGCAGCTGCATCCAGATGGCCTGGAGAGGGGCACCTTCGGAGATAGATCCCACCTGCTTCACGGCGTGAATCGAGATGGAGGGATAGGGGATCTGAACGCCAGCGCCTTGGGCCGTAGAGAAGATGGTAAAGTTCCTAGAAGGCGTGTTAGTCGGAGGGAGCGCACGCGTAGCAGAGTGGATGGAATACATACTCGGAAGTGACAAACACGGAAACGTGCTGCTCCACAAGCTCCTCGGTCGCCTCTCTCAACGTCGTGCCATCGGGGGCAGAGGCCATAGTCGAGACATCAGCCGGGAAGACGGCCAAGTTGCCCTTTTGCGACGCCGGGATCCATGCCTTGGCGCCCTCGAGATGGAAATGGAGGACGGGCTTTCCTCCGAAGAAGCTCGCGGGGGTTTGCGACTGGTGCTCCTCAATTGGAGTGAAGTCTCCAAGAGAAGGAGGAGAGCGAATGGTTGTGGGCAGCATGTTGATGATGTGTAAGAGATCCTTGAAAGGACTCTGCCTGGGCTGACCTGTGAGACCCTTCATGGTGGGGTGCTTGCCTTGGAGCTGGAGAATGTAAAGCTCTTATCGCTATCACCACGTGATGATTTTGATAAAAGGTACTCGGATACCTGGGTGGGGGCTAAGGTAATCAGAAGAGGCAGGCGGTCAGGCATTGGCCAGCAGGGTTGATCCGCAAGTTCCACTTAAAACGCTCGGGGGGTCTGAGCTCTTCCTCCACCGACATTCTTCCAGAGTCCGATCGCACTCCGTTGCCTCGGACAGCTACGCAGTCGCGGCGCAGAGCTGACGAATCCCCCTCAACTGGCGCAAACACAACAACCTGCAAACACGCTCTTGACCGGCCCTTTTGACTACCAGGAAACTTCAAGGACGATTATTGCTACCATTTACGAGCTTGTATGACCCTCAAAACGGCTCATATAGTCCCGTCCCACCCTCATTTGCACACTGACACCTACCCACCAAAGGCAAGACGTGCTACCCACCATGTATAGCAATCGTACGTATTCTACCAGTCGGTGGCTTTTCTTTTCGGAATTTCAGAGACTGACCATAGAGATAGGCTCCCATCCGCTCCTCGAGCAGGTCCCCCTGACCGTCTCTCCGTTCATCTCCCTCCCCGCAGCCACAACGCTCTCCTACAACTACAAGGCCATGCCCTCAGCTCTCCCTCCCTCGGCAACAGGCGTTCCCGCTGCCGTCACCGAAGATGCGGCAGCTAGTAATACCTCGGCGAATAAACCAAAGTACGTGATCTCGCAGTCGGGACACGCAGCGCATCCGGATGATATCATCGCCTCTTGTCGTGCGCTACAAGCACACATCACAAAGATGCAAGAGGACGCCGAGCGTGACCTACGGGACCTCGAGAATAGGATAAAAGAGCGGGAACTGGCCGAGAAGAGGAGGGTTGCGCCCGGTTGGCTAGACAGTGAAGCCCGGATACTCGAGCCGGAAAAGGTGGGCGGACCATCCGAGGAGGAAGCTGGGCATCAGACATCAGCGATAGCGGGGACCAGCGAGATGCCGCTGAACGACCAGGGCGCGGAACTAGACAGGGTGTTTGGCGGGTTGAGCATGAAGTGAACCAAATGCGACTGATTACGATCTCTTGCTTTACTCGCCGGCGTTGCGCCTCATTTCACATGACGGGTTTTATCGTTGCCAGATCCGGGCCTGGTTGAGATAGCAAACCATCTGCATGAGGGGAATTGGGTAATGCTATGGCACTGTGCCGAACCTGCAATATGGAGCCGCTCGTGCGAGCCTGGTCTGAGGCCAAGGCAAGCTAGCTAGCCTTGCTAGAGAGGTGTCGCCCCAACGCTTGTACAAAGTCGACAATCTACGACTTGATGCAGTTAGAATTGTGCAAAGCCTTCTACCATATGCACGCTGAGCTACTTCTAGGAAATGGGAACAACTGGCAAGTGGCCTGCCTTCCAGCATCCCGAATGATACTCAGGACTCAGGAGTCTAGATACTCATACGATTAATGAACTTCTTTCAAACTCACAAGAGCAGAACCACCCCATCACAAGTTGCCAACTCTGTGGTGCCTACCTGTGTCCATACACTGCCTTACACCCAAATTATCAGACCGCTCATCCACATGCCCAACCCTCGTCACCATCTCCCAAGATTTATACCTCGTTGCCTCCAAGGCTCAACTAGATGAGTGCCGATAAGGCTTGGTGATAGTAGCATTCGATATCTTAGCTAGATGTGGTAGATACAACGTGATATCGGAGTTCCTTGCCAAGCTCGGAAAGGTGAGCCGAGTTCTGTCACTATGTAATACGTCGTACATTCCTGCCTCATGGGGCATTCCTTGGTCCTGATGGGCGCTATACTTCTCTAAACTTCAATCATAATTCATTGTCGCATGAGGTCTAGTCGTAATGCTGGGTTACGCCCCCATAGCGTGAGATGGAGGGAGAATGGACGCGCGTTTGGCAGCTTCCTTGACTAAGAACAGGTCTCTGTGAAGCTGATGTACCGATAAAATGTCCCATTTAGATGCTCAAGAAGGCACCGAGCCGGCGAAATCGCTCTGCAGATCTACTAGCGTACAAAGGCTACATTCGATATCGATTGTTCGCTTTCCGGGTTAGGATTCGTTCCGACATAGATTACTCCACCCTGTCAACCCAGGAGTAAGAGAGGGACGGACAAGTTGCATGCCGTATTGCGTCGACTCAATCCTGTGTTAGGTTGCTCTGATGCGTCGACTTAATCCTGTTAGGTTACTCTGAACCGCTACTTCTCGATCTTCGTAAGTCCTGATAGCAAGAGAAGACATCAGCAGAATCATACCCGTACCGGCTGTTAGTATACTGCCTGAGAGCGGGGCTTAAAATATGATTGAGTAGGCTCTCGAGTTTCTTTACCAAAGCCGACGTTGTGGTATTAGAAGGTACGGAGTACACAAAAGCAGAAGGCGGCAGGCCGAGGTCTTATTCAATTTCTTATTTACTCGGTTTCGCACCGCCTCCAGTGTCACTTACCTTCTTGTTCGAGAGTCGAGAGGGAAGCCATCCGAACATGATGCACACTGTTGACGTACAACCCAACTGTCCAATGTGTCCATTCGGCAATTTCAATGGACTTTCGCTTTTATTAAGTCAACCTAGTTACCCACTTTTGGCCACCCCAAAAATCCCTCCCAGCCACCTCAATATTATCCTACCCCTATTTTTCTAACAACCACAACAACTACAATTTTCGTCCAAACACATTTATTTTTGGCACACTTCTTCGCTGGTATATAATAGTCTTGTATACCGAAATTGAAGTTAGTCAGGCTCTTAATGCTATTATAAACGGTACCTCGGTTAATAAGGCCTCGATTAAGTGGGTGTTACAACCCAACATGCATAACAAGGCCAGGGGGCCCGCCCCACAGGCCTGCGGCGGCTATCTACCTGATATACGCAGAGAATCCGGGAACTCAGGTGACTCCTCATGGAACGGAAGAACTATGGAACAAGTCACGTGACGATAAGGAAAGTGAGCACACGATAAGGTGATCACAGTGATCACCCAAAGTGACCAAAATTTGCCCGAGTCATTGAACAGGAACGTTAGGTGAAGACGGTAGCCTGTAATATAGTTTAGATTAGTATAGACCATGTCGGCATAGCGCCCGGCACGTCCTTTTGTTACCAGACGTTAAATACATCATCATCATCATCATCACCAAAGTGAGCGCTCACCAGTATCCACTTAGTGATCACCAACGAACATGGTGATCAGGCAACAAAGGATATGTTCAGGATCAGGACTTGTATATAGGATGGACTCGAGCTGGGCTCTAGGACAGACTTCCCATAGCTTCTTCAGCAATTAACTTCGTATCAGGATTAACATCCGCTTTCAGCTACTACCTTGACAAGACTACGATTGATCACCGAAGCCTTACCTACCCTTACGATTGACAGACATAGTTTCCTTGAAACTATTCCACGACTACGATTACTGTTACCAGTTCCGCAGCCTCAACTTCTGCAAACTACCCCTACGACTAGCTGGCCGTAACAGTGGGCTATACCACGATTAACTCTACGGAATCGTATAAGAGGGCACCAGAACAGATCCCTTGGTTTTACTGAGCTTCAGAGGCTTAATCCATGGCAGGAAAATCGATTAGTAAAATGGATTCGTATTTAATATACTCTAAGGGTCTCACTAACCCATAAGTAGGTCAGGGAATTCGCTAAGCGAGTTCTGCGAGCTTAGGGTGACCCTAACCCTATTGGCAAGCGATGGACTGATACCTTCCTGCGAAGGAATCCCTCAGTTAAGGTCCAGAGAAGTCGAACTATTAATTCTAGACGTGTTAATAGAGCAACTACTGAGGTGATTAGGCCCTAGTTCCAACTACTCGATATACCAGAGATCAGCGGCATTAAACAAGCCAATAGGTATAACATAGACGAGACTAGTATCCTGGAGGGCAAGGGAGCTAATAGGTTAGTCTTAGGCATAGCAGAGACCAGAGCAGTACGGAAAAAAGAGCCTGGTTCTCGTACCTAGGTGTCGATTATCGAGTATATCTCTGCTGGTAGTAGATCTATCAAACCACTGGTCATATTCAAGGGAAAGTCGGTCCAACAGCAGTGGTTTCCCCTTCAACTTAACCTATACGATGGTTAGGAGTTCATAACGACAGATAATAGATAGACCACCGACGAGACTGCCCTTGAGTGGTTGAGAAAGGTGTTTCTGCCCCTGACTGAGCCACCTCCTTCCAGGAGGCCAGGAGGGCAAAAGGAGCCTCGACTGTTGATTCTGGATGGGCATGGGAGTCATACGACGACTGAATTTATGTGGGAGTGTTATATCAACAACGTCTACTTACTCTTCTTACCTCCACACACCTCTCATGTCCTTCAGCCCCTGGATGTGGCTGTCTTTGGACCAGTCAAGTCTCACTACAGGAGGGAGCTCGGAAACCACGAAATCCTGGATAATTCTACTATAGTTAGAAAGCGGCACTTCTTGTACTGTTACCACAAGGCTCGAATCACTGGTCTGACGGCGTCAAACATACGAAGTGGTTGGAAAGCAAGTGGTCTATGGCCAGGTAACATGGGCATACCACTTGTGAACCCACTGATGCTCCCCAGCCCTGCCACTCCATTGAACAATACCGCAGAGGGTCAGGCAGCGACTGGCAAGCCAGAGGAACTCGTTGACTGGACATCAGCGACGTCTGTTGTTGACTGGACGACTCCTAGGAAGGCTGGGGTGCTCAGCCAGCACTTGAAGCTATTCACAGAGCTCAGTCCAGACAGCAACACTCAACGACTACTGTTCAGAAAGATAAAAAAGGGCTTTGCCGAGAAGGACTACCTATTGGCTACATTAGAGTACAAAAACCGACTTCTCCAGGCTCGAATTGACCGCATAGCTCTAAGGAAGAAGAAGACTGTCCAAACCAACCCAAATACCAGGTTTGCGAACATCAGGGACATAAAGAGGGCTCAGGAGGACTCTGGCGACCGTCTCGTTAGTCCCAGTCGACTCGCAAGGGTCGAATTACCTAGTGAGGGTAGTGACTGTATTGTAGTGGCAGTGGAAGGTAGTTAATTAATTGAGTGTAGTTGGTGGTGATGTTTTGAGACCAACTTTGATGTGGTGGCCAAAAGTGGGTAGGTTGACTTACAGCATATGCACCATTTTGACTGTGATAATTCAGTACCAGCGTGAACCCTTGATAAACTAGATGAACTTTGCACGGTCTCGGCCAAGACCAATAAGTAAAAATTCGCGGCCCAGCCCGCCGGGGCGTACCCTTCAAAGTTCAGGGTACCCGTCAAAGCTCCCTAGGGTGGACTATGTCAGGATCTCGGAGCCCTGTTCCGGAACAGGTGCATTTTTCCCGAGATCTTGCTACGCTATGACCCGGTCCCCTGCCACAAGTGGTCCCCGCGCCGCCGCGTGCTTCGGCCGGGAAAGAAATAAGACCCGAGTTGCGGATGACATGCTCCATGTAAAATTCGGCATCCAAATATTTGCGAAGCCCGGCATTTATAGTTCGTCTCCCGCCGTTTGGCATCAAGTCGCGTTTGTTAGTTCGCGGATGCGGACATTTTCGGTCACCTTCACAGCCATGCTTCTGCTTCTCTCGGTGGTGTTAGCGTACCATTTGCATGCATCGCCCTTTAGTTCCTGCCCAATAACGATGTTCAAACCATGTCCTGTTCCTGTTCCGCACTTTGACCATCTTGATGCTAAATGAGGCAATCGATGATTTATAGACGAACCGTCGACCGGACCCTTTGAACAAATTTACTTTTATTATTTGCTCGGTATTAACTCTACTGCCATTGTATGATCTGAATCAACACTGCAGTTTTTCTCTAAGACAGTAACAATGGGCTTCAAAGTCATCGTTGTCGGCGGCAGCGTCTCTGGCCTCTCTTTAGCTAACATGCTGGAGAGGCTCGACATCGACTACACCCTTCTCGAGGCATACCCCAACATTGCGCCACAGGTAGGCGCGAGCATCGGTCTCCTTCCCAATGGATTCCGCATCCTTGATCAACTTGAATGTTTCGAACCAATCCTTGAAATGGTCGGAGAATATCACCTGAGAAACAGCCTTCGCGGCCCGGATGGCAAACCGTTGAGCACACCAAGCATGGTCAATATCTACCACATGGAAGCTCGGTAAGCTGAAATCTGAGAGGGGTGCGATATGACAGCCTAGCAGGGTCATTGACAATCGTTCTTTTGACTAGACTTGGTTACCCTTCCATCTTCATCGACAGACAGATGCTTCTTCAGGTCCTTTACGACAACCTGAAGAACAAGGACAGAGTCATCCCGGAAAAACGAGTCGAGAAGGTTGAGCTTCTCAAGGAAGGAGTGCGTCTACACACAAAAGATGGCTCCGTATTCGAGGGCGACATCGTGGTCGGGGCAGACGGCATCCACAGCACTGTTCGAGAAGAGATGTGGCGTATTGGTCATGAACAACGACCTGGCTACTTCCCTCTTGATGAACACTCTCGTAAGTTTCTGATTAATTACGCAGGTCCTGCTTCCAGAGTAGTTGCACGATCTTCACAAAGCATAAAGAAACTGGCAATGAAACTTGTCATGCCTTGACTGGAGTACTAATGTCGTCATCTAGGAGTACCCGTGGCGACGAAATGCATCTTTGGCATCTCCAAACGCCCGAGCAACCTTCCTATCCACAATCAACAGATGGTCTTCAACGAAGGAAGAAGTTACCTCATTATCAGCGCGCCCGGCAATCGGACATACTGGTTCTTGTTCGCGGGCGTTGGAGACACCAAGTATGGGAAGGACATCCCGAGATACTCCAAGGAAGATACAGAGAAGCTGGCTCTCGAGCACTGGGAAGATCTAGTCTTCGAAAATGTCACATTTGGCGACATTTACAAGAACAAGATCATGGCCACCTTGGTGCCTCTGGAGGAGTACGTCTTCGAAAAGTGGCACTATCAACGGACCGTATGCATTGGGGATGCCAGTCACAAGGTCGGTTTACACCCTAGCCTTTGCTGTCGATGCTTGACGCTGACACTTGGCTTCCTTTGTAGATCGACCCCATCTCTGGACAAGGAGGTAACGGCGCCCTGGAGGCTGCGGCGCTGCTCACAAACGCCCTGGCCGACATGCTGGAGAAGAATCCAAAGGCGCAACCCACTGAAGTTGTCGAGGCTGCGCTGGCCCAGGTCCATGTCAACCGCCATGATCGAGCGAAAACCCTGGTAGCGAATGCCCACACGCTCCAGCAAGTGTTAACCGGGAGATCACCATACTCCAAGATTGTCACCAAGTATCTAGTCCCCCTGTTGGGTGACGAAGGTTTCCTCGGTGCTGCGGTCCCCATTTGCAAGGCTAGCCGCAGGGTTTATAGAATTCCACTGCCGAAACGACGTCGCCTGGTGCCGTTTGACGATGAACTCCCCGCCCGACCTCTGACAAGTCAAGCGGCATCGAGATTAGCTTTGGTCTTGGCATCTGGATCCTTTGCAGCGCTGCTCTACTACTCTAGCGGTTTCGCCCACTTCTCCAACTTGAAGGAGAGCGCCAGACTATGGATTTCTGGAGCTTGGGATTTTGGCCTCGTTTCAGGCTTGACAAAGACATTCTCGCTTGACCATCTTGTTGAAGACGTCCAATTCAAGACAAGCCTCTTCTCTGCCCTTGTCGTCTGGCTTGTAGAGGGGCACCGATTCGGCAACAGGCTTTCAGCTCTTCTATGGTAGGCTTTCCACCGTTGGTGTCCTGCTGTACACTGATCTAACATGACAAACTGCAGGCCATTAATTTCTGCTGCCCCTTTCACAGCCTTCGGCTTCAAGGCCATTATGCCACTTCTGAGTCTCGGCATCGTTACTCAAGGCACCAACACTCTGACTGGTAGGCATGTACCTGTCAAATACGCCAAGGCAATTCTTCCGTCAGCTATCGTTGGCTACGCTATCCCCACGATCCTCGCGAGCCTGCCGATCCAAGACCCGCAGCTCCAACAGGCCGTCGGTCTCGTTGCGTCTGCGACCCCGGTCTTCAGCGCGGCTCTAGTGAACGGCATAGCTTCGGTCATACACAAGGTGAAGGATATAATTTCATCCATAAAGGCCGATAAGGAAGTCAAGGGAGAAGACGAAGAGGAGTTCGTTGACATGTATGACAAGAACGATGTGGTGCCGCTCAAGATGGCCTACGCATTCGCGGCAGGGGTCTGTGCTACGGTTCATGTGGCGAGCGCTATGTATCAGGTCTTGGCTACAACTTCGTCTGGTAGCTTGTCAGACGGTTTCACGACAAGTACCGGGTTGTTTGGGCTTGCTTCTGCTGCCTTGTCTCTCTACTCGGCGTGGGACTTGCGATCAGAGGGTTTTGTTACTACCAAGCAGGCATTGCTGGGCTCTTTGGGGTCCATTGCTAGTGGCATCGCTGTTGGCCCTGGTGCAGCGCTTGCAGGTTTCTACTATTGGCGTGAGAGTGTCTTGGATAGCTTTGGCAACTGATTATTCGTGCGAGGATATCCAGCGTGTTGTAGGGCAATGCTAGGTGGTGTGAAATATCTTGTTTTGTAGATTCCAGAGTGTAGCAAGATAAGCATGAGAATCAAGCTAGGCCTGGATACTATCACAAGGAAGTTGACTGAGTTTATTTTGCAAACTGTTGTGATGATTTGTGACTATCAGAAGTCGAAGTTGTTCCCAGCACCCGCTAGCAGGAACTCCAGAGCTGATGGCAGCTGCAACATGTCCATGGTGTCAGCATCAGTAAGGCCCATGTTGTCTCCCCCGAATTCAGTGTTGTATGGCCGGCCGCCTTGCGACATGTTCCCTATGACAGCCGCCGCATACTGTCCCACCGGGTCTCTAGCTAGGCCATGATATGCTGCCGTGTTTGTGCTCTGCGAACCATATGTTGTGCCGGAAACGAGAGTTCGTGCTGAATGTCCATCTCCCATAGCTGCTGACGATCCTGCCATGGCATGATCGTCAAATCTGAGAATGTCGGTAGGAAGAGTGATTCTAGAATGATCCTGCTCTCCACTACCACCTATTCGGTTGCCCGTATCATTCGGCTGAGTGGACTGCTGTGCAAGACCGCGATTTCTCGGCCGTTTAGGCTCGAACAGATTCAATAGGCTTTGGGCGTATAACCACTGAGATTTCATCGCCTGCAATGTCTGTATCATGGACTCTGTATGGCGCTTCGACTTGGCTGCGACGATCGGGTTGCTGGAGTGCATCTGACTTGACGTATGAACCAGAGCCGTGAAGAGCATATGCAGACTTGGAAGCCATAGACCTGCCAACATCTCCCTCTTCCGTAGAGACTCAAAGATAGAGGCGATCGTAGCCGCTGCATCAGAGCATATGCTCAAGTCGTTGCCGGCCTCAGTCGAAGCAGGACCGGGTACGGCACGAGGAGGTGGCCGATGTAGAAGGATGAGAAAGTTGTTGTATGTGATGTGGAACATTACTTGCCATATATCTGGATCTCCTGAGGATAGTTGGAGTCGTTCGGGTAGGTTGGTGACTAGCTCAGCCAGAGCAACATCGGCTTTCCTCGTGGCCTCGACCTTTTCACCTTCTTTGCAACGCAAAGCCACCCGTTTCTTCATGACCTTTGCGAAAATGATGCACAGTTTTGTATGCTGAACTATGAAGGACGCTTCAGCTTCCGGTGTGTCTTCTAGATGGCATTCCTCGATGAACGGTACATCGGAATCGTCAAGGCTTCTGTTGTAGGAGTTGAGGGTCAATCAGGAGATATTTCGAATAGTGGAGATGATCGGCTGAGCAATCGACTTACATGGCTTGAGGTCTACCATGAGCCATGGAAATTAAAACGTCATATTGATACAACGTCCACCATAGCCTCCGCCATAGGCGTTTATCCATAACGTTGAGGCCTGAAGGCATAGCGTCTCGATGCATGCCCATTCCATATGCCGTTCGGGCAGCAATGCCGACCCAGTACCAAGAGTTCGAGATGACATCCTCAAGGTCATCGCATTGCCACGTTAGAAGAAGAGCGGCTTGTAGGTACGTCTCGCGATGTTGCTCGAAACGGCAGTCGAACAAGGCTTTAGCTCGCTTGAAGAAGACTGCCTTCAATGCCTTGAGATCATCACGCTGGTTGGACAAGACGTGCGCCCCGACAAGCAAGATGGCATTCAGCAAGAGTAAAGATAACGGTCGTTGTCTCGCAAAGTCGTCGCTGGTCTCTGTGTTGTTATACTTTTTCATGAAGAACTCTTCGTCAACTATGGGGATGCCACGGTTGATGTGCACAAAGTATGCCTGGACAAGTTCATCAGCCAAGGTCTTGGTGGGTAGCTCTAGGGCTTCGGGTGGCACTGAAGACATCCTCGGGGCAAGAGGATGACTCCCGAAATGTAGAACATGCTGATCGGGCCGTTGAGATCGCTGTCGAACGAGATAGTTCAGATTCGAGAACTCAGTACCAATGAAGTAAAGCCGGCCGCTTGGTAGGATATCCTGATAACCTGTCTCTTCTCGGTCAAGAAAGTCGGCCAAGTTTCGCGTTGCAACCTCAGTGGCGTAATGGGTCTGAGCAGTGAACTCGTTTCCTGGAGCCGATGCTGGCCGCGAGTCGACGTTGACCGGTGCCCATGGACTGGCAGCATTCGATGCTGTAGGCGTGGTTGTGGGTCTAGAGCTCGGCTCTGTTGTTATCCTTGGCTGAATAGAGATATTGGGGCTCTGAGAGACCCTTGTCGAGGATCTGGTTTTCTTCTTCTCGAAGATCCGACAGTCGGTAATATTGTTTGCCTCGCATTTGGAGCATGGCGTGCCCTTCTCAAGAATGTCGCAACGCACTTTCCGCTGATGACACGTCACACAGGCCCTGCCGTCTAGTTATCAGAGACAAGATTGTCGGTCAGAATGCTTCTTGAGGTTACGAGGAGCCAGTGAAACAGAGAGGCCGAGGACCGGGGGGCCATACTGGTTCTCGGTTTTTTCGACGGCTGGCCAGACGCTGATCCTGTCGGGGAAGATGCGCCCCTGCGCCCTACGGCTGACATGGCTCAGTATTAGCGGTAAAGCGCCTTCTGGAAACCTATTTTCCGAGCGGGATCTAGACTCGATCACAGCATCTCAGTTGTGATGGCGCGCCCTTGACTGCACTGACGCAAAGCTTGACAGATGTGGAGGTAATGTGGACGGGACTGGATATAAGTCGGAAGTTGTGGTGGATCATTCAAAAGCCGAACACCATGGACTCGGGAGTTATGTCAGCAGAATTTTGCAATCTTGGAAATACGAACCAATCAGATCTTTCTTCACTTTTCACATGCCTTCAAAATCTGTTAGTGCAGAAACATGGGCAGCGAAGTGTCGGTCATTTGAACCAATTACAACTGTGGAGAATGACTTGTAGTACTCCCGAACAACTGGCGAAACATTCAATGCAGTAGGAAAATGGAACCAATAGGTAAAGTTATCTAGCAGGGTCTTGCAAAAGGGTTTTTTTTTCGATGCTCGGGTAGCAATGGACAAAGATGGAGTTGCTAAGACATATAAGGGGAGCTGGGCAGTTCAGTCTGAGTTACCAAGGCTGTACAGACAACATCACAACCACTTGGACCGTTGGACAAACCATACTGAGCAAACTTCAGACGCAAAGAACCATAGAGGGCTATAATGGACGCACGTCCGTTCGAATACACAAACGAAGAGAATGGAGACCGGAAACAAGAACCAACGGCGGATGTTGAGAGGAGCGGCGACACTTCCGACGGCTCATCTTTGCAAGAAACAACGGGGGATCTGCTTGACGCTACGACATTGTCACCTGTAAGTGGCCTCTGCGTGGAGCAAAGTTTCGACTGAAGATTTGGTCGAACGGATCGTCCAGATCCTTTGCGTGGCTCTATCAAGACTACTTGTCTTCTAACGATCAATCCCAGATGCGCAAGCTGCATATTGTTGTGGCCGGCTTTACCTGCACATTCAGTGGCAATCTCGGATCATCAATGCCTTCAGGCGCACTTGACGCCATTAGCGAACAATTCGGAGTTACAGACCGCGTCCACCTTATTCTTCTCAACTCCCTGTTTATGTGCGGATACGTGCTTGGGCCTTTGCTGTTTGGACCGTTGAGCGAGTACATTGGAAGACGTCCGGTGCTCATCGGCACGTACTGCGGATACATCATCTTCATGCTGGCATGCTCTGGAGCACCAAACTATCCGGTACTACTAGTCCTCCGTCTTCTGTGCGGCATCAACGCGGCAGCACCAACAACTGTCATCGGCGGGCTGTATGCTGACATCCTCGATAACCCTGCCGTTCGAGGAAACGCAATGGCACTTTACATGACAGTCACGACTGTAGGCCCACTCATCGGACCCATGGTTTCGGGCTTCTCATCCCCGATGTCCTGGCGATGGCCTTTCTGGATCGCTAGTGTCATCGGGGTCTGCGGATTGCCTCTCGTTCTCACTCTGCCCGAGACTTATGCGCCTGTTCTTCACAACAAGGCAGCCAAGAGGCAGCTGAAGCGAAACAAAGGAGTAGTCGATGGCAAAGAGCAACAACAACTGCAGTTGCAGCCGTTCAATGTGCGGAAGATCTTTCTTCGACCTATGAAGCTTCTATTTACCGAGCCAATCCTCATGGCGACATCTGCGTACCTCACAATGGCGTACTCGGTATTTTACCTACTATTTCAGGCATACCCGGTCATTTTCCAAGGATTCTATGGCATGTCTCCCGGAATGGCTGGACTTGCGTTCTTGCCAGGTGAGATGACGCCCACAATGCTGGAGTTGACGACGAATAAGGTAGACTAACGCATCTGGCTAGTGGTCCTTGGAGTTTTCTTTGCTCTTGCCATTTTCTCCGCATGGACATGGTATCACGACAAGCAAGTCAAGGCCGGTGTTGAGTGGGCTCTGAAGTCGATTAATCGCAGGCTGCCTCTCGCATGCATTGCTGCTCCGCAGTATGTATACCTATCCACGATCTCATATGCAAATGACAGGAACCCAAAACTAACACCTGCATCTTCAGGATGGTCATTGCTCTGTTTTGGCTTGGCTGGACCGTGTGGCCGTCCACGTCCCCCGTTTTGCCTATGTTCAGTGGCGTAATCTTTGGCTGTGGATTCAATCTGCTCTTCATGGGCATGATCAACTACCTCACCGACGTTTTCCGACAATATTCGGCATCGGCACATGCCGCGGCCAGCATGACACGCTCAATCGGAGCCATCACCTTGCCTTTAGCGGCAGGTAAGATGTATAGCAACCTCGGAGTTCACTGGGCTCCATCGGTTCTGGGCTTCATCGCCTTGGCCATGGGTGTTATCCCATTCATCTTTATTAAATTTGGCGATAACCTCGCTCGGAGCAGCAAGATAGCACGAGAGGCATTTGCTATTGAACACTGAGTTGAACACATAATGAGCATATGACCATAGAATACATGCAATAATGATTAGACATAGTTAATAGAAATAATACCCATTTGAAAACCTGGTTCTTTAGTTGAGTGGTATATAAACATGCGACAGAGTACTTGATGAAGAAGCAGCAGCTCAATGATCCAATACGTACCCGGATTGAGGACACAGACGCTGTTGAGAAAGCGCTTCAAAATGAATTATTCTACAGTCTAAAAAAAGAGCAATTCTGAAGGCAGCGTCCTGGCATAGTCTAAGGACATGATCGGAGTGATCAATCGACTCTCCAGTTACGCAGGTCTCTTCTCTCATATCTATCACTTTAAAGAGCAAACCAAAAGGGGGGTTTTGATTACTATCAGACGTATTCTAAGTATGAGAAACAGACAAATGAAATTGGATGAACCACCGAGCCGAAACCTTTCATTTCTGTTTGTTAACGCTGCCGTACGCCGCATCGGAAGCAGGTGCCGCCACGGCCTTTAGACCCACTAAAACCCCGGACCTCGGACTTCTTGGCATTGCCGAGGTGCGAGGTCTTACACGGAGGACAGTACGGAAAAGGCAAGTAATTCGCCGGATGGGCCACTTAGACCATAGACAAATCGGCGGATTCATAGTGACTTACGCGTAGCACCTTCATGGTAACCCAGCTGGGAAACTGAGAGACATCAAGTTCTTCGGCGCACAAGTGTGAGATTTGACGTTGGGCTTTTCTTACCAAAGAGACAGGTAGATGTTCATTGAGTAGCTAAGGCAACTAGGTCCGACCAATCAGAGAAGCTCTTATGTGCAAGTCGGCCGAGAGAGGGCTTTCAGTAGGCTCCCGGCCGGATAGATGCTCAAAAGGAGTATGCCCATGTCATGCAGTTTTGTCTGAATAAGAATGTGGCTTGAAGATGGAACCAGGATATACGGAATGATGATTCATGGATATCAGCCCTGCTTTACTGAGCTAGACCAAGAGGCATGTGTTTAGTATGTCTTCCCTCTGGAAGGTATCCGTCGTCGATGCTGATGTGGAACAAGAGTGCTTACATGCTATCGCGAAAGACTAGGGGCATGTTCTGCGAATCCCCATGATCCACCCACTAGTACTGGAAAGGGATGAGCAGCCACGAGGTCTCAGCTTGGCAGGCCGTTCCGAACCGTTATTTTCGATCTGCGTGTCAATAAGTCCCATGAGCAGATCATTTAGGTAGCGATGTGTCTGATATGCAGCACGTCCCTTGCTGTCAAATGATACCCCAGTGACCATTTTGCCGATATTAAAGGACGGCCTTTCCATCCAAGACCAGCCTCTCTCGTGCAAGCCCTTAGTACACAATATTCCAATTCGAACCCAAGTCTCAGACCCAACGTCGCTTTTAGGCGAGGGCTTCCTAAACGACACGATGAGTGAAGCAAGAGGTGAGACAGACACCCAACCGCTCAAGCGTCAACATCCATCACTGACACTACTGATAAAGCCACGTACGGCTATGTTGACCCTAACTTCGTCAACCCTGGAGGAAAATGGGACACGCCAGTCATCATATACGGCTACACCCCATCGTTTGTCCTAACAGTCCTTGCCGACATCCTCTTCTTCCTCCTCCTCCTCGTCCACACCTGGCAGATCATTCGCTACCGCAGCTGGTACTTCGTCACATTCCCAATCGGCCTCCTATTCGAAATCGTCGGCTACGTAGCCCGCTCCCTCTCCGCGAAAGCGAACCCGTATAACCTCATCTACTTTATTCTCAACTACTTCTTCATCGTCACGGCCCCGGTATTCCTCGCAGCCGGTATCTACACGATTCTCTCCGCACTCATCAACCGCTTCGGGCGACAATTCTCGCCTTTGCCGCCTAAGTTGGTTTTGTGGTTCTTCATCACTTCAGACGCCATCGCGACCATCACGCAGATCTCGGGCGCCGCTTTAATTGGAGTCAAGCAATCACGGCGCGAGGACCCCACGACGGCTAACAACATTTTGCTTGGAGGACTCGCTTACCAGGTCTTCTCGATCGGTTGCTTCGTTATCACGACTTCAATCTTCCTCTTCCGGGCTCGAACAGCAATCAGGCAACATAGGCTTACGACGTTCGTGGCTGTATTTTCAGCGGCGACGTTGCTGATTTATCTGCGTACCTGCTTCCGTCTTGCCGAAACTGCGGAAGGTCTTGGGGGATACCTTTACTCAAACGAAGTTTTCTTTGGCGTGCTCGAATTTGCGCCTGTGGTCTTGGCGGTGATTCTGCTTTCTATCTGGCATCTGGGCAGATGCGTGACTAAGAAAGTTTCCGGCGGCGTTGGTGATGCTGAAAAGACAACGGTTCGCAGTTGTGAGTCTATTCAGAAATAGGCACTTTGTAGTTTCGCTATAGAAGTTCCCCTTCCCCCAGTGCCTGTGTAATAAACAAGGATACTAATTCTTGTGCTGCTCATCTTTCCACACCTCAATACAATGGATATCTTGCTGTACCAGTCGTCCGCGCATCAACAGCTGCCCATAACCTCTTCTCGAGCTCCGTGCCCTCCTCCACCACCGCCTGCCCGAAGACCCCAAACCCAGGCATGGGCTTGGGCTTCGACTCTAGAAATTGTTGACGAGCATCGATGACCCATTCAATGAGCCTTCGCAAGTCGTAGCTTTGACGAAGCCGTCTCTCCATTGTTCTCCGTGCTCGCGAAAAGGTTCGAGATGCCGGTGACTTGTCAGAAGTCGACTCCATCTCTCTGGCTAGGATAACAAAGCCCATCGGAACGTCGTCCATATCGTTGAACTGCGGATGGCGTGCGACAATGTTTTCCATCGTCTGGAAAGCAAGCAAGAGGAACTCTTCAAGCCAAACTTTGATTGCGTCACGTCCACCTTGTTCCATGATATCCGCAAGACCACACGAGACGCGCCGGTGCTTTCCAAATATGACGCTGTCTAACTCGTCGCCGAATGCGAAGCCAGGAAGACTCTGCAGAGCGGCTCGCAAGGGATGTTGAACCTTGTAAGCTGTGGGCGATTCCCCATATGAGGTACTCTCTGAAGCGTCGTCGCCCATGAGAAGGCGATCCAGTTCGGAGGAAAGTCTTGAGTCGGTGGTCTTGCTTTTCCACCTCTTTGACTTCTGCTTCTCCACCTTCGCGGACTTCTTGATGTGTCTGTAGGGTTGCGCTGGACTTGGCTTTCGGCTGGGTAATCCACGCGCAGTCGGTTTGGCATCTCGCGTGATCTTCCTTTGGTGTGTCGTTCCTTCCTGCATTAAGTTGACTGTCGATGTGTCTCCCATGAGACTGACTGGGGTCATGTACACCGCGTGTGATGCAGCTAGTCCTGCATGTGGCCTAGGATGCGAGGCAACGGGAGGTACACCGGACTGAGGCGGATTTTGGTTATTGCCCATGTCCATTTCGAAGTCTCCCGAATGGCTGGCCGAGACATCCATTATCGATAACGCCTGAGTGTGGACGCTGATGGGTGAAAGTGTGAGTTGGCGGGGGCTAATGGTAGGTATGCTTGACTCATGGGCGAGGTTTCGTTTGTCGCATGAAAATTTTCGTCAGTCTTTGAAATCTGACCGCAAATATGCAACGAGTTCGCCGCGATAAAAGTTTGATCGTAGATGCGCGGGCTAGAGAGCGTGGAGGTTTGTCCAGATACGTCAAGCGCGGTATGGCGATAGTGCTAGCAAAAGAAACGACGTTGAAGATAGGTGGGAAAGGTGTCACATCGGGGAAAGTATGAAATAAGCTCGCGGGTAGGGCTGCGGGATTTTGTGGGTCTTTGGGCTTGAAGACTCCACGGAAGAAAATGCGAGTCAGAGAGCCGAGTCTCATGAAAGTGTCGGAAGAACAAAGGGGAAGTTTGCACACTCTGAAAGTGAGGAACTAGCAGGGTGTTTGTGCCCTCTCATCTTATTACTCGTTATTTCTACCTGTTTGACAAAAGATTGAACCCACCCAGCATGACGATGACGCTGAAAGAAAGGCAGATACTGATCATGTCCCATCCAGCCCAAAGAAAATCGATTTCTGTTCAAAGAAGAAGCTATGCCTGTTGCCTTTTGAGAAAGGGTTGTTGGGTCGGAGGGACATCAATCAAGCTGGCGTCGCTGTCCAGATAATACCAGCGGTCAGCTTTTTCCGGCCTCGGAGCAGCAGGATCGATTCTGCTCTCTGCTGGGATATTGAACTTCGCAGTTGTTGTTGCTTTGTCTACGAAGCTGTTTTCGACGTCCGGCTGGGATGTCTGATTGTAGTTGATTTCATTGGAGTCGACCTCCCCTCTGATCAACTCTGCCCAGGTCTTGTGGCTTTCCTCAACGACATGTTGCATGTAGGTGAGATTCTGATACCAGTCACCGATGATATTGATGACTGGATCGCCACGGGTAACCTTGTAGTGCTGCGAACTGGTCAGTGGGGTCTTTTATCATGCGATATGAGAAGAAGACTCACAGTCCACCAGTCTCGGAATGTCTTGATGGTCCCAGGGCGATACTTTTCAACATCTTCGAAAGCTTTGAATAAGTCAGCTCATGAAATCCGGTCTCTCGAGCTTGCAAATGATCTCACAGTTGATAACGGACGCCGTGGGATCCTCGACGTCGATGCCGAGAATTTTCCAATCCGTTTCGTTACCCTGTGACAATTCCCTATTAGCATGTCTCACACGAGGGGCTGACAATGCAATTCATCGTAGACTTACATCGGCCAAGGCAAGGCCACCGAGAATCTTAACTTGTTTCACCTGACCGACGTGCCCACGGCTAGATGCAAAGTCAGCCTCTTAGTCTTCATCGAATATGAGACCTGATGAAGGCGGACCTTCCTTGCGACTTACTCCTGACCGATGTCGAAGAGATCTACAGGGTCGTTGTCCCCTAACAGGCTAGTAAAAGAGTGGTTGTAATTCGGACTTTCCCATGTTTGCGGGATAGACCCGTAGATAAAAGGGTACGATTTGTGTGGCCAAACATTCTCCACGTATCGCGGAGCGCCGTTCAGAGAGTCATGAACAATAGGATCTGAAAAAGAAGGAATCATTAGCCTTGTGAGGTTTTCTTCCATTGAAACACACTCACTTAATGGCTCGCTTCTCTTGAGTTCAATTTTGCCATCCTGCCACCTGGGTAAGTCAAACCCCCCACTTCCTGGCACCCCCCTGTTTCTGGCACCCACAAAAACGCGAAAATCCACCACAACCCAATGCCCACCCCCAACCTCCTTTTATCACAACATTTTCAATTCGCGTCTAAATGGGCTCATCTTTTGCACATACCTTCTTCTATATCTAATGCCTCAATATACCGAAGATCAGCTTCGTCAGGCTCTCGAGGACATCTCAAACGGCAAGAGTCAAAAGAGAGCCTCATTGGAGTATGGGATACCACGATCAACCCTCCAACTACGTCTCCAAGGTGGTCAGACTAGGAAAGTGGCTTTTGCTGACTGGCAGAGGCTGTCTCCTGACCAGGAGAGTAAGCTGGCACAATGGTTTCGCATTCAGGCTTCGCTGGGCCTCGCACCAACGCACCAACAGGTGAAGGAATTCGCAGAGCGAGTTCTGGCTGCTGCTGGGGATACCAAACCACTGGGAAAAGGCTGGATCTATGCCTTTGTGAGAAGGAACCCTATCATTAAGGTTCAGAGAAGTCGTTCTATCGATTCTAGACGCGTTAATGGGGCATCTACTGAGGTCATTAGGAACTGGTTTAAGTTCCTCGCTATCCCTGAGATCAAGGACATCAAACCAGCCAACAGATATAATATGGATGAGACTGGCATCCTCGAGGGTCAGGGAGCTAATGGGTTAGTGCTGGGTATGGCTGAGACGACGTCTGTTCGCAAGAAACAACCTGGGTCGAGGGCATGGTTCTCTATCATTGAGTGTATCTCAGCCTTGGGTAGGGCACTTCGTCCTCTTATCATTTTCAAGGGGAAGACAGTCCAACAGCAGTGGTTTCCATTACATCTCGTTCCATACGATGGGTGGGAGTTCACAGCAACAGATAATGGCTGGACTACAGACTTAACTGCCATTGAATGGTTAGAGAAGGTGTTCATCCCACAGACTATGCCTGAGGCTGAGGGGGAGGCTCGACTGCTGATTGTGGATGGGCATGGGAGTCATACGACGACAGACTTCATGTGGAATTGCTATATTAACAATATCCATTTACTGTTCTTACCACCACACTCCTCTCATGTCCTCCAGCCTCTTGACCAGTCTGTCTTCAGCCCTGTTAAGTCAGCCTATCGGAAGGAGCTCGGTTACTTGTCTCAATGGAACGACTCTACCATTATAGGTAAAAGGAACTTCCTGGACTGTTACCAGAAGGCTCGACTTGCTGGTCTATCAGTCTCGAACATCAGAAGTGGTTGGAAGTGGACTGGTCTACACCCTGTGGCGATGGTTAAGCCCCTGATGAACCCTATGGTACTACCTGAGCCTCCTGCTAAGCCCACCACACCCAAACCAACTAGTCAGGGCAGAAAGCGATGCCATAATGGTCAATAAACTACCCCTGTTGAGCCATGGGATTCTGCCTCCTCTGCAGTGGTCTGGTCGACACCCAGGAAGCTGGCAGAGCTCAGCGGTCAACTGCACTTATACACCCAACTCGACAATGATACCAGCACTCAACGGCTGCTATTCAGGAAGGTGAAAAAAGGCTTCACAGAGCAGGCCTGGCAACTGGCAGCTGCCCAGCAGCAACTAGCTCACCTGAGGGCTCAAGTTACCAACGCTGCAGTGAGGAAGAGGAAGACTGTTCAAATCGATCCCAACACGAAGTTCGCGAACATCAGGGATATCCATCGGGCTCAAATCGAAGCGGGTGAAAAGGAGGTTATCACGGCTGAATCCAGCGACTCTGAATGCCCTAGTGAGGCTGGCAGCTGTATTGTAGTGGGTGTGGTTGAGGATCAATAGTTAATAGTAATGAGGAGGTCGGGTTGTGATCCCATCGTTTTTGTGGTGCCAGAAACAGGGGGGTGCCAGGAAGTGGGGGGTTTGACTTACTTCAACGACGAGGTTCATCACTTGCTTATTGCTCTCATCCGGCCAGACTGGCACATCATGCCAGAAGGAAATGGGATCCCCGTCTTTTTCGAGCCATATCCTCCAGTCCTAGAGTCGTGTGTTCAGCATTTACTCAGGATAGGCTAAAGTCGTCAATGGGGTCGGTTACCTCTGTGTTAAGAGCTCCAACTTCTCTCAAGCTCAAGGCGCTGGAGTTGAAACTGTGGGAGCTAGTCAAAGCAGCATTGCCCAAGACCGACAACGCCGCAAGGGCGAGAAAACAAGTGCTCGGCATTGATGCTGCGTGTCAATCAAAGCTATTTGTTGTGAAGTTAGATAATGAACCGCCGGCTCTTGAGATGAGGTAGCGCCAAAGAAACACGCCACGCACCTGGAGTATTTTGTATGTTAACTGTGGCAAACCCACACCGCCTTAGTCTATCAAGGTAGGCCGTCTCCTACAGGGAAAGGGGGCTGAGGAAAACATCCATCTTGCTGTGGCGGGGACTGCCAACAGGGAGGACGGCTCGGCATAGGGACAGGCGTGAGGAGCTCTGACACGAAGATTGGATGGGCACGACGAGAAAAGATCAGATTGGAGATTTTGCATTGCAATCCAGGGATCCGCGGTGCCACTGTTGATGAGTTGGTGCGGGGTGATTTGTGAGAGCCAGGGATACAGGGTTCATGAGATAGGCCAATGACGCTGTTATTGTTACGGCAGCGAAAAGGGGAATTTTCGTCATCGCTAATGAAAAATCGCATGTGCTTAATTTGGCGACTCTGGCATTTCAATGCAAGGAAACTCCTGTGGAAAATCGCCTATTCTTGCCCTCACTCAATCTCGTTTCTTATTGCCTCTTGAGGAAAAGTTCAATCCCTCGTCGGCAACAACTTTCCTTCCCTGCCCTACTTGGAGAAATTCGGGCAAGGTGAAGTGAGCCCAATCTCCGCACTATTGTCTCAGCAAAAATATCGGTTTTACGCCATGATTTGCTGAGATCCCAATGTTAGCATTGAAATGCTGCTTCTATGATAATCCGGAAGCGCAGTTGTTCCAGTCTGAGTCTGATTCGAAAATTAACGGCGCCGGAACATCGGAAGACTGAGGATTCGGACGGGTCCGGCTCAGAAGCTTGCGAAGGGTACTGGTCAGATTAGTCAGTGAACTCTAGTCCAAGATCCCCTCAAAAGATGCTTTAGTGGTGGTAGAGAAGTTACTGATTGGATCAGTCGTGTTCGTGGCAAGCATTGATGGGCTCTGAAATTGGATGATTTACATTGTTCTGATTGAAAGCCAAGTCGCCGTAATCTCAACTGAGAAAAAGGTAAGCAGCAGACCAACTATTTCTATCTTATTTGATAAAGATCAAAGTTATTGAATGGTCTTGTCCGTATATTTTCGCACGAACTGCGTGATATGGAATCACAATGCCCTGGCAACGTTTTCTGCGGGAGGATCTCTCCCTTCAGTCGTTTGCTTTAAGTACTCTCTTCGTGTTGAGCTGCCGTCCCGTTCTTGACATCCCCTTCATATGCAACATCAGTAACCCTTGCCGACTCACCGTCGAAGATAACCGCCATTTCTTCCAACGTGTGACCGCGGGTTTCTGGGTAAAAGAAATAAATGGTGATCCAACCGATCAAGAGAATCACGACAAAAACTATGTAATACTTCCATCCAATGGCTTCGAGTGCGATCGGATTGACAAAGACGTTGAAGAAGATTCCCAAGTATGTGGTCATTTGCGTCAGAGCTGTTCCTCGTGCACGAAGTTCGTATGGCCAGATCTCAGCTGGGTAGGATACCATTAGAGGAGTGCTGCTCATGATGTGATTAGCAGGTCACATGCTTCTGTTGTGTTGCGTCGTCGACTTACAAGGCAATGTGGTAGAACCCATAGAATATGAACAACACCGGGACCACTGCCACACCGACCGATGGTGCCCCAGTAGCATCAAAGCTACCAGACAGGCCAGTAATGACGACGAAACTGACGAACATTCCACCACAACTGACGAGGAATAGCGGCCGACGACCTAGTCGGTCAACCGAGAGAGCGGCTGATACGGCCAGAATGAGGTTCCAAATTTGCAGACAACCGTTGATGAGCGTTTGATCCGTGACAGAGGTGATACCAATTGTGTCTAGTACCGCTCCGAGGTAATACGACACGATGTTTTGCCCAGCCCACTGTCCAAGTAAGCCCAGCGACATTGAGATGAAGGCTCTATGTCTGTTTCCAGGTGTATTGAACATCTCCAGCCATGAGGAGCTCTTAGCCGCCATCTCATCGTCTTCGATGGCTCGCTCGATCTCGGTCATCTCGAAGTCCACAAGGATAGAGTTTTGGTCCCCCCCGCCATGAAACTTGGTCAGTATGCTGCGAGCCTTTTGAGCCTGACCTTTGGAGACAAGAAAACGGGGCGACTCTGGGACGAGAATAGCGGCGGGAAGTACGAGTAGCGGGATGGCGATCTGTAGCAATGACGGGATGCGCCAAGACCAACTGTTGTCGTAATTTCGGGTTCCGAAGGTCGCCCACGCCGCCAAGCTTGATCCAACGAACCAACCAGTGTTGTAAAGCCTGTGACACTGTCTCTCAGCATTCTCTTCTTAACGAATCTGAAATCTCATGTTCAGGGCCAGCACCTACGCCGTAAGGATTCCCCGGTGCGTCGGGTATGCCAACTCCGTAATAAGAACAGGCGCAAGACAACCCCACCAGGCGCTCGGCTGGCCGATGATGACACGACCGATGATGAATCCAGCCTTGTTGGGCGAGAACGCCTGGAGAAAACAACCAATACACAGGAAAGCGTATCCGATAAAGAGTCCTTTCTTCCGGCCCCAGCGGTTTGCGAAATATGCTACCAAAGGGTACGCAAGCATAGTTGAAAGTGACTGGACGGCGTTGATGAACCCGAGCCACGATCCCTTGGGGGAGTCCATGAATGTCTGCCATTGAGGTAAAGCCAAGAGACCATTCATCATTGAGCCATCGTAGCCGTTGGCTGCGCAGAGCAGGGCCAGGAAGATGCAGTAGAAGTTAAGGCCTATGAGATGCCGTTGTTTGTACCACGGGATTCCATCATCTGGGAGAACAGCGGCGAGTTCTGGGCTGATGCCTAGGTTCTTGGCAGAGGTTTTCGATCTTCCGAACATAGTGGCTACAAGTCAGAGGCGAAACATGAAGACTTTCACCAGTACCGTGAGACCACAGACGTAGCAAATGGGCCCAAAAATGAGAGCAAAGGTAAATCGAGGAGATCCTTTGACAAAACATTGGTTTCTTTCCGCGACTCATAGTCTTCTTAAGTGTCTCTCTCGACTCCATGAGTGCGGGATTCTTTAGACTTTGGCAGTTCCAAGCGCCCTCCACAACCAACTTGAGATCCTGTTTCGTAGAGGTCTTCGGAAGTCAGGTCCGTGGAGTATCGGCAAATGGCACCTTGAACACGCGATGTCAACCTGACCAGGGGTACTCGGCGGTTCATTTCTGCCGACGTTTTCCCGTTGCCAAAAGCCGCATTTCTCGGAAACAACGAGCTCTGGCGGGTAGTGCGTCGTCGGACCAAGAGAATACACATAATTCAGGCTTCGGGTAAGGGACATCCCCAGAGTAGATGGGCTGTTGCGACGCGGGGTGCGGGGGATCTACGAACCTCAGTGGAGATCGGAGGTTGAAGAATCCCCGTCTTATCTCCCAACCCCGCGTTCTCAGAGCAATAAAGATACTCGGGTAGAATCATCCAGCTCGGAAAAGACACCAAGACTCCAAGAGCGCCTGGGTAATGACAGGGGATGTGCCGACCCGGGGAGTTTCGGACGTCTCTGAAAATCCACCCTTGTCGTTGCAACTCGCATGTCACGGGTACGTGTGACGTTGACGTTCCTCTACTACGGTGATGTCGGGAGATCTTTGGGTCTCACAAATGCAGAGATGGCACACGAACAACGGCGACGTGGGAGACTTGTTGCACTTTGCCGCGCCGAAGTCTGTCTTTGTGTGCTAATTGATAGTGCATGTGATTTAGTATTAAGTAGTCTCCTGACGATGGTCAGACAATAATGACACCTGTACTGCAATAGCCAAGGTAGTGCAGGTTGACCTCTTCAGATCCTGTCAGCTTGTGCGCTCATTGTCCAATGCTGGAAATGAAAGCCATGTATCAGATGCTCCATGCTTGTCACAACAACCATGCTTGATTTACTTGGTGATCACTTACTTAAAGTACGGACTGTGCTCACAAGGTAAGATATCAGAGAAAGAAGAGAGATAGAGAGAAGACTATCTGTTATTTTCGTATTACAAGAAGATAGGCAGCGGAGATCGATTGACTGTTGAGGGTTTTGCGTGAAGAAATAGGGGAAGTTAGAAATCTTCGTCCTCCTTGACATCTGCCCCTGAGGTGGTCCTAGCGGACCTCATGACTCGATTTTGTCTCCCATCATGACAGCTTCATTGTCATAGGTGCGTAAGGTACGCCGGAAGCATCTACTACCTTCCGCATTTTCCCGGTGTAAAGCCCGGCACGCTTGAACAACTTAGGTTGAAGACAGGCCTCGAGACGTCGCCATTCCTCGTAAGACCAAACTCTATGCCTTGACTGAACTGATCAGCATTGGAGTCGAGCAGTGTGTACCAGAAAACATTGAGACTCGTTTGGAAGAGGTCACATCCCACGTTGGCCCAATAGAGTTGAGCGTTTTCAACTGAAGCGACGGCATCGCCTTGAGATTTGCCAGCTTCGGGAGGACAGTTAGCATCCGAAACCTTGTAAATCTCTTAGATGTGATGCTAAGTAAAAGTCTTACCATGCGGCCATCCAGTTTCGGTGACCCACACCTCCTTTTCCTCGCCGCATGCACTTGAAATTTGGGCAGCGACTTCCCTTGTCTGGTCAAGAGCAGACGCGAATAGGTTCGTGGCGTTCTCAATACTGTTTTGTTTATCGAACTCCCAGTAGGGGAAGGAATTGTGACCAAGCCATTTGACGGCTTTCACAACGGCGGCATTTTCAGGGCGAATCCACGCAGTGTACGTGTCGACGTGGCCAATGCGGATGGCCTTCCAGGAGGGTAAATTGTTTCTGATGTAGGTTTCGAGACGCGTGATGTATCCTACAATCTCACCTGCGTCGGCGCCCTATCCACTGGTCGCACTTCGGTACAGGTCTTCGGAACCGACGGAGATGCCGATGATCAGGTTGACAAAAGCGTCACCATACAGGGAATAAGCGATCGAAAGAGATATGAGCTCTTCCGTGTAGTGATCATTGCCGGAGCTGGCCCAGAGACCGACCAGAATACTCGTGTTGTTATCAATAGCGGCCTTGTAAGCCGAGATTGGTTCGGCCCGGGATGTATTGCCGCACTGGATAGAAGTGTAAAGACGAGCCGAGGTGAAGTTTTTCCCCTCCGTGCCAGCCAGTGTCTTTGCGTGCTGGAAGTAGCGTACGAAATCATGGTAACCTCTGCATGACCCATCTTCGTTCGTGGCGCCATAGTTGAATCCCAGGGCTCCCTGCTGGATTCTTGCTAGGGCAGTGGTAGCCAAGGAAGCAGCAACTACGGTCATTAGAAACATCTTGTTCGATTGATTGGGATTGAAATAGTTAGTAAGTTATTCGAAAGGTGGCAGAATTTCATCCTCCTCCATTCTCGTCAGCAATTGCATGTTGGGCGAGTATTTGAATGCGGTGGCCATCACAATTTCCTTTGTTGCATAGAAACAGAGCTGGGCCGAACAGCCTTCTTTGCTTGATGTCCCGTAAAGTGCGACAATTTTCCGTGCCCCCCCTTTCTTTTGTAGTTGAGAACACTTTCTTTGCTATTACTATTTAGTTTGCCGCGGCATAAAACTAAAATGGCTGGTGGCATCAGCTGCTCAGTGGCCTACGCATCTTCGGGTATGTTAACCTGTCTATTCATTGAGCTTACCCAGCGATATTTTACCCGGAACATAGAATCGGCGAGGTACCAAGCAAGTCCCATGGAGCGTTATCACGGTACGGATATATGGACGATCTTTACCCGCTCCTATGTTCCGTTACTCTTTCTTGTGTAGGTAAGAGGAGGCGGATAGCGTGAGACTAATACTCATCCGTCACTGGGTATGTTACGCGCACTCCAGGCCCTCACTCTCGAAGCCAAATTATAATGGTGGTGTGGCGAACCCTCGACAGTAGCCTGAATAGCGTGTTCGGAATGACCGTTAATATGTACTTAGTCCGCAATTGTCATGCAAGAATGGTGACCAGGCCTAGCGTGGTATCGCAGCCGAAGTGGTATTATGGGTGTTCTGGGAGGCTGTAGGGAGGTACATCTATTCTTCCAGGGGCGCGACCATCCGGACGCATCTGACCTGATACATTTCCACGCCCGCTCTTCGTTTTACTTTCTTAAATCCTTGAACTTGGTCAATTTAGACGCACCGAGGCGTGTGTTAATCGAGTAGTAACACTGTCTTAATACATCCGGTCCTTGTCGGAGGTTCTCAATATGGACCGTTTAATATTGTAAAAGCGTTGTTGGATTGGGCAGGCGACAAGACAACGAAAAGTTTGACGCGCAAAGACAGGTACCTGAACGAAGCAGTGAGCAAGAAACGAGGGGGCAGGAAGATGATAGCAGGAGCGATGTGGGTGGGCTGCGCCGCTGCGGGCACTCTGTATTTTGCTCTGCAGCCACCACGAATAATGTCGTGTGTTCTACTAGCCCTATTGGCACAGAGAAATATGCTAGATATCGATTGGGATGTGCCATATGTGAACTTGGTAAAAGGGGCCGAGGGCGCCCTGAGATGCCACCGGCCCGGTGAGTGGTCACATGGAGATGGGCGAGCTATGAAAACGTTGACACCATCACGACAGTCACGCGGAAGACGAGACGCGATGTAAACACAAAGACATGTAGTACACACATATACGTCCACTCCCGTCTGTTAAACAACTCTCATCATGTTAAAGAAACGTTTAAATCTATTCTGGTCGGTCAAATTGAGGAATATCAAAAACATTTGATAAATGAGAAGCAAAAAGAGTTCACCCTCCCGGTGTTGAACTGAGGGCTACATCTCTTGGTGCACATGCTGGGAATTGTTGACCATATACCACTCCCCGACCCACCCCAGTTTGACCTGACCCGTCGACCTAGACGGGCGCCTGCTGGTTGTGGTGACGAGAATGGACTTGAGGGGGCTCATATACCCTTCTCGTGTATTCAGATGGAAGGAAGGTAGGGACGGAAGGTACAGTCTGGTCGTACTTTCCCTTCGAAGATTCTCAACCGGTAAGATGTCCAGGTAGACGTGGCACAATCATCACGACTCATGTCCTTATAGTAACAAATTGACTACCAGAAAGAATGTGAACCCAAAAAGATGTGACTCCGGCTGCGGAGAGCAAAACATAGGTACCATCCATTCCGCCTCGGAACCCTCAAGCAATACTGGGATCCGCAACGCCACCTACCGAGAAGGGCAGGCCGGTGAACAACGAGGGAGAGCCCGAGAATCAGTCTCTTTTGCCAAAGTAAATTATTGAAAAGAATACGAAGACGGCATTTATGGGTCGTCCGAATGACTTTGCCAGCGGAAGATGGCAAAGCTTGATGTAAATAGCTCAAAGGTATTGTCCTGAGATGCGATACCGAGCCTGTACAGCATGGCAAATCACAAGACAGGAGACTTCCTGAGTTCCCAAGTCTTGCTGCTGACATGGCGGCTGGCCGTCCTGATGGTAGGAAATTTGAGGTAGGATAGCAGCACCGCAGCGGGCCGGCACCCCAAACTTGAGACCTGGGTCAAAGCCGTTCGGCGGTGACACTGCAGCAACTCATTCAGCACTACTCTTGAATCGGTCAGCGTGATGGGTATGGTACTACTACCGTGTCGAATCTGCCTTTGATGCGGTGATGACTGCTCGGACACAGTCTCTTTGTCCTGTCCCCAGTCTGTCCTACTTCACGACGACCCAGACTTCTTGGCGGCAACTACGCCCCGGACCCCCGTGCTTACTTCAAAGAGAAGGCAGTTTCGAGTAAACTAGGTTTAGGTGAAGAAATAAAGGGCCACTGGCGAATATCGACTCCCTTCTGAGGGTTGTTCTGATATCGGTGGGCAGTTTGCCAGAGATCAGCCATGCTTTTCTTTCAGCTACTCTAGCTATTGATCATGGTACTATTCCAACGCGTGGAAAGAATCCTCTATAATTGATAAGGGCCCTGCCGCATTCCGGAAGGGTCCAAATGCTCCAGGTTCATCGATCAATTCGTGTCGTTTTATTCAGTCCGGCTGGGCGATATTTTTACAAGACGGATGAAGTGCGATGTTGATGCTAAAAAGTTCAACGACAAGGAACTGGAGGCGCGCTCGTTTATGGACTGTAGAGCACGCATAACATACGACGGCAAGTGCAAAGAGACACTTTGTTGTTCATTGATTGATCATGAAGTTTTGATTCCAGGAGCCTGATTCCAGTTGGATCTCAAGCAATCTGCTTAGAGTAAACCTAAGGACACCGTCTTGGACTCGCTACATCGTTAATTTCAAGTTCATTTTGCCAGTATCCCTGTATGCCTTTCCCCGCAAGTGACAATCTCCGTATAGCTGGCTCACTGCCTACATCTGGAAGCGATCGATGGCTAGTGCGAGCTCCTTAGCCTCGCACTTTGCGCGATACGCCTCGCTGAAAGCAATCCAGTTGTCGATAGCCTTGATCAAGCCAACAATCTTCTTGGTGTAGGTAGCCTCCTGGACACTGGCACCGCTACCATCACCGCCATCAACACCATTGGTATCATCTCCGCCATTCTTGGCCATCTCGTCAAGGTAATTCTTGCGCGCATCGATGAAGGCGCCAAGTATCTCTTCAATCGTGGTCCACTTGACCATATCATCGGACCAAGCCTCGGCGGGCTTGCCCTTGGCAATGGTCTGCTTGATGGAGACCTCGGCGGCAATGTTCGTCCAGAAGCCCGGCATGACGCCTCTCTGCTTGGGCATCTCCTTGAAGAGGGAATTGTCGGCGTAACCGTACTTGAATCGCTCGCACTCGTCGAGAACCATGCGCATGAAGTCGGCGATGCGGTTACCGTCACCTTGAAAGTTGGAAAGCTTGCCCTCGAGCTCGAGGTAGCGGCAGATGTCGATCGTCGCCTCCTCTTCCATGAAACCGAATTTCGAGAAAGAGAAGCCGGTCTTAAAGACAACGTGAACGATCATCGGAATACGGTTGGTCGCGATGAGGAGCTTGTCCTGGGCGGTGAGCATCGAGGACGGAACGTCGTACCAGTCTGTTCCGCTGACGGGACGAGGGCCAGTGCTGGGTCCAGAGACTGTCGTGTTCCCAGGATGGTCAGCCCAAAGTCTTTGTTTTGTTGGCGCCGAACGAGGAAAGGAGATTACTTACTGGCGTTTCTGCGGAGGTGACGGAAACTCTGCTTCTTCTCCCGGCGGTCAACTTTGACTGGGCTGCTGGAATTCTTGCTCTTGCGGAGATGCTTGAAGATGTTGAGTCTGGCGAACTGACGCTCCTTAGAGGGGCCGGTCGGGATGGGAGTGTCGGCCGGGACAGCCGCGCTGTTGGTCGCAGCCCTGTCGACTTCCATCTTCTCGGTAGGAGCCATATTGTATTGAAATGACGGCAAGTCTGATGATGTGGAAGCAAAGGAGTCGACGAGATCGAGGTATGTTGTGATATTTTGACTCGGCAGCCTTCGAATCTCGATTTTCGACTGCTGTTGTGTGACGAAAGGAAGAGTTTTCTTCAGGAAGGTTCTGCAGAGTATTTCAACAAAGAAGGAGCTGAAAGAACTCAACCCTTCCCGTCGGACTGTTCAGGGACAAAGTCCAACATTCCTCGGGCCATGGGTGAATGGGCTGAACGTCGAGGTCCCGGCAAGGCACTATTGAGGTGATTGCTCCGGAGAGGGAGCAGGGTAGCCGTGCTCGCTGCATGGTCTGAGAGTAACATTCAGCAGTAGGTTCAGACGACAGTTGTCCGGGAAAAGTTTGGTGATGATTTGGAAGACTTGCCGAGTGCGATTCTTTGCAATGTTGAGTTTTCTCTTGGCTTGGACAATGACAGCTGAAGTTTCTCGAAAGTTGCGCCCACTTTCGGGAGGTTATCCCCTCCCAGTGTCGAAGAACCCCTGGAGAAATCTAGACTCAGGGGCTAGGGAAAACCTTCAAGGATTTCATCGATCAAGGCTTAGCGTACTGCGGGCCGCCGCCCTGAATCTTCGCCATCGATTCCCGAAGCCGCCGGCCGTCATCAACGCAGTCTGCCGTTCGAGATCAGGCAACATTGAGTTACGCTAGAGTAACAGAGCTCCATGGCCGGACGAAGCGGACGGACAGTATACCCCAAGTGGGATGGATCGAAGGCGACCTATCCGGCAAGACTTTCGATTGTGATGAATGCCAACTACCTATTTAAGAAGATGGAAACCATTTTTATGGAACCAAGCCCCTATGCTTTGTGGAAGTTTTCTTGGCAGTCTTTTCGAGTGAAGCTGAAACTAACGGGCGGCTCAGGCATAGAGTCTAGATCAGAGGGTACGGCAACGTCGTGTCAGCACTCTTAGGGAACACGTAGAGTGCCCCGTGTGGGTTGTCATTCGCAAGATTTGTCAGTGGGGCGTTGCAAGATCGAAGTTCACTCACGGTTCCAACCCTTAGTATACAATGCTGGCGATGAAGGAGAAGAAGCAAGATGAAAAGCGACATTTCTCCTATTCCACTCCCTGTAACTCCCTTCTGGAGATTTTTCCTGTGAGTTGTGCCTCTTTGCCCAAAGGAGTGGCATTTAATGCTGCGTTGGAGGCGCTTTCCGCAAAGACTCGGCCCATGTGGGAGGTAGCCAACGACTCAACCGGGCTATAAGGCCTTGACTTCGAGTACCTTGATCTTGACACAAGTGATAAGGTACGTTCCATATTACAAGTCTCTGATTCTTGACTTAGTGGAACTTGAGCGCTGTGGATATGATTTGTATATTGCCAAAAGGGAGTTACTCAGTGGTTCTTGGAACTATGGGAGCCGTTGGATACCGTTCTTCCCAAACGGCTTTTAGTGCTTGTGGTGATTGTCGGTACCGGTACTGATTGTAGGTAGGTACTCCCTGGAATCCAAGTGAACAGACTGGCCTAAGTATGTGGGCAACATTGGTGGGCGGAACGCCAATCGATGGCGCTTTTCACGGACTGTCAGACTAGGTATTCACCCAAAGTTACTCCATACATGTACCTAAGTACAAACTTGAAGCCTAGGTGTACTCCGTACAAAAATCACTATTGTCGGCCCGGGAGGTGGGCAGGCAACCCGTCACGGAAAGCAGGGAGGTAGGTATTCACAAGAAATACTCATGGTCTAATTTCCACTCCTTACGGATAATTGGCCAGAAATCGTTTGGTCATCGGATTGTTAATGGGTTTGAATTATTGCAAGCTGTTCATAATCCTTGGAAATAACCTTTGCTTCTTCCATTTGCACCGCGTTGTCTGCTCATTCCTTCAACACGTCTACGGAGTACATCGAAGTCGACTTCAGCACAGATCTTCGGCAGCGCCTAGGAAGGGAACGCTAGTTCAACCATCTCTGTTCGTTTACCCATGGTGTAATAACTTCACGTGTACATGAAGAGTTTCGGAAAGCATCCCAAACAAACTACCCGGTCTCCGACGAGGAGCAAGAAATTCTGAAATAGACGAGACGAGTAGTGAGGAGCAAAGCAAGGTCAGCAAGCAACACTGCGAGCCGTGCCGCAATTTAGCAACACTCGAGGATTCGAAGCTTGCCCGCATCTGGTTCGTACGGTTCGCCTAGTCAAATGGGCCATGGTCATCAGCGACTCCTCCTAGCGATAAGGAAAGTAGTTTGTCACATATCAGATTTCGTGCACAAAACATTTACGAGCTGGAGTGGAAACTCTCGCCAGTTCCTTCCTATTTGTTTCATTTCTAGAATCCGATGAACACGAAGTCGCAGTGTGGCTGGCTACCACGTGAGGCCCCAACTGGCATTTTGAACTCCCGACTTCTGGCTTCCGCGCCATACCGTTACGGAGATCGTCTATCCAGGAACGTCCTTTTCGCTAGGTACTTGAAACAGCATGAGGCGTGGCATTCCCATCGAAAGCGAAGGGACGACAGTACATACTTCTCCGGCTTGCTGGCGCCGCCACTTGTGAGCGACAGGCAATTCGACCCCGTCATGAATTGTGTTGTTGGATTGAGATCACTGTATTCAATATTGAGTCGACCGCGAGTTCAGGGTATAGAGAGAGCAGTTTTTAGTTGAATTGTGTATATTGTAGCGTGTGGTTCCCCCTTGAAAGCCAACCCCCGTTACGGTCGATCTTTTGCGTCTGTAAAGCAGGAAACCCCACTACATACGTCTCCGGCTACTTGTCGAATTAACCTGAGTTTGACGTATCTACGGTACGGGCATGACAGGAAAGCCCAAAGTGATACCTGTCGGTAGGACAGACAAAGGGATTGGGTGCCATCAATGTTTTGATTGCCACCCGAGAGTGAGGATGACACGGGGCACTTGAAGAGTTTGAGTAGCTTCCGCACGGCTTCTGTAGGCTGTCGTGGCTGTCTATGTTGTGGAGGGTGGGATGGCGCATGTATGTGAGCAATAGCGGTGGTCAGTAAGCCTACATGTGTCTCTCCAGACCGAGATACCTGGCCCAAGGTTATTCGAAGAAAGACTCCACTCCTACAAGTCCCCAATTAGACTAAGCAGAATTACAGGGAGTCCAGAGCATAGCCGACGAGCTGTTCTAGTCTTCTAGACACTGAGCCGTGGAGTTTCAGAAGCGCTTAGTGTATTCCCGTCGACAATTTTACATTCGGTCGCGGGAGATTGGGGAAATGGCCGATCAACAAGGAAACAACCTCGGATCGTAGCGCGTGAAAGGGAGCGTAGCGTGTGACGGGACGTCGTTGGGGCGTTCAAGTCTCGGCCCGCAGCGGCCCGCGCTGTCAATCGCCGACGGCGTCCTCACCTCACCTCGATGAGTAGACTACACCGAGGGAGCACAGGCATTTTCCCCTCCGCCCCACCGAGAGCTCTTCCCAAGCGTCATCTCGCCGAAAACCCCGGCCAAAGTTCAACGCGTCAGCATACGCCATATCGCTGAGATTCGGCGCGAAATAGCCAATTGACATTGTTAAGTTTCTCTTGAATCACTACACTGCGCAACGCGACTCTTCAAAGCCTACGACCACCTCAAAAGAGACTTCGAAATGTTCGCAACCCGCGCCTTCGCGAGATCGCGGCCAGCTCTCCGCACAATCCGCCAACGCACATCAACAACGAAAACGACCTTGCGCAAGAACTCTACAAACCCCTCCTCTTCCCGCGCCGTAGACCGCATCCTCGACCGCGTCCCCCTCCGCTTCCAAAAATACACTACCGGCCTCCGCAAAGCGCCCCTCTCCCACGTAGTCGCCTTCCTAATTCTCCACGAAATCACCGCCGTGGTGCCCCTTCTCGGCCTATTCGGTTTCTTTCACTATACCAACTTCTTACCGCTCGAGTACGTGACGGGCCATTGGGCTGGATATGTTAGGGATGGTGTTGGCATGGCGGAGAGGTACTTTAGTCGCAAGGGGTGGTTTGGGTTCGAGGCTCAGGACCGGGGGACGATGACGGGGCAGTTGGAGGGGGCTGGGGAGGGAGAAGCGAGAGAGATGGAGGCTAAGAGCACGCAGGATATGTTGGAGAGGTGGCAGAAGGATGGCAAGTACAAGGTTGTGGTCGAGGTGGCCATGGCTTGGGCGATTACGAAGGCGCTGCTGCCGGCGAGGATCCTCGTCAGCGTATGGGGGACGCCGTGGTTTGCGGGCGCGATGGGCAGGGCACGTGGAATGTTGAGATCACGTCGATAGTCACGGTGCAAAGATCAAAATCACATCACTCTTTGGCTTCATGGTGGCTCTTTGTTTGTGCTTTTTGATTGACCTAAAACTTTTCTGTATTAACCTAACATGTCGACAAGCATCCCACCCGTCCGGCAAGCGTACGGTGGACGTCTATGTCTCGTGTATAATGGCGGGATAGAGAAAAAGCATTTAAGGCTTCTCGTAGACCCAGTCGAACTGAGAAGACTTGTAGGAGACGACATCGCCATCCTTGAACCAGAGGGCAATCTCCTTCTTGGCGTTCTCGACGGAGTCGGAGCCGTGGCAGACGTTGCGGCCGACGTCGATGGCGTAGTCGCCACGGATGGTGCCGGGGGCGGAGGCAAGGGGGTTGGTGGCACCGAGGAGGACTGTGAGGTGTATATTAGTATGAGGCTATTCGGCTGAAGGGGTGTAGGGAGTCCGTGAGGGACTTACCACGGCCAGTCTTGACGGCGTCACGGCCCTCCCAGACCATGGCGCAGATGGGGCCAGAGTTCATGTCTGTTATAGTGTTAGCTTGAGTTCACGGTAGACGAGGCATTGGGGGTGGAACGTACACTCAATGAGGCCGGCGAAGAAGGGCTTGTCCTTAAGGTCGGCGTCTAGCAGATGGTTAGCTTTATTTTATGATACGGCGGGGAAGAATTGACGAACAGTGGGCCTGGAGGTGCTCCTTGCCGGGGGTCATGAGCTTGATGGCGACGAGCTTGAAGCTGTGGAAGACGCGTTAGAGATCACGAACTTGGTCGGAGTAGGGCATCAACTGGGAAAAAACTTACCCACGGGTCTCGAAGCGAGAGACGATGGGCCCGATCAGGCCGCGCTATGGGAGGGTCAGCTTGCTGTAGCTGGCAATTGGCAAGAACTAAGTGAGATGGAGCGTACCTGAACGCCGTCAGGCTTGATGGCAATGAAGCTATCTCGAGGTCAGCTTTTTTTGTTCTGTTTCGAGGTGGTGATGTGTGCCCCTCTTCTGCTCGAAACCTCCCACGATGGCGGGGTAATTTCAGGGTAGCGGCGGGAGCTCTCAAAGAAAAGCAAAACAGCATGATGCGGCATTGCGGTGCATGCTAGCTCGATGGGCAGGGAGATATCGGATTGGGATGTGTACTCACGTCTGCTCGGTAGACATTTTGGGAGAGGTATCAACGACGACTGTGGGAGTTGAAGATGGTTGATGTTCTTGGTAGATTGTGGTGGTGACAACGGAAGGGGCGACGGGAGGAGAAGAAAGGTCTGCTGCTGACCGCTGGTTTTGTTGGCTCGATGAAAAAATTATGTACAAACCGAAGAGGAGAGCGAGAATTATGAAAGTTGGTGGGGGCAGCTTCTCTGCCGTCCTGCGGGCGTATTCGGGGAAGCTCGCGGGTGGTGGTGCATTTGCATTATTCTGCTGCGGCTTCTTGTGCTTCGAGGCGGGGTCGTTGTCCTGCGCGCCGCCAGTGTGGTGGTGGGGTTCCGAATCAGCCATTGGATGGAAACTGGGTGAAGATGTGGAGACGATGGACAGTGTTGTAAGCTTCTGATACGGCAGTTTTGGAACTGTGAGCTAGACCGCCTAATTTTTATTTTGACAGCTCAGCATTGATGGCAACCAAAAGGTGGAGGTTCGACCGTCCGAGAGAGAGGGTGACGGGAGGTGTGGAAATGGCGTTAAACCAAGGGGAATGTTCCTTACCTATAGCACTTGAAATACAGAACGCCAAGCTCAACTTTCTTTTCTTTGAAACGTCACATGCAATTGACCTGGAATCTCGCTCAAGAGAAGCTCTGAAGTCATGCAGTTTTGGGTTGATACATAAGTAAATAATCGTGGTGCGTGTTGATTCTTGTTGTCAGGTACGGAGTACGAATCAGGTACCTATCTTCTGACTCATTGCATCTCGGATAATCCCTTAACGGGCACAGCGGGCCCCGCGCGAAATTATTGGTTATCTGAAGTCCTCTCAGACTACTGTGGGTCCCGTTCGCTCATCCTGGTCCCACTTCTTCGGTCTGTCACTGCCACTTCACCTCACATCAAAAGAGACCCGACAAAAAGCTGATTTCCTGCTCACGCGTATCGTCGTCCTCAACATGACTGGAGACGTTTCCAGTGAAGACGAAATTCTTCTTGGATTCGTTGTACAATGGCCACTATGTCCCGTTGACTGAAAATCTCAACGTCAGTAGTTATCCCACACTTATGAGGCTCTTTGGAATATCAAACTTACCAGATCTATTGCTATTCGGTACACCCGTTGCAACAAAGCTAGCCCATGCCGCTGCCATGATGGAAGCCAGGCCAGAAAACGATTGAGGCTTGTCAAGCAAAGGCCAGACGTCGTAATCGTCTCTGCTCTGGTCGTTGAACACGAAGAATATCTCTTTCGCATGGGTTGCGCCAATGTACCGAGGTAAACCGCTGACGATAACGTCCCATCGGTACTTGTAGAGAATATGTGCCAATTATGTCAGCAAGCAAGGTAAACAGCGATTCAATGCATCGGTACAGGTCTACTTACGGCACGTTGTAGGCCGCCCACATCTGAGCCGTGTAACGAGTCGGTGCAATGATGTTGGAGTCACCAGCGAGCGTAACGGCTCTCTTGTATTGATAACCGAGTTCAGCACCGAGATCGTCTGGGTACGTGGCTAGAGCCTGGTCGGTTGCGTTTTGAGGGTATAATTCAAACAGCCGACTTGCCACCGTCTCATTGGCCTTGAGCGAAACAATGTAGCCCCTGAACTGCTCATCCGTGTCGATCTTGGATGTGGAATAGAACGTGGCATTGTCAAAGTTGTTGCCTGGAATAAAGGCAGACCCTTCATCTGTGTTGTGGCCAATGATGTAAGGAACCTTGACAAAGTTGCCCTTGGCCAGCTGAGATCCTGGGGCATCGGCAACGAAATCACCGTCGAACACTCGGAGCTGTCAGCCCAAGTCTGATACGAACACACGACTACTCTTACCTAGTCCGTAGGAAGCCCCTGAAGTGGCTGTTGAGTTGACTACGGCGTTCAAAACATCAGTTGGGACATTCCTTAGACAGTCAAGTTTATCTGTCGTATTACACCCTGCACCGACTGTGATATTATCGTAGACTTCCTCCGACTTTGCGACGTCGAGAACTAGAGCTAGTTAGTCCACCGGTTTTGGCCCAAGGCTTTGTTCCCTGCAGAACCTAGCTGACTTACACGGAGAGAATGGCGAGAAGCCAGCAGGGGCTCCTGACTGAGAAATTGCACCTCTGAACAGTCCATCATCGCGCCCGTTGTATGCCAAAAGTTGGGCACCGACCGAACCTGCACCTCTATAAACAACATATTATTTAGCTGCTATTCTCAAAGAGTCACTGCATAAATGAAAAAGACCATACGCGCTGTTACCGAATATCGTTACTTTTGTAGGATCTCCTCCAAAAGCAGCAATGTTCTCTAGAGAAGAGTTAGCTGTCGACGCTCGAACCAACAGCTTTCCTTGGCTACAGCTTTCCTTGTACCCAGTGAAGTGCCAATCTCTGATCCCTAAAGCCAAGGTTTGCGGCTCCAGCGGCCACAAGTTCCGATCCTCCTAGGAACCCAAACGCAGAAAGGCGATAATTGAAACTGACACCAATGATGGGCTTCTCTGTTGCAACGGAGTCGCGAATGATGGACGAGAAGTTCAACCGAGGATCAGCGCTGCTACCTTGGAAGTAGCCGCCTCCGTAGATGTATACGGCAACTGGCAGTGATTGGTCTGTGTAGTTGGAGGGGCGAACGACGTTGATGCTCAGGCAGTCCTCGGAGATTTTGAAGCCAAGAGCCGCGAGCCTGTTGTTGTCATTCTAGGAACAGCGGAGTTAGTTCCCATGCAAGGACGTCTATCCAGCGAAGTAATAAATAGTCGGCCCGCTTTCACTTACACCGTAGCCGTGGCAAATGTTGCCGAATTGAGTTGCGTCTCTCGATCCAGTCCAGGAGGTGTTCAACGAAGCTGGTGGCGAGAACCGAAGGGGACCCTGAACAGGAGGCTGCGCGAACGGCATGCCGAGGAAATAGTCTTGATTGAGTAAAGGCAGATGAACGCCAGTGTAAGAGCCATTTCTGGTTTGGACTTGTGGTGCCTCTTGACAGAAGGCACCGGAAACCACAGCAAGCAACAAGACTAGTAGGTGGGCCATGGTTACCGAAACGAAGTCGATGGCTAGCTATCACTTGGGATTATCGTGGGATCTTGCCTCTCTTTTTATCACTTTTACTTATGCAGCGCGGGCAGAATATCATATTTCTTTGCGATCATTGTCCTGAATCCCGTCACGACTCTTGACTCGTAACCCTGTCTTGATGACTGTTTCTAGGCTATTTCCGTGTCGCTTAAAGCAAGAAATGCTGGATCTCCTTCTGAATTGAGGAACTTGCAGGCGGCTCTGATTCTTTCTGGTGATAGATCATGAGTTTGACCGAACAAGCCTTTCCGGGGCATCCGTTTTCTTGCCGCTGTACCCGGCAGTTGTTCTCGGAATCGCATTGAGCGTTCTCATCATGGTCGTCAAGATACGAAAAGAAATGGTGAAGGACCGAGCCAACCCGGCTCTGCGAGATCCACACATCATCATACTACCGACCGGACCAGGACGGGGCGGATTCTGAAGATCGAGCAGGCGGCAAGGGACAGTGATCAAAGAGTGATTCGGCACAATACGACCCTAGACAATACTTTCGATCACGATTCAAAGATAATATAAGGAGGGACAATCATGGACGGTGTCTGGCGCTGGACGTCCTCACAGGTCATTCTCTTGCGTGCCTGCCTAACCATATCTACTATTGCACAGTTGATACGTTGGAATGCCGATAGCACGGAAAAAATATGCGCATACCTCGCAGAATCATGGAGAGATGCCAACATTAACTATTGTTTGTAGAGGACGGTCGAGTCTCTACCAAGAGTATCATCCACCAACAACGCATATGGTCTGAAGAATCGTAAGTTGTCTGCTCCCATGGCGGGGTTGATTTCATTAATGGGGCCTATGCAACTATCCGCTTTCTGATATCTGATTAAACGTTTGCTGTCCGACAGACCCCTGTCTCCCGCAGCTCGACTACTCAAGCGACCTGCGCTAAGCCCAAAGTGGAGCTAGTCAAGGGGACAGCTGTTGAACTCAAGCCATCTCACCTTCACAAGTACCTTCCACCCAAACGTCACCAATTCCTCCCACCCAGCCCGATCCAAAGTGTACCACAATCACCACAAAAATCGCGACGCGAGAGCACCACAAAGAAGAATCGCCTTCTTTTTTGCTCTCACTCCCATGTTCGCTTCTTGATCCCAAAGTTTCTTTTAGCAGTTCCTTCAATTCTTTCGGACGAACAAACAACCGCCACACCCCTCTGCCATGGGGACCATCGGCAAGTCGTCCTACAAATGGACGACCTTCTTTGGTCTACTGGCGGCACTTAGCTGCATGATCCAGCCCGCAGGTATGGCATCCCGTGACGCAATGACCTTTCTTCTACCTTTTTTGTGTCGGATTCACGTCACTTGGTTCCCCCATTGGTTGTCCTAGCGATACTGACAAAGGAATCGCAGTCATGGTTAAGGAAAATGACTTCAAGAAGTGCCACCAGTCCGGCTTCTGCAAGCGCAATCGCGAGTATGCCGACAACGCCGTCTCCCAGTCCTCGACCTGGGCTGCCCCCTACAACATTCTCCCCGACTCTGCCACCCTCAAGGATGGCCAACTTCAGGCTGTCATCCTCAAGACCATCAACGATGCCCAGGAAACCGTCCGCCTCCCCATCACCGTCTCCTTCCTCGAATCCGGCACCGCTCGCGTAACTGTCGATGAAGAGAAGCGCCAAAAAGGAGAAATCGAGCTGAGAAACAACAGCCCTGCCCGCAAGGAGCGCTACAACGAGGCCGAGAAGCATGTCATCGTCGGTGGCCTGAACCTCGACAAGGAGGCCAAGGTCGCCTACCAGGACAAGGACCAGATTACCATTCAGTACGGCCCCTCCTCAAAGTTTGAGGCTGTCGTCAAGTTTTCGCCCTTCAGCGTCGACTTCAAGCGCGATGGCTCTTCCCACATCAAGCTCAACGACCGCGGTCTGCTCAACATGGAGCACTGGCGCCCCAAGGTCGACCAGCCTGCTGAGGAGAAGAAGGAAGGCGACGAGAACGCCGAGGTCACTGAGAAGGTCGAATCCGTCGAAGTCAAAAAGGAGGACGAGAGCACCTGGTGGGACGAGACTTTCGGCGGCAACACTGACTCCAAGCCCCGTGGCCCCGAGAGTGTCGCCCTTGACATCTCATTCGTCGGATACGAGCACGTTTTCGGTATCCCTGAGCACGCTGGTCCCCTGTCCCTCAAGGAGACCCGTGGCGGTGATGGCAAGTACTCTGAGCCCTACAGACTCTACAACTCCGATGTCTTCGAATACGTTCTCGACAGCCCCATGACCCTCTACGGAGCAATTCCTCTCATGCAGGCGCACCGCAAGGACTCCACTGTCGGTGTCTTCTGGCTCAACGGCGCCGAGACCTGGATCGATATCACCAAGGAGAAGAGCTCATCCAACCCCTTGGCTCTTGGTGTTGGCTCCAAGACCAACACAAAGACCCACTGGATCTCGGAGGCCGGCATCCTCGACGTTTTCGTCTTCCTGGGCCCGACCCCCAAGGACATTTCCAAGACCTATGGCGAGCTCACCGGCACCACCGCCATGCCCCAGGAATTCTCTCTTGGCTACCACCAGTGCCGTTGGAACTACATCTCTGATGATGATGTCAAGGACGTTGACCGCAAGTTTGATAAGTTCAAGATTCCGTACGACGTCATTTGGCTCGATATTGAGTACACCGATGGCAAGAAGTACTTCACCTGGGACGCCGACATGTTCAAGGACCCCATCGGCATGGGCAAGGCTCTCGACGAGCACGGGAGAAACCTCGTGGTCATCATCGATCCCCATATTAAGAACGAGGGGAAGTACGACATCACCGAGCAAATGAACGCCAAGGGCCTGGCCGTCTTGAACAAGGAGGGCAAGCCTTTCGAAGGTTGGTGCTGGCCTGGTTCATCTCACTGGGTCGATTGTTTCAACCCCAAGGCCGTCGAGTGGTGGACTGGTCTCTTCGACTACGCCGCTTTCAAGGGCACCATGGAGAACACCTTTATTTGGAACGACATGAACGAGCCCTCTGTGTTTAATGGACCCGAGGTCACCATGCCCAAGGACAACATTCACCACGGAAACTGGGAGCACCGTGATGTGCACAACATCAACGGCATGACCTTCCACAACGCCACCTTCGAGGCTCTCCTCACTCGCAAGAAGGGCGAGCTCCGCAGACCTTTCGTCCTTACCCGTTCCTTCTATGCTGGCTCTCAACGTCTCGGTGCCGTGTGGACCGGAGACAACCAGGCCTCGTGGGAGCACCTTGGCGCTGCCGTTCCCATGATTCTTAACCAGGGCATTTCCGGATTCCCCTTTGCTGGCGCCGACGTTGGAGGCTTCTTCGGTAACCCCGAGCCTGAGCTGATGGCACGCTGGTACCAGGGCGGGGCTTTCTACCCCTTCTTCCGTGGTCACGCTCACATTGATGCCCGTCGCCGCGAGCCCTACATGCTTGCGGAACCGTTCAGAGGTATCCTCACCGCCGCCATCCGCCTTCGCTACAGCTTGATGCCTTCATGGTACACTGCCTTCTTCCACGCTCATCGCGACGGCAGCCCGATTGTTCGCCCCATGTTCTGGACTCACCCCACGGAGGAGTCTGGGTTCGCCATTGATGATCAGCTGTTCGTCGGATCGACTGGTCTCCTCCATAAGCCCGTTGTCGAGAAGGACAAGGAGTCTGTCGATATCTATATCCCCGATGACGAAGTGTACTACGACTACTTCACCTACGAGAAGCTCGCAACCAAGAAGGGCCAGTACCTCACCAGGAACGTTGCTCTCGACCAGGTCGCGCTCCTGATGCGTGGTGGCCACATCTTCCCGCGCCGTGACCGCCCCCGCCGTTCGGCCAAGCTCATGCGCTTCGACGACTACACCCTGGTCATCAGTGTTGGCAACGATGGCCAGGCCGAGGGTGAGCTGTACGTCGATGATGGAGACTCCTTTGACTTTGAGAAGGGTCAGTACATCTACCGCAAGTTCAAGCTTGACGGCAAGACCATTGCATCCTCCGATGCTGAGGGCCGTGACTCGAAGTCTGTCAAGGCGGGCTCTTGGCTCAAGGCCATGAAGGAGGTCTATGTCGACAAGATCATCGTTGTCGGCGCTACCAACCAGCTCAACAAGAAGGAAGTCACCGTCACGTCAGAGGGCAAGAGCTGGACTGTCCCTGTTCAGTACCATGCTGCCGAGAAGGGTCGCGCCGCCTACGCTGTTGTAGGCAGAGTTGCTGCCCGTGTTGGAGAGGACTTCAGCATCGCGTTGGCTTAGGACCGTCCAAGGATACGAGTTCACCGTCCGAGAATGAAGAAGCATCCTTGAGTTGGTGCAACTGCTCCACGTGCCTCGTCGTTGAATTCTTTGACTGGCATGTCTGGAACGGCAGAACACGCCGGTCAGGAGATCTGAAACGATGAAGACGCCTGAGCGGTGAAGCACGCTAAGAATAGAGAAAGTGAGCTCCACAGATCACCACAAGGATTCATGATCGCGAGGCTTAGCAGGTCATTAGAGCGCTCCATTAGAGAGAGAATTGACGAACACGTTCATAAAGATTGCCAATTGCTCAACTTGAGCATAAACTCCTCGCTCCTCCATGACTCCATTTGATTTCGGTTAGCTAATCTAGAACTGGCTCGCCAGCTCGGGAGTGGAACGGTGCAACATTTGTCGGGGGTCTTCCGCTAGAGTGGATAGACTCCGTGGAGCCTCATTCCTAAGTTCCGCTCGAGTCTCGACACCTCCGTCCCTCCACCCCAGAACTTCCGCCTTCCGCATCGACAAGGTCCGCGATGGCGTGAGGGCCAGGACTCCAGGCTTCTAGCCCCGGAACTCCACATACTCAGGGGGGCTTGTTAAGCTTCAACCGAGAACACAGCCTCGCTCGCTTGTGCCGGTCTTCATTTCCCTTGTGGATTTCGGGGATTCAGGATATCTGGAAAGCGGTTGACCTCCGAGCGAGTGGGTTTCTTGGATGAAGAGGCTGATCTTGATGGAAGCATTGATCCAAGACCCGCTTACGAAGGGCGCGAGCGCCTTTGATCATTTCAGAGACCTCATGATTCTGCAAGTGCTCTAGACGGATGATCAGATAATAAGCCGAGAATTGGTAATGGACGGAGTGCGAATATTTGAACTGTTTGGGTGTAGTCCACGCGAACATCTACAAGCACAGCTGGCCTCCTTGCTGGAATATTTGCCCGAGACGACTCTTGCGCAGCTTGGCTTCCGTCTCAAAGACCTCCTCATCCGTCTTCGGCGAACCCAATTCATCCGGCGTGACCAAAGGCGCGCAATTCTTCCACCACTGCTCAACCTTTTCGTCGGGCGGGAGGCTGCTGACCTCACCGCTAATGGGCACGCCGATAGTGATATCGGAAATGGGAAACGTCTCACTCTCGTCCGTGAGGGGCTGGATGGACTGCCAGTTCCGGAAGAAGTTCTTTGGGTCCCATTTCGTCTTGATCCTTTGCAGGCGCGGGTAGTTGTTCCCGTAATACGCCTCCTGCCAGTTGCGCATGGTGCCGTCAATGTAGTTGATATACGCTGCCTTCTGTTCGATTGCGTAGGGCAAGAGTTCTTTCTTGCACTTGGCGACGAAGTTCATGATGTCGTCGGCCTTGCTCTCGTCTGTCCACTGTACCTTGATCGTGGTCACGTAGTGGCCCTTCCGCCATAGGAAGGGGGTCGCATCCGGCGTGACGGCTTCGGTCTTGGCGCCGATGTGGTCCCAGAGAATGTGGCACTTGGGGTCGTTGACCAAGTTCTCGTCCGTGGCGTCTACCACGTGAATTGCCTCCTCGACGAGCCTCGAGATTTTGGTAGTGAGTTCCTCCGTGATGGCGCCCTCGGCGAAGATGAAGGACGCGTGGTGGTGGTAGACTTGGCTCTTGGGGTCCCAGCCCTCTGCCTGATGCACCCAGTCGGTCCAGGCCATCTCCTTGAGGGTGTTGACGGCGGGTTCAAAGGCGAGCAAAGGCTTCAACGCCTTTTGAGCCTTTGCCATGCCGCCATTATAGATCACGGTCATACCGCCGGTCCGTTGTTTGTTCTTGGTATGGGACCATAGCGCGTCGATAGTCAGCTCTGCTGGGCACTTGTTGGTATTGAAGACGTTCATCATCTTCTCAAAGTCTTCGTTTTGCTGCGGGAGATTCCACTGGAGCTGGCCGCAGACAACTTTGCCCTCGTCGTCCCGGAGCTTATGCATCCTGCTCGTCAAGCTAACCGTGACCCCAAAATTACCGCCACCGCTGCCTGCCAATGCCCAAAAGAGCTCCCGCTTCTCTTTGTCTCTATCCTCCCTGGATACCGTGACAACCTCGCCCTTCCAGGTGACGAGAGTCATCTCAAGAAGGTTATCGCAGCCCAGGCTGTAGCTTCGCGAAAAGGGGCTAAGTCCCGCACCGAGTGTGAAGCCGCTGACGCCGACGGTCGGGCACTGGCCGCCGATGACGATGTTGCGCTTGTCTTTGAGGTACTTGTAGTAGACGTCCTTCCAGACGAGGCCGCCGTCCATACGGATGAGCATCTTGTCGTAGTCGATATGGCACGTGTTCATGAGGCTGAGGTCGAGGACGATGCCGCCCAGGTTCAGGCAGTAGCCCATGTACGAGTGGCCTCCGTTCTCGACGTTCGGCGTGGTGTTAGGATCCGATACTGGTGCATGCAACGTAGCCCCGCCCATCTGAAAGAGGCCGGATTCGACATGTTGAGCCATTTTTTCAAGCTGAATGCTATGAATGGGACTAGGATCAGCTCTCAACTTCCGCGAAGCAGCGCCCAGTCTATAATGCCGTGGGAAACATACTGCCTAACTTTCATCCTCATTTCCAACGAATCCTTGATGTCAGGGATGATGACAAGCCATTCTGCTACTAGCTGTTGCGGCATCTTTCTTAAACTTGGAAAAATAGAAGGAGCTTAGGCCGCTCCTACAATACCTTCATCGACTGGCAATTTTCAACTGATAGATATAGACACTCGGGGCCTGCAACATTTATTCATGTTACATCTACAACGCCGAACACTCAAGCTTGTCCCTGCTCTTCGTTACTCAACGAGGAAGCTGTGATATCAGCGATCGGAAGTCACATCGATTCAGCGATCGTCGATCGACGCTGTATGTCTTTCGCGCCTTACGTCTTCTGCGCCTGACGTCCTGTACACCCTATGCAACCACATCAGTGCATCAGTCAGAGCGTGTTGGTCTTGGTCTTGGTTCACAGCTCATGCAATATCGTGAAAAGTTATTTGAGATTGAATGAATGATAGAGATCCGAATGTGTGAAAGTTACCCATGTCGGTGAACACCGTTTACTAGTCTCTCCGTCAAGTCGCAGCTAATCCTCTCGATCAACTCCTCATCCACTACACCTTCCTGCCAAGTGACCCCTATCGTAAAGTCTCCACCTGCAACGCTCACGCAGTTGAAGCCAATAGCTAGTCCAGCCACCATCCCGCTCTGCGTAAAGATAAGCTTCTCCAGAGTAACTGAGCTATCAGCGTCCGATGTAAGACAATGGTCTCCTGCCAATGCCCCGAGGTTTGACAGCTCATAGGTATAGCGACGCGCCTTGCCAACCTGATCTCGGCAATGGGCGAGAGTGAGCTGCCTTCGTGATTGACCAGACCGTAGGAGAGACCTGAATGGGAGAGAATAGTGGCCTGAAGGCTATTCTCGATTCGAGTCCGAAGGAACTCCACTGATAATGAATCACCAGAGAAAGACACCCGATAGCGAGCTGCGACGCAGACCGATCGATAGTGCCCAAGTTCATGGCGCACAGCATAGTATTCGCCAAGAAGGCCTTTGGTGATTGAGCATTAGTTTCGAAGTCGCGGACTTCGCATGATTCACCATCGCGGGAAGAGAACTTTACCAAGAGGGAATTTGTTCTTATTCATGAGGATCAAGAATGGTTACAGGCCTATCATATAATAGACGTATGAATGCTAACAGAGGGTTCGGGGTGGTTGCATGTTTGCTTGTGGGAGAGTTCGATGCCAGTGAGGCAGGAGACGCCGGTACTTATACGTCGATTCGGGGGTGCTCACCACCAGCTGGTCCTTCTTATCGCTGCTAAAGGTGGCGAGAAATCTTTGCGGGCCTCATGCAAGTAAAGAAGAGTGTGATGAGACAAACATCAAAAGATCAACAAACAGGGACTTTGATAACAGAGGCATAACATTTTGTTGTCTCCTCGTCAACGTCAGGCATCAGGAGGTCACGGCCTCGGAAGTGAATCGAAGAAACCAGCGTAATGAAGAACTAGATGTAAGGCATGTTAGAACTTCAATCCACAGAGTTTTTTGTGTTTGTGGAAAAAGCACTCACAGCAGTCCCAGACACGAACGTCTCGAGGAGACGGCCGTCCTCCCAAGCTTCTACCAACTCATGCATCGTAAAGTTCCTCTCTACAATGCCTAACTCATCAGACAACCTCGACCGAATCAAATCCAGAACAGACCGCCTAGTGACTCCATCCAAGATCAAGTTCTCTGTAAGCGACGCCGTGAGAAGCTCTGTCCGGTTCGTCGCCGCGTTCCTAACAACGGCAAAGAAGTTGCTGGCCCCGGCTTCCGTGACCTGGCAATCGGGACCAAAAAGCCACAGAATTTGGTCAAAACCCGAGCTGAGAGCTTGCCCATGGACTCGAAAGGTCGTGCCGTAGTTGGCTCCGACTTTGGCATACCCAAATCCTCCCGGCCAGGCTCGGATGGTGTCCCCGGCGGAGGCACAAAATCGTAGACCGGGCCTCGAGCGAATGATGCCCGGAGGAGTCTCGATGGAGAAGTCTGGCCAGGGGACCATGATGATGTAGAGCGTTGCCTCCGTGGGGAGTTGAACACCGATTTGCTCGCCGGTTCCGACCAGGGAAGGCCGAATGTAGAGGAATCGACCGGCGGCTTCTTTGGGAAGCCATCCTATGTTATAAATCTTAGTAAGACACACAATACGGATCTTCTGTTTGGAGACATTGCTAATGGAAAGTGATCTTACTTGGGGCGTCCACGCGCACGAGTGACTTGATCAATTGAACCAGCGCACCCTCATCGAACGACGGCAAAGCTACGCGCTGGGCACTGGAACTCAACCTCTTGGCGTTACAGTCTGGCCTGAAAAGTCTCAAATTGCCATCAAAGCCACGATAGACTTTCATGCCCTCGAAGCATTGTGTGGCATAGTTGAGACAAGACGCAGCCGGCGAGATGGATAGGTTGCCAAAGGGCCGGATCAAGGGTGCCTCCCAGCCGCCCTCGTCCATTGGCAGGTGACCATGTGGTCGGAGCACATGTTTTGCGCCCATAGCTCTTTGGAGCCATGTTGTGGGATCGGACGCTCGGTCGAAGATCTGAACAGAGAAATCTTGAATGCATCCAATTGCTTGGGAGTTCGACTCTGCGAATGGGGCGACATTTTGAGCTGAGGAAGAACCGTAATCGTACACACCTTACACCACTACGAGTGGCCATCTCGGTATCCCACCCAGGTTCATGATATACTCCCACGATCACAAGTCGATGTGACATGGTGCTTCAAGTTCCGACCTACCTGTCGTTGCCCTAGGGCGTACTTGGCATCTGCATCCCGATTGCGCATGATACATCCGGGTGTGGGTTGAAGAGAGGTGAGCCGTGATAGAAAACCGCAATAAGGAGATAACGAGGCTTAGATAAATCTGTCAGTTGAGAACTCTCAAGTGACCACCCCAAGGTCGAAGAGATCTAGAAGCGCGGGTTCGGATACTGCCGTCCGCGGGACCTTGAACCCGCGTTTTCGCATTCGTATGCCCCGCACCGCCGTGCCATCGCCGGTCCTTGCAGGGATGATCTCGGTCCATGACGACGTTTATTAGCTTCCTCGTGAAGTGGTCAAGTCCGGCATATAGCAAGCAGAGAGTATTGGCAGTCAAACTACAGCAGATGATGCCCTGGACTTCTGCTCGTAGTACTGGCAGATTGGTTGCATGATGGAGCAATCTCACTACCTCCTAAGGTAATCACCCGCAGAGCGCCGGCGGAGTCAAGCCTGAAGACTCTCACCGACCAAGCTCCTTTCTCTCCTATTGTATGATCTGTTTCGACAAAGGCCCGATGATGAACTCGTATCGACCGCCATGAGTTCGAACACTCAACGTCGGCGAAGCCGAGGTACAGGGTCTTGTGAACGACTCTGGGGTAATTTGTCCGAGACTTCATCTGCCACGGTAGATCCACCCCATGAAGAATATCTCACAGCCACGGATCCTCCATGATGACTAGTGTGGTCCCGTTGGAGAAGTATTTCCGATGAGGGCAAATCTGCGGTCCAAGATCCGCGCTTTCGGTTGAAGACAGCCATCTTAAAAGGAAGATGAAGCCCCCTCGACATTGGTAATAGACAAGAATCGACGCTTCCACGGATCTTTGTTTCCCCCAAGAAGACATCATGCGAGGCTTAGGAGCCTTCACCGCGCTCATCGCCTCAGTACCAACGATATCTCAAGCCCACAGTCTCGACAACTTCGCCTCCCCTCCAAACACATACCGCCCAAAGTTCAGATACTGGTGAGATCTACCTACTCTACTCAACTCACCGAAGTCCTCAGCACTAACACGCCGTCCTACCCAAGGCTCCCCGATGCCGAAGTCGACATTGAAGCAGTCACCCGTGACGTGGCCGAGATAGCCTCCGTCGGCGCAGGCGGTCTCGAGTTCCTTCCCTACTACCAGTTCCACTCGCCCTCAGCGAACTGGTCCACCTACGGCTACGGTACAAACGCTTCTCGTGCCGTGTTTCGTGCGGCGATGGAGGCGGCCGCGGATGATGATCTCCTCTTTGACTTTTCTATTGGTGCGAATCAGGGGCAGGGCGTGCCTTCGGAGCCAGAGAGTGTTGGGCTTGCGTTGGAGTTGGTGAGTGTTGCTTTTGCTGTTTCTTGGAGCCCCTTTTTCGCAATTCGTATTCTTAACCCCTCGTGGGGTTCATGGCATCTGGCAATTTTTGCGACTAACACCACTTTGTTAGGCATACGTGAATATCACAGTCTCTCCAGGCCACGCCTTCAACGGGACCCTCCCTCTCTCAACCCAGCCCGCGAGCCCCTCCCTCCACCTCTTCATGCACCCATGCGAAGAATTCGGCCAGCAGATCCTCTCTTTCGTCCTAGCTGTGGAAGAAACGCCGGCATCCAACGCTTCATCCACCGCCGTCAAACTCGGCCGAGTTATCGACATCACAGCCTCAGTAGACTCATTCACGAGATCCGTCTCAAGGACACCTCCGGAAGACTCACAGAACACTTGGCGAATAATGGCTTGGTACACACGCTACACCAACCAACGCTCCATCGACGGCGCGCCCGATGCTACAACGTGGGTGCAGAACGGATCCTGGGTCACCGACCACTTCAGCGCCGCGGGGGCGAAGAAGTTGACGGGCTTCTTTGACGACTACATCGTGTCTGAAGAGCAGGATAGAGAACTACTCGCTCGTGTGGGAAAGTATGGTATGTACACCATCCAACCGACGAGACCAACCCTCCCATCAAGTCCAGAAGCCATTGCTAACATCCCAACCCTCAAGCCTGGGAAGACAGTATGGAAATGGACACAGCTTTATGGTGGACACACAACTTCGCCGACACATTTCGCGAACAACGAGGCTACGACATCGCAACGTGCCTCCCCTTCCTCATCCAACGCGAGAACTACTGGGCAGCACAGAACCTCCCCTACGGCGAATCCTTCCTCTCGGACAGCAACAGCACCCTAGTCTCGCGCTGCAACGACGACTACCGCCTTACCCTCCAACATGGATACGAGGAATACATCCGCGCAACCTCGGAATGGGCTCACGAGCGAGGGCTGGAATACTCCAACCAGCCAGCTTACAACCTCCCCCTGAACATGGTACGTCCACTCCTCCCATTCCCCCAAACAAACACATCTCTTCCCCCCCCGAGAACCATCTCAGCTAACTTACACCCAACCAACAGCTCGACTCAATCCCCCTCGTCGCCGCCCCAGAAGGCGAATCCCTAGGCTTCAAAGACTCCCCCTCCCTCTACCGCCACCTCTCCGGCCCAGCCCATATGGCCCGCAACCCAGTCGTCTCCTCCGAAGCCGGCGCCGTTAGCGGCGCAAGCTACACCCAAACCATCCCGGACCTCCTCCTCATCGTCCGCCGCGGTCTCGCGGGCGGGGTGAGCATGAACGTCTTTCACGAGTACGCTTATTCTGGCGCGTATGCTCAGACGACATGGCCTGGGTATACCGTCTTCTCGTACACGTTTACCGATGTGTGGGGACCGCGGATGCCGTCGTGGAGGAGCCAGCATGGTGACAACGGCACCGGTGATGGGTTCATGGCTGATGCGATGGCGTACGTCGCGCGAAATCAGTTTATAAGTCAAATTGGTGCTGCGAGGGTAGATCTCGCATTCTACCAGTACGCAGCACCGTTCGCCAAACTCGTCTATGATAGCGACAACCTCGAGAAGCTGGGCTTCACGTACGACTACCTCGGCCCCGCAAGCTTCTCCTCCTCAAACGCCGTCGTCAGCAAAGATGGTGTCCTCGCGCCGGGCGGACCGGCGTATAAAGCTCTCATCTTTGCCAACCAGACGAAGCTGACGGCGGAGATGGCGGCGCAAACGATGGCGTTCGCGGAAGCAGGGCTACCAATATTCGTTGTCGGGAGCGCAGAGTTCCAGAGTGTTGGTGCCCATGGGGTTGATTCCGTCCCGAAGATCATGGCAACGGTCCTTGAGATGGAGGGCGTGAGGATGCTTGCGTCCGTGGAGGAGTTACCTGCCGCGCTCGCTGCCCTCGATACCCGGCCTCGAGTTGAGTTTTCGGGAGAGAGTGGTGTTGAGAAGTGGTATTCGTTCTCGCGGAGCACAGAGGATGCGGAGGTGGTGTTCTTGTACAACGACGGCGGAAACTCCACGACTACCAATGTCAGCTTCTCGGTATGGCAGACAGAACACCCTACGTTCTCGACGCCTGGACGGGCTCGGCATCACCGCTTTTACGGTACACAGTCGAGGAGAACAATATGATCGTGCCCGTGACACTCGCCGCGAACCAGACCACCATCCTCGTCTTCTCCAACCAAACCTCATCCGCAGCTGATGATCACAACACATCCATCCTGCCTCGTCCGCCAAGCACTCACATAACATCCACCTCCGGCGCCCTCTCAGCCCTCCTCTACACCACAACCCAAGATCCCACCACAAACACCACGACCAACAACACCCGCATCGCAGCACACCTCTCCCCCGGCATCACAAAACTAACCCTCGCCACCGGCCAAACCCTAACCTTCACCGCCTCTCAGCTCCGAGAAGCAACGGCCCTCGACCCATGGAACATCACAGTCAACGACTGGCGCAGCGGAAACGACTCTTTCTCCATGGAAACCGCAATCACACCGTACCGGTTCCTCGACAGCCCGCTAGCGTCGTGGAAGGATCTGGATCCCGTGAATCTGGGTAACACGAGCGGTACGGCAGAGTACGAGACCACATTCCGGACACTTCCATAATCTACCGCGGAACAGCGTTTAGGAGCCCGTCTTCATCTAGGCGCCATCACCGACGCGAAGATGCTATGGGTCAACAACGATCGAGTGATCCTTGACGTGAACAGCTCCCCTGACGTTGTGGTGGACATCACGAATTACCTCAACCCCGCGGGCGCCGACAACGTGGAAAAGGTTGAAGTTGCTTCGACGCTGTATAACCGCGTGAGAGCGGAGCAGGATAGCGTCATGACGTTTGGAGTCGCTGCTTCCGTGGCGGGTGCGAGTTACTTCAAAGCCAACCCTGCCAAGGAGTATGGACTTAGGGGACCTGTATCGGTTCAATGGGTTGAGGTTGTCGACGTACTTTCAGGCGGTGTCATCACAATTTTGAATATACACAGCATGGTGCTGGTTTGTGTTTTCTAGCTGGTTTCATTGCTCTATGGCACATTCCACATTCAAAAGCCAACTGTATGTTTCACCTTCTTGTACAATATGTCTCTTATAAATTCCACTTGGCAGCAATTGCAGGCATATCGTAACCTACATGCAAATATCGCCGGACTTGAACTGTGGCCCATAACAAATCACCTACAGGTATCCGTAATGTGATGTGTCAACGTCTTTAGGCTGCCTTCGTCTTGTAGCGCATCTGGACGAGTCAGAACATAGTTCGAGCTTGCAAGTTTGTGGTCGCGTTGCAGGCCTTGCGACGCCTCAATCACTATGAATTATGCAACAACTCAGGGGTAGTAGAGTTTGATATACGAAAAAGTATGGTAAAGTGCCGTCTCCTCTACCCAAATTGCATGGCAGAAGAAAAGTGAGAGCAAAAGCATGGACGGTATGGACCCGAGACAGCACTAATATGATTCGCATTAGCGGTCTTGTCGAGAGATAAAGCAAACTCTCTTCATTGGACCCTCTCCTTTCATTCCCGTAATCGCCGCACAGGGCACAGGCATGGTGGTCGCACGTCGTCGAAAATTGGGGGGGCTCAGGTTATTTCGCGCCAGGAGCCTTGCATGTGAAGAAACGTCGCTGTCGCGTCGCGGCGGCTGTCCTCCGCTCCGGCAGACCGGTGGGCGAGCGTGCGTTGCTTCCCTATGCGCTAGGCGGGCGGCTGCTGGTCCCCGGAAGGGTGCCCTGAAGCGCAAGGTCAGGGCACGTCGTCGGCAAGGGATATTGGATGGATTCTGGGTTGATATGAACGGCCGCGAGCGATAGCACGGGCTGCGGATGGCGTGTTGATTCGTCTAGAACGTTGAGCAATTTGCAAGGCCAAGGAGCGGTCTGGTTCTTCTCAATCTTATTGCGCCTGTTTTAAGCGGCTTCGCAATCAAGGGTCTGAGGTCAAGGGCTGGCTGAGATCGCTACGAGAAAAAGCGGACACGAATTGTGGCGGTTGGCGATGCTTGTCACTCTTTATCCCAGTCGGAGAATCATGGGTCAAGGGATCTGCTTGCTCTGAGTTGTCCTCCCGGGCTGATGCCGATCACCACTTTTATGGGAAGTGAATTTGCGGGCATAGGATAGCTATTCGGGAGATGCGCGCGCACGAGCTCGGGGACCGAAAGCTTGAATGTCGAAGCTGACAATCCGTTCGAGCAACGCCATCCGTTGTTGCTGGTACGCGGGAGAGCATGACGACATGCTGGCAAGTTTTCTAGACGTGTACGTGTACGGATACTGCGATGGTAGAGCAACTGGAGTGCTAACCAGCTTCGATCGTTTAATGCCGATCGAGTTTTCGACCAGCCTAGAATTTTTGAAAGGTCGCTGGAGCCTATGGATTTACTGGCACAGCCACTGCAGAGCTGCGATGAACTGCGGCTTGCCAACGGATGAACCTGCTTTTCTTAGTGACTGTCACTGCCAAGTGCCAAAAGACGATGAAGAGTCGTGTGGCTATTTCGGGAGCCCAACACCATCAAATTGGAGAAAACTTTTTCGGTGGCTGCAACCACAATGGGCGAAAAGTGTGCTTGGTACCTGCATTCAGCATTCTTTCGACGGCGAGCAATGTATCGTCCGCTACCAATGGAATGGGTGATGGCGGCGGTGGCAAACGGCTTCAGGGCGCACGAGAGAAAACGGACAGGCGGGAAGTCTCAAGAGGGTAAGCCGGAGAGTGACGTGGTGATCATTTCGGGCTGGTTTGCTGTGCGTCGCACTGCATCGGAACCCTTTTGGCACTAAGGCAGCTAGAGACGTGGGAGAAAGAGAGATTTTCAGGAGGGTCGGAATTCCAAGGACGCTTGAAGTCGTTATCGCCGTAATGGTGGTGAGTTGAGATAAGGCATGTCTCAAAGCGTCAAATGCTGCGTGAGACCGTAAGGTATTCGTAGTCTGTCGTGTCTGTACGGATAAATTAGTCTGTTCAGTGCTGAAACGGCTCAAGATTGGACGACAGCCTGTGAACTGCGGCGAGCAGCACTAAGTGTACTTGGTACTGCTGGAGCATCAATGGTTGGTGAGACCCCCTGTGGGCGCCCAGCATTTGTCGTGTCTGATATTCTGTTGTAACTGCAGTCATCTGTCTCTTGACCCATCTGCGAGTGATGCATGACTCCATGATACCATCAATGGGACCGACCGACTGACTTGCTGGCTGTACGGAGTACGGGGTAGGAAGCTTGACAAGATGGCCCTGCGGAGTTCAGACTTGCAGTCCAGAATCCAGAGTCCAGACCGACTCAACGATCCGGGGAGAGAGCAGAAATTCTGAAAACTCTTCTGGATGTTCTGGAGCCCAGGACATTGCGGACAAGGGGGTTGCGGCGACGACGCCATGGATCATTGGAAGTGAACGAGGTTGGGCTCCGTGTCTGAAGATTCGACAGACTGTCGGTCGTGGGCCAAAACCAGCGACGTCGGACAGTGACGGCACCGGGCGTTGGAAACAGTGAACTTGCAGAGATTCGGGGGACGGTGGGCCGAGCTGAGGGTTAGGGGCTCAGCGGCCGGGTCTTGGAGTCTTGGCAGGGGAAAAAAACGGGCAAGAGGACCCGTTTTGCCGTCGTCGAATGCGGAACATGGAAGGACCAGGAAAGACGCCGTGTGACGTCAGCCGTGGCGGGTGGGGCCACTTAGCCATTATCGAGAGTGGGGGTCCACCACATTAGACGCAGCGGGAGGAAAGTGCACCCACGCACCCCACCCACGCACCCCACCCACGCATGTCGCACCTGCACCCGACCGTCTGTCCATTCAAATCGCAATTTAAACGAGAAGGAGCGTGTTTCTGTTGGAGATGACCCGACGCGAGGAAGGAGCCGACAATGAGAAGCTTGAGCCTGAGAGTGAAAGGAGCCTAAGGAGTCGTTCTTTGCGGTCCACCCAGCTGAATGACCTGAGGCACATTAACCCCTTTCATTGGTAGGCGAATTATGCAGCCCGGAATCCGAGGTGGACTGGTTGGTTGATTGCATACGTGTTGATGCAACACGGCGGGTGATGGCCACTTTTTGCATCAAAAGCTCGAGTAAGCCATCCGCTGATTAGCCGCTGTAGACACGCAGGCACGGCAGGATTGCCAGACGAGCACGACAGAATCAGATCAGGGCAAACATCAGAGACTCGAGAGGCTGTTCATGCTGCTGCCAAGACACACAGGCTCTGCCATGGTTTCCGCTCGTGGAATGGATTTGCGGTAGTCCCTCGTATCGAGACCACTTTGGCCCGGCCTTAGTCTCTTTTCTGCCGTTGGCAGTTGTTCTCCCGCGCTTCGGGCTTCTGCTATACACCGTCGTCCTAAGGTCTTTGGTGCCAAGTATCTTGCAGTGTGCACACCTCGAGCGGCAGACGTGTACTAAGGTGGTCGCTGGTGAGAGCATCTGTCGTCACTGGCTGGTGCTGGCACTGGTGACACACTGGTGTCTGGTCTCTTCGGCCCTTTCCACCTAGATTGGCGACAGGCACGCACTACAGCCATCGGACGCTATTTCTGTTGAGGGTGGCTTGCAGACTGAATGCTGCTAAAGACCTTACTTAAGGCACTTGGTGGTAGGTATTCGCACGGCAGTCAAGTGCAGCAAGGGACGCCGTGCGCGAAAGATGGCGGCCATGTGCGAATGTGATGGTGTTTGAGCCCGCCCACCCGTATTCATGCTCCTCCCCTGGCGTGTAAGTATGCCGGTATGGCATGGCGATTCGGGCGGCAGCGTGTGTGATCTGCGACTGTCTGTTCGCGGGATCGGGAGAGACAGTTCAGTCAGTTGGTGGCGTCGGTTCGTTGCGACGTAGCGGAGAGCCTCACTATGCGACTGTGTCTCGGTGTCTCAGACAGCGGCCACCACCCGGGCCAGGGATGAGGCGTGCGGATGGACAGGCAATACCGTGGTGGAAAGGTACCAGAAGAATCGCGATAACGGGCGATCGTGGGTTCGACGCAGTGGGGGTCCCCCAGCGGGTTGCGCTCTGGTATGGATTCGTAGTCTTTGGTGTATCCGTAGATTCTCCCCATCACCAGCAATCTGCCATTCGAACGGAGGGTTGGAGACAATGTGAAGCTCTGAACAAGACCCATTGTTGGTATGGGGTTCGGTCACATGTGGTTCGTGTCTAAAGAGGGCATCTGATTCGCATCGTCTGTTCCCCATGCGCATTAGCGGTGATGAATACCTATGGGGACAATGACGAAGAGGACAGTCTGTAAACGATAACGACGCAGGCGCTAGCCGCCATCCAGTTTAGAGCTGCCGCGGACCGACGACGAGTATTCGGCGCAAGGGGCGTGATGCGAACGGATGAAGGCCAAGACCTTGCAGTGCGGTGAATCGATCGATGGGTGATGCTGCTATCCGCAGCTTGCAGTGCACAACAGTGAACACTATGCAGTGCAGTATGTAGTTGCCGTGCTGCAAAACACAAAGTTTCGGTCAAGAGCGAAGTGGAAAGCCAATGGAGCTCTGAATTTCTGGATTAATTGCAATGTTGCAGCGAGAAAACTAACCATGGCCTTATCGCCCACTGCGGTGCTTCCGAGTAATCAACTTGACGGAGGAGATATTCAGGGTCCCCCCTTCCCCCTTTGTGCCTTCCGTCTGCAATTCCTAGCATGCGGCAGGAACCGAGTGGGTGTTGGGAAGGAAGGTAACACAGAACTTCAAAGTTCGGGGACCTTCAGTTCCTGGATTTCTTAGCCCTTGGAAACCACCAAAATCCGTATTCACTACTACAGTAAGAACAAAGCGAGATGGGAAGGCATGGAGGGTTTCGATCTTTGGAAAACAGCAGCATCCTAGTGACAGTGGCATTCGGGATTCTAAGGTTTTCAGGTTCACGCCTTCCATTCCCTGCGCGGCTCTCCTGTCAGATAGCACGGACCCGGTTTTGAGCCCAGTGCCAGCCAGCATATCGCCGTCGCATTCGCTGCCAGTGCCACCCCCCACTTTTGCAGCTTTGTCCAAGCTCCCAGGAAATGTCACTGGGAAAAAAAACATGAACTGCTCCTTCGGATTTCATTTTAAGGCACGTATCCTCGTCCCTAAGGAATCTTACTCACTGCCAACCCGGTCATGTAGATGTTAGGTACTCGCACGATATGCCTTGAGAAGCAAACGCAAGACAAACAGCCATAGAGACTGAAGAGCGAGAGCAGTGTCATGACCAGATTGATGGCCCCAACATCAACATCCAGGTCCATGGCCCACGCCCAGCTAAAAATGGAGACCCAATTTTTGAATGTTAATGACGAGCAAGCCCCCCCCAAGCAAGATCATCGCGCGTCGCCCCCATTCTTTTTCACTGGGCACCGACGTGGCGCCGCGGGTCGAAGCAGCGATTCACAAGCGCCACCACTGGTCAACATGAACAAGGCTCGGACGTGCAGATAGAATTCTGGAGACAATTCTTGGAACTCTTGGGACCTTGTCGCCGTTGCTGCCGTCAAATTCTTGGTTTCCACCCGTCCCTCTATACTTCATTGAGCTCAAACACTACCCCCGGGGACCCCTCGCGCCCTCCAATGCCAGAGGGGAAACAGAGATCCAATTTTACTACACGAGTCCCTGTTTCTCTAAAATGACCGAGAGACTGGGGGAGTCGGGGAGTCGGGGAGTGAAGCAGTACCCATATCTCTGCTCCCATTGCCTCCAGAGCTCTCATCCATGAGCATTGGATAAGAAAAAAAGAGTCCAGACTTGAGCGACTGCTTGCTGATTAACAACACTACGGAGTACGAGCACATGGAAGTGCTTTGTGCCTGCCACTTCTGCTGATTGCCTATTTGGTCTCGCCCCCTTGCTCTTTCCCTGTTCACTTATTCCATCCGAAGGGGTACGGATATACTTGGTGACTTCCATCGAAGCTTTCCCATTGAGAAAAGAAGGGAAGGTGCACCTCCCAAGAAATATTTCATCCAGCCCACCTCCCCCCTTGACCTTCCAACAAGAGCTCCTTCCCCAGCTTTACCTGTCTTCAAGGTACAATTCACCCACGGGGAAACGGGAAAGGTACCAATTATCGACTTGATTCTTCTTGGCTGAAGAGTCGACTCGACCTTCCTCCTCGCTCCTGCACATCTCCATCGCGGTTCTTGCCGGTGGTCATAGCTACTTCCACCCGGAACACACCGCGGAGTATTTGCGCCTTTGTCACCACCGACCGGCGGCAACTCTCCCTCACCGAGAAAAACAGCGGAACGACCCGACCGCGAACGCCAATCGCGATTTTACATCACCTTACTGGCATTCTTTTTGCCTCTGACGGCATTTATCGGGCCTATTCGCCTTTACCTGCACAAAGTAGGAGGGAGGATATCTTGCTCCCTCTTAAATCAAAGCGACCGCAACTTTTACCTTGGGTACATCCCATTTCACTCGTTCACTTACACCACATAATCCTGCCCATCTCAACCGACGGCCCCTCGCGGCCCCATCATCCCGCCCATCATGACGACGCCAACGAATAATCGCGATCGCGCCAATTCGGACGAAAATGAGAAGCATTCTCAGCATACGGACGATAGTCTCCAGACCGCAACTGATCCCAATTCTCAACCAACACACCCGGAAAAGTTGACGAGATTAAACACCGACAACCACCTTCATATCCCCCAAGAGACACATGCCGGACCAATGTCTCCGCAAGATTCACGAGAACAGGCCTCGCGCCTCAACGACGACTTGGAGCTGTTGCGCGCCGAGCGCCTTGTTTCCAACCAAGAACATGACATTTCCCAGCAGCGTTCTCGCCAGGGTAGGACCCGCGAGATGGAACCCGAGGATGTCTTCGCTACCAACGGCCCAAACAATGCCGATATTGGCAAGGGGCCGCCCGAGAAGAAGGCTGGTGCCTTTGCATTCAAACTGTGGAAGTGGTTGAGGAAGTTCCCGCGCGTTTTCCGGTACTTGGTTTACTTGATTCCCGGTGCCGCGCTCCTTCTCATTCCAGTTCTTATCGGTCACTTCGCCGTTGACGCCGAAAGCGCCACCGTCGGCGGTGCTTACGGCGTCTACCTCACTTGGTTCGGAATCTGGCTCGAGGTTGTCTGGTGCTCATTGTGGGCTACGCGCATGGTTACCAGCTTCATGCCTCTCACCTTTGGCGGTATTGCCATTGTCATGGGCTCTTCGAACCACAAGAAGTGGAAGGACATTGGCCAGGGTCTCGAGCTGCACACTGCCCTCTTCATGTGGATGCTTGCCATTCTGTGTTCCTACTCACCGATCCTCGATGACCATCGCGTTCTCCCCGACGGATTCAACCCGGATACAGACACGAAGCCCGACCTCAAATGGGTTGATATCGTCCAGAAAGTCATTATCGCCTTCTTGGTCCTGGCTGGTTTGAACTGGGCCGAGAAGATCTGCATCCAGTGGATTGCCACTTCTTTCCATCAGCGCACATACGTCCAGCGAATCGAGACGAACAAGAGCGACATCGACCATCTGGTGCACTTATACGAGCACTCCAAGATGCGAATCAACCGCGAGGACTCCATTTGGCTCACGACTGAGAACGGCAACAGATCAGGCGCCCGTACCCCAATGGGTGTCGTTGGAAAGAATGTTCGCACCGCCTTCAACAAGGCCGGTGGCGTTGCGGCTCGCGTTGGAAACGACTTCATAGGACGAAAGGTCGCCTTCAACCACGCCCGCAAGATCACCTACGAGATGTTGCGCAACACAGGTTCTGCCCATTCTCTCGCCCGCCTCATCTTCCGCAGTCTTGCCAAGGATGGCCAGGAAACCATCTACCTTGAAGACATGCAGTCCGCCTTTAAGACCACCGAAGAGGCTGAACATGCCTTTAGCATTTTCGACAAGGATCTCAATGGTGACATTTCCATGGAAGAGATGGAACTCACTTGCAACGAAATTCACCTCGAGCGCAAGGCCATCGCTGCCTCGTTGAAGGATCTCGATTCCGTCATCAAGAAGCTCGACAAGGTCTTCCTCGTCGTCATTGTCATCATCGCCATCATCGTCTTTATCTCCATTCTCTCGGGCTCTGCTGCCGCTGGCCTCGCATCTGCCGGATCCAGTTTCCTGGGTCTCGCATGGTTGCTCCAGGCTAGCGCTCAAGAGTTCCTGCAATCCATCATCTTCGTATTCGTCAAACACCCGTTCGATGTCGGTGACCGAGTCACTGTCTACGGCAACACTGGTACCACGGGAACTGGTGACGATTACTACGTTACGGAAATCTCCCTGCTCTACACCGAGTTCAAGAAGATGGAAGGTCACATCGTACAGGCACCCAACAGCGTACTCAACACTCTGTTCATCCTTAATCAGCGTCGTTCCGCTGGCCTAGCCGACCCCATCGAGCTTAAGCTTGGTTTCGGCACTGATCCGGAGCTCATTGAAGAGCTCAAGTCCCGCATGCTCAACTTCTGCCTCGAACACAAGCGCGACTACCAACCTCGCATCATTACCGAAGTCCGCACTCTCAACGAGGTTCAATCTTTCACCATGAACTTGATCTTCTTCCACAAGTCCAACTTCCAGAACGAGCTGCTCCGTCTCCAAAGACACAACAAGTTCGCCGCCCAGCTCATGGCCGAGGTTCGCGCTGTCGGTCTCCAGGGCCCTTGGCAGGTGCAACCCGGTGGTTCCCGCAACACCCCCTTCTACTGGGCAGGCGGCGCTCCTCCTTCGTACGACTCTTCAAAGAATGGTGGTCCCAGTGGCATCGAACCTGCGACGCCTGGCGGCGACGCTCACTCCATTCACTCCACTACTCAGTCTACTGCGGCGGGTACTGCCGTGGCCACTCGTGCTCGCGCCGATTCCCGCACTGGTATGACACCTTTCATCGATAACAACTGGAGCGACTTTCAGGACGTGTTTGAGGCTCGCAAAGAGGTCCACCAACCGCACGTCGCTCGTCTCCACAGTATCCGCGAACGATCCGATCTCGAACGGCCGGAAAGCGCGACTTCAGGCGCCGCAGCCTCGAGAGCCAGCCACGATTCTGGGTCTCAGCGCCGACGCTTCTTTGGCCGGCCCCGGAGTTCAAGCCGAACCAAAACCGGCGACATCGTTTAGGCCAACGCATCGACGATGAGAATCCCTTATTCGACAGAACAAAAGTCTTTTCCCATGCCCTCAAGCTTGGGGGCCCTTACACTCTTTTCATAATGCGATATATGTAATCAGCGAAGCGAAAGAAGCCACAGAGATAGAGAAGATTGAGGGAGATGTGCATGATCACCATTGCGTATTGAAGGACTTGGGTAGAATGCCCGAGTATCTGTCGCAAGGTGTCGACGGAGTTCATTTCAGAGAAAATGGCATCAGGAGCGAAAAGACGCTTTTGGACAGACAGAAATCGGGGTAAAATACCCAAATAGAAATCTCGATTCCTAATTCGTATCATTGTTCTTCCCATTGTCGCCTTTCTCGATGGTTTTCGGTTGGTTTTCGGTTGCTCATCTTATAATTGCTGATCCCATCGTAGTTCCTGTTGTCACAAGCCAGTCCGGGACCGACTGGACTAACAGGGCTTTTTGAAAATATGCAGCCTTTGCGGGGGGCCCAGCGGCACAGTTCGAGAGGCGCGCCAGACGTCTCACCTTCTATGCTTCCCAACACTACACTCTTTTCCCTCTCTTTGTCTCTCTTTCTCTTCGTCATATGCAATACCAGCGACCATGTACTCTCCTCCCGAAGAGATCGAGGCTGCCCTCAAGGCCTACCGCTCTCGCATCTCGGAACGCAACCGTCGTTTCGTCGAGGTTTATAGTATGTCTGTTCTGTGAAAGTAAGTAGTCACGTTGCCATGGCTAGCCACAAACGTCCTAACTTTGTGCCCCTTAGTATTTCTAGTCGCTGACGCGGAGCCAGAAGAAGGCGATTTGGAAGACGACGAAGACATTAGCGATCTCCGTCTCGAGGCCATGCATCCCATTTTCGACGTGAGTCTTTCCTCGTTCGTCTCCACGCCGCGTGAGATCCTCACGCGCTGGGACGAGCTCTGTGTCGTATACGACCTACAGGGCACGAGCCCCGCTGGCCGGAACCCTTCCGAGGAAGATGTAGCTCTCAACGAGGCTTGGGTTTCCCTCCTGGAGGAATATCTGAAGAAGAGGTGCAAAGAGGATGTTAGAGAGACTTTGAGGTTTCCTGAGGAGTTTTGTGATTTAGCGAGATATGTGGATAACCTCGCTGGCCCGGGGTTGACGGAGGTCAAGTCGAGGTACCAGGCCGGCTTTTTAGTTGGACGGTATTCTGATTCTCCGGCCCTAGCTGAGCAGGGCGCTGCTGAGATGGTCAAGACGCCTGAGTGGTTTAGTGAGTATATAGATTGCAGGTGGGAGTGTGCTGCTGGATGGGATGCGGGGTGTGGGATTAGTCCCTCGTTCTATGTCGTCTACTGTCGGAGGAGAATCTATAATGTGCCCCAGCTCTTCGGGACCGTCCTCCCCCGGAATGCAATGCCTGGTTATCCGGAATAGACGCGACGGCTTTCCCGGCAAAAGATGCACCTCCGATAGTGCCAAGGATATATCAACATACCTTAATTTTAAGAATCGGCTTTACCTGCCATTTTCAACTGCACAAACCCGAGCTTGCGGATAAGGTTTTGGTTCTCCTGTCCCCAAGGCTTTGTTTTTTCGGCTAAGCGGGAAAGTCGGCATGGCGGATGGATATCGTGCGGGAACCCGGAAGGCAAATATTCGCAAATTAGCAGTGAGAACAGGCAGACCTTTGGGGACCTCGATTTCCCTGTCTGAATTTGTATCATGCCAACTAAGAAGCTGTGTCTTGGCTGAGTAGTCCGTTGACCAGATTCACTCCCTACTTAATCAACATGAACCTCTAGGTCAGAAGCTCAATTCTCCAACGATCTTCCGCCGGAGCGGGGCCGCGAAGGTATAAAGCCCGGGATGGGAGGCCCGGAGAAGTCTAAAATGGCAACTTAGATTAAATAGTCCCCAGGGATTGGCTTGCCTCAACTTCTCACAACATGGCCGCCAAGCTTTTCACGCTCTATTTCTTGGGGCTTCGGGCAGTTTCTCAGGGGAAGACCCATGGCAAACCCGTCTAAATGGGCAATTCTATAAGGAATCAGATGATTCGACTTGTTACCTAAATAGCCAAGACACGGAGCTCTGTACAGATGTGGACGTTCGGGCCCTCGGGGTAATGAAGAAGGAGGTCTTGTCTAAGCGGATCTTCTTCAGGAATACGCATAGTGTCCCTAATTAAGGGCAGGTATAGCATAAGTTGACGATGGCGTCAATGGCTGTTGTGACCTCTCGATGTTCCTAGTCGTTCCTTGATCCTTTCTCGCCCGTCGTTCCTTTGTGTTACCTACGCAAGGGGCATTCCACTCGTTTCTTTCGCGCCCGCACATCCTCCTCACCGATTCTGATCATTTCAAGTGATACCTCGATCTCTTTAGTCACTCATTTCCAAAATCAAGAAGCTTCTTCTAAGTGGAAATAAAATCATGGCGAAAATACTCCTCTGTCTAGCTGCCCTACTCACGGCAGCATCAACTACATCTGCAACCTGAACCAACCCCTCAATCCGCACACCATGGACCGCCCTATCGGAAGACGAAAAAGCAAGCTACGTGAACTCAACGCTGTGCCTGATGGACCCCTCCCAAGCACCAGCCAAAGTCGGAAGCTGGGGCGCAACGAGCCGTTGGGAAGAGTTGGTTGTTGCGCATATTGCGCAGGTTCGGTATATCCACACAGTGTTACGTGATACACTCAAAAGCTTCAAGACCATCGTGATGCCTGTTCGACTCCGCATCAGAAAACAATGGTTTGAACTCAAAGGTGCTCTATGGAACTAATCGATTGACTCCAAAATAGGGCGCCTTGTTCCCCTGGCATAGATGGTACACCAAAATCCACGAAGACCTCCTCCGCAACGAATGCGGCTACACCGGCCCATACCCGTACGTCAACCTTCCCCTCCTCTCCCATTCCCTCAAGAACCTCAAATCCCAAACCTAAACAACTTACACCTAATCCAGCTACTGGGACGAACAAGCAGACCAACCCCTCTACCCAATCCAAAACGCCTCCGTCTGAGACACCGCATCGTCCACCAAAGCCTTCGGCACAGAGAGAACCGACGCCTCAAATTGCATTCTCGACGGCGCCTTTGCGGACTACCGCGTCCGCTTCAACACACAGTTCGAACGCGATGCGCCAGACGGAGGCGGCGTCTGTCTCACGCGCGCGCTAAACCAGACGGCTTTCGATACGGTTTCCCAACTCACTGTCGTGGAGCCCTGTATGGCGCTTGACAAAGGTGATGATTACGCCGAGATGTTGGGGTGTCTGGGAAACACGCCGCATAGTGGTGGACACCTAGGCGTCGGTGGCATCGTGAGTTTTCTCTCCCCCTTCAGCTTCTACCTCGATCTCCAACTTTCCTACTCCCCCAACACCGAGCTACTAGAAAGAGTTGCTCTCAACAAGAAGAACCATCGAAATCAAGACTAACCATCACAGATGCGCCACCACGCGCGCTCCCCAGCGGACCCAATCTTCTACCTCCACCACACAAACTTCGACCGCCTCTGGTGGGAATGGCAGACTTCCTCCCCCGGAAGACTCTACGCAATGGGCGGCCCCAACGTCGCGGCAAACCAGATCTTTCTCGACGCGCAACCAAAAGTTCTGCCGGAGGACATGTTCCTCCCGTACTTCGGTGACGGGGGTGGCAATGTCACGACGCTGGAGCATGTTTTGTGGATGCCTGGGTTGGCGGAGAATATTACGATCAAGGACACGATGGACATTCGCGGGGATAAGATGTGTTTCGAGTATGTTTGAATCGGGGTGAAATCAACGAAGTTACCGCGTTGGGAATGAGGAGATTTCGATATCACAGGAGTCGAAGTTCCGGACCCATGAAAGGGCACGTCCCCATAATGCCTCGGCAGCTGAGAGAGAATAGAGCAGAAAGACAGCCAAGGCATCACTATGTAGGAAAGCTAATGAATGATGCTGTTGACAGTTGAAGATGGGACATTTGATATGATGCTTGATTTGAGGTCTACAAGATACATGAGACCTTCATAACCCTACTGCAAAGTCGCCGTTAAAAGAAATGTAATGGACGGTCATCTGAAGGTTGTTTGATCAACCGCCCCTCCCAATATCTCTTATGGTTTCCATCAACCCCTGTCTTCGACAAGCAGATTTCGAGCTCAAGCTGAAGCTGTACACGACATAAACTTGAACCCATCCATATCAATACAACAGCAGAACATAACATCATTACCAGAAACTCCAAGTAATAATGCCGTTACCAACAGAGCGTAGCAAAGGTACAGTTGCTCTCGATAATGACTTCAGAGTACATTGGGTACAGTACATCGAATGCCGAGGCAATAGCCGTGTTGTAGTCGTCGTTGAATTTGGTGGCGTTGCACTCGCTGCAGTGAATTCCCATACCGGGCTCCGGCCACTTTATCTCGTACCCAATGAAGCCCTTGAGCTCTCCAGTGGCCATGTCGTATGCCGTGAGATTGAAGGTTGAAGGAAGGGTGAGGGTGTCGTCAGAGGTGTCATTGGCGAAGGGGGCTGGCCCGTGGTTGTAGACGAAGTAGCCATCAGAGCCTGGGACGGTACCCAGGTTTTTAAGGGCGTTGAAGAAGACGGGCAGGAAGTTGAGAGGAGTGGCGTTAGTGCCTTGACAATGGGCCGTGACGGTTGAGTTGAGGCGGTTCGAGAAGGAGTAAGGGCTACAGTAGCCGTCCGTGGTGAAGAGAATGCTGCTCAAGAAATGGGCAATCGTGCCGTACCAGATGGCTGGGCGGGGGCTGACTTCGACCTTGACGCTGAGGGTTCTTGCATCCACAGAGGAGCTGTTGGTACCACCTGTGGAGGCAGTTCCGTTGTCTGTAGGCACCCAGACGCCGGGGAGTCTGGCCCAAGGAGTCGGACCGTTCTCAAGGTGGTTGCAGATGAAAGCTGAGACACAGGTAGAGTTGCCGGAAGCACTCATACTGATAGGGCGTCCACGGTAAGTGTAGCACCAGAGAGTGGTACCGCCATCCTTGGTGCTCATGGCCTTGCCGGCACGCAGGAGCTCCGGAGTGCCGTCTTCGATCCAGGCAGACCAGGTATCGCCGTTGGAAAAGGTTGCAGAGGCACCCTCGTAGTTCCAGGGGTATTTGCCATCGTTGTAAGGCATCTCGACAACCATATCAGGAGGAGCGGGGTCGGTCTCAGCCGGAGTCGACCAGATGGCACCCCTGTACCAGTTCATCTGGCGGGACGTGGACCAGGTCAGGTTCTCCGGGTTGGAACCAATGCCGCAGTCAGCCAGAACCAGATTCTGATCAGCGTTGGTGTGGGCGAGGCGATGCAGATTGAGAGGATTCAGGGAAGACATAGCCGTAAAGGCCTTGAGAGTGCGAGAGAAAGTCATCTTGTTGGGTGAGGAGAACCAAGGTAAAGACGGGGCAAAAGGACAGAACCAAAAAAGAACGAGGTTTGAGGTTTCGAGGTGATGAGGTTGCGGTCCAAGATTTGTGGTGCTGTCGAGGGTGTTGAAGGAGGGTTGGAGGAGAGAAGATGGAGGTGGACGATGGAAGATATGGAGCCAGTGGCAGAGGCAGACGCAGTTCAAGAAGACAGCTGGAAGATGGGAAGGAGACTCAATATGATGAAACTGATTCTTGCCGTTTCTCAATGTTTGAGTCTTGGGGGTTCCTGCCACGGAAAGAGATTGGCACGAGTGCCTGAGACCAACCGTGTAAGTGACCACATTGCGGCTGGGGGGCCAGTTCCCTCACGAAAACAACATCTCAGAGCAAATGAGTGGAAAGGAAAGAGAGACGAAGGCCGTAACGACTGTCCTTGAGTACCTCCTGCCGCAATAGAGAAAGTCTCAACATGGTGATACTTCACATGGAGATGAGACAGTTTCGAAGGTACGATGCAGTTGCTCTCCATCTAGAAAGGGCAAACCAGAGATGCCAGCAATGATCTCGCCCATGACCGGTGTTCCCGGAAGGATCGAGGCCGACACTTACCTTCCACTTCCCCATCTGAACACTCCCATGACAATTCGGCCTTGCATCTGAATGATCTGGTCAGGCAGAAGGTGGCATTCGGGATGAACCTTTCGTTTAAAATCCGGAAACAGTTGATGATGATGATGATGTATTTAACGTCTGGTAACAAAAGGACGTGCCGGGCGCTATGCCGACATGGTCTATGCTAATCTAAACTATGTTACAGGTCCGGAAACAGTTAAAGCTTTTGTAGCACGTGGAGTGCCGGGGAGTGCCTCGTTTGATCACGGGCAGAGCATGGGATGACATTTGCGGATGGAGCTGTGAACAGGGATGGTCCTTGGCGACTGGATGATCTCTCTTTGACGCTGTCCTCATCCTGTCGAATAAGGCCGAATGTTCAAGGTATTGAGCGTTGCTGATAGAATCTGATCAAGACCACGTCGAGCACCTTTCATGCCTACGATGCCGTCGTATTAGGCAGACGTGTGTAAGTTAAAAGTTAATAATCGAGTACTGCGAGGTGCAGAGGTCGAGGAAGATGCACAGTCAGCAAACGTCGTTGTCCAATGAAACGGAGTAGATTGCCGGAGATCAGCCACCACACCACACAGACTCCGCTGAAGCGGTCCGGGGGATGTTACCCAAGCACCGAAGGACCCCGGGCAAGGCCCAATGGACCCCCAAAGACCCCTAAAAATAAAGCCAAGCCGCATTGGGGGTGGAGTGACTTGCACCCTGTACCCAGCAGGGAGCAAATAGTTCGTTGTTGCCTGGACATGTAGTGTAGCTCCCCGCTCCATTCCTCTTTCATCACACGCATCCTCGACCAGAGAGACAACGCCAACGTCCACACGCCCATGCAGCTCAGCCGCACTGCAGCTAGATTCAGTCTAGCCGACTATTGTTGGGCCTATTCGTACCTCTTTCCCTCCGTTTATTACCTTGCCCAGGTGCTATGCCATCGAAGCCATGTCGCAGAAAAACAACGCCTGGCGCCACGTTCGCTCCCATCCTCCCCTTTCTCTTGACGTGACGATGTCGTGTCGCCATCGCGAGCAACCTTGACGCGGCAATGAACCTTCGTAATCCTGTCTGACGACTTGCTCTTCCAAACGCTATTCTCTTCCTCCAACGACAACGGTCTTCCCGCAGTAGGGTCAGTATCAAAGACTCCGAGCATCGGACTTCGCCCGTCCGACACCTCCCAACAGGGCTGTTGGTGTGCCTACCAATCAGATTGCGACCCTACAAGGAATCCTGCAAAGGGAAACCCCCTTCAGAACCTCGAGGCTCTACGACTTCACATCTCCCCGAATCGAGAACGCTTACTGCCTCGGCACCATGGCGGCCCTGCCCACCGGCTGGGAATGGGACTATGATGGCTCCCGCTGGCTCTACCGCTACAGGCCCAACGGCCATGAACAGTTCCACTTCCCGAAAGAGGGCGACGAGTTTCCAGACTTCGTTGACTGCTTTTCGCCAGCCCCCGAGCTTGCCCCCGAAGAGAAACTCGAGAGCCAGCAACAGCTCAAAAGACGAACCACGGCCGATGCCAATCCCACATCCCAGATGCGCGCTACTGGCGGACCCATGTCCGATTTTGGTATGAGTCGAAGTGGCTTCGGAGGGCCCATGGGCAACGACGATGACGATAGTGACGGCTTCTTCTTCCAGCCCGAGAACTTCATGTATCTCGGCCCCGGTGCCTACGACGACATCAGCCCGGAAGCTGATGAGGACGAGCGCGAGGAGGCATTGGGCAAGCCGGGCGTTGGTGAAGGCGGCCGAGGCAGCAGTAATAAGAATCATGCGAGGCTCGATGTTGCCAGTATAAAGTCGGGAGTGTCACCCCTGCAAAGCGAGACCAATACTCCCTCCATCATCAACAGTGTGCCTGTGCGAGGCGCTGAAGCTGTATCAGAGGCACCGGCAGAGATGGTGCTCGCCGAGCAGCCTCTCAACATCAACACTGATACCAGTCCGGACCCCAACCAGACTCTCCCGCCGTCTCCTGGTGTTCCACTCCTCGATTCAGTTGAAAAGCCCCGGCCGGGATATTCAGCAAGTTTCCAGAGACCGCCGTGGGACCCAGTGGGGACCATGGCCGAAATGGCAACCGAGCACACGGCGCCAGCTCACATCGAAACCCATCCTGATCCGGTCGAGATGGCCGACACCGCAGTCTTAGCACCTATCGAGACGAATTTTGCAGATTTGGGCATTGCTGAACTGCCAGAGCGGTCAAGTCCGGCGGAAACAAGGCCGCAGCCGCCAACACAGTCTACTCACGATTTGCTACACCAGACGAACATGAGCGACGCAGCCCTCTATGGCGCTACCTTTGGAACTGGATCGAGGCCTCAGAATTCGTCACCCTCTCGGAAATCTCAAGTTTCACAGGAGTCTCGGCGCGATTCAGCCACAGGAATAACGACTCCTGATCACTCTCTGCCAGAGGTGGTGCCTCAGCCGGCGCCGCAACCAACGCAAGGCCCCTCTCCAGGTGCTGGCGGAAGTGGTTCTTTCACCATTAAGAGGAAGCCTTCCAAGTCGGCGGGTAAGCAGACCCAATACCAACCCTATGTACCTGGGGTAGTCAGCAGCGCACCTTCAGAGCAGTCGAGCACGACTGACTACAAGCGCCGAGAACATCGTAATTCTCTTGCTCGGGATGGGTCATTAATGATGGGACCACGGACCAAGTTTCATCAGACAAGTATGCCCTCTGTTCTCAGGCCTCCTCAGCTACCGCCAAAAGTTCCTATCGATTCGTCTCAAGCCCCAAGCCCTCCTGCCAGTGACCAGAGGGCTCTCAACTCAGCCAGCCAAACTTCAGGTCTCGTCACACAGGGACCCTTGCAACACTTTCCATCGGTGCTGAAACCAGCAAGAGGACAACCACAGAACCGAGCTCAGGAACCGTCACCACCGCAGCCAGCATCTGCCGATATCCCAAGTAAGAAAGAGAAAGGAAAGGAGGTACAATACGCCGCGTTTCAACCGGGTCTCGCAAGTCAAAAGGGACTCCGACCGCAAGGTCCTGACGTTCAACGGCCCGAAACGACGCCTATCCAGTCATCGCAAGACCAGTACCGAATGCTAAGCCAAAATGATCCGTTGCCTGCGACAAACACCCCACCAGCGCCGGCCTTTCTACAGCGTCCGCGGGCACAGAGTGATATTCGCCAACAACCTCTGTCTAATAGTCAACACCGAGCATCGATAGACTGCCCTCTCGATGGCACGCAACGACATGATTCTATACCAGACGGGGGGCGACCTCGGCAGACGTCGTATGCTTCGAGTGAGGTCTCCTCCCTTGGGCCTCCCACGGGCAGCCAGTCGTCCGTTCCTCTCCAAACTCAGTCACCACTAGAGAGCGAGGGAAGACGTCATTCGTCGGGCTTCTTCCATGGGGGGAATTCGAACTCATATTCATCGCAGTCTGGTGCTGGGTTTGGTACCGCAGGATTGAGGACAGCCTCAATTTCTGGCCCCTCTCCTGCATTGACGGCAATGGAGACTGCCCGACAAGCCTACAAGCCTGCGGAGAGCCAAGTTCCTCCAGCTCGACCAGGGAAGGTTCCAGTATCGACAGTGGCCATGCCCCATCCCGATCAGGTCATGGAGTCGCAGACTTTTGGTGAAACCTGGACTCCTTCATCGAATCGCCGACATTCCCTACCATCTAGTAGCATGGCGGATCAAGTGGCACTGCCGGTATCCCAGCAATTACAGCCAGAAAGGTACGAGTTGTCCGATCAGAGCCAAGGCCAAGTACAACCTCACTTCGACTCGGTTCATTGGGAGACAAGCGGTACTAGTGCAGCTGAGGCTGCCCATGACATTTCGAGGCCATTTTCGGTGCATCCTACGGGCATGCAACCAGGACAATCTGGTGGTCTACCTTCAGGACCTAAACCCCCGATCACATCACAGCCATCGTATCCAACCGAGGAAAATCGCCAGTCCGGGAAATTGGCAAGTCGCCCATCTCGTCCCACGGTGACCCTTCCGTCGCAAAACGCACTTGGCCCAATGAGCCCTTGCACGCCTATAAGATCTCCCGGTCATCTACTTCACCCGATTCACGAGCACAATGAGATTTACAATGTGATGAACACTGCTTCTGCTACCTCGGGAGCTGGAGACCCTTCTGACGCTCGAGGGTACATGTATGCTTCTGGACCGAGCCCTCACTTCTCTTCTGCTTCCAATCCAGCCCATTACCCAGTGGCGAACAACCATCCATCGCACCAGTCTCCAGCCAACATTGCAGGTCTACCTCAGTCAAGTCGATTGCGCCCCGGATCAACCCCGCCTGTAATGCAACATTCGGCAAACGGAAAGGAAAAGGGAGGCTGGCTGTCCAAGTTCAAGAAAGGAGGCTCTAGCAAGTCCACTGTCCTTCAAAAGGCGCCGCCGCCACAACAGGGCATTCCAATTCAACAGCCGCTGCAACCCGCACCTCCGCCACAAGGTCTGATGACAAGGAATCCCATGACTGCCGGCGTACCAACAGACCAAAGGGCAGGTGAGCAGGCGACGCCAGTGATGTCTAGACAACCAAACAATGTCCCCAACGTCCAATATACGCCATTTGCCCCACCAAGGAATTCGGCCTCCTCGGATAGCCATGCTGTCGCTCAAAATACTGGCAGTATCCAGCAAGCGCCTATTCGCCAGAATCTCTTGGCTCAAAGTAATGCGTCTCTCGTTGCAGGGCCAATGCCTCAGCCTACTTCTCAAGCCCAACAGCAATATGGCGTTGGTGAACAGGTCCAACAACGTTCAGCCAGTGTGCCACCCGGAAACTTGGCCCTGCCCTCAGGGTCACCGATGGACCAGATTGATAATCTTTCAGACACTGCTTCTGTTTCGACCATGGATGTATCTGAAGCGCAAGCGCAGCCGGTACTGAGGCCGCAGCTTGTCACAGTTGAGAGGCATGTTGCTGTTCAACCGAACCGGGAGCAACCCGCTGTTCAAAGTGCCAGTCACACTGCACAATCAGCCGGCCCGAATGCTGAAGGACGTCCTGACCAGGCACTCGGAGACAGCGAACTTGTTGTTCAGCCTTTGTTCTCGAAGTCTCAAACCCGGACTACCGTCAGCGCAGTCCCTGTTAATCAAGCCCCTGTTTCCCAGAATAAATGGGCCCAAAAGCCTGCTGTGGACTATTCCGGGGACGATTGGGGCGATGATCCATGGGATTATCAGTAGACACGTAGATGAACTTCAGCCAGGCCATGATGGATGGCTCAAATTGACTACGTTAGTCTTTTTTCGGTGGCGAGATTTAGTTGCATGCAGTCCCTAGATACCACATCAGTACCATCTTTTATAATTGAATCAATCATAATGACCACAGAAATCTCCGATGCGAAGAGACATCGCCAATAGCACTGATAGAAGCAGAGTCTAGCTCACATACTCTGGGTTGATTATCTCTCTGTTTTCTGCAAGCATCGCATTCCGAAATCTGGTGTAATATGGGACTATCAGCCTGTCATCCGGTATCGATATCTTATGCATTGCTGTTGGTGATTGGCGTTCAGTCCGGGAGATAGGACGGAGGCCGTGAAGGGTGGTCCGAACATCGTACAATTGTCCGATAGCACCGCACCTGCATATCGCCAAGTGAGGAGGTAATTACCAGTCTCGATTGGTGTTGAATTTTTGATCATCGTATTATTGGAGATATAGGAACCATTGTATCGATTCCTTCGATTGCGCCGAGCTTCCGTCTTCCTACCCCGATCAACCTCGAGGCTTACCTGCCAAGCCCAGATAGACAACGACGTGTCTTGAGAATGCCCACCATGACAGAAAAATTGCAGGAGAAGACCCAGTCCAAAAAGCCAGACTCCGCCGACGCTGCAGTCGATGTGTCACAAGGACACGCAAAGACCACCCGAGACCATAATGACAGCGCCGGGAGGGGCCGTGACATTGCCGCGCACCTTGCCGACCAATTCGCCAATGAGCCGGACTACGATCGGCAAGAGGAAGTCAAGCTACGATGGAAAATTGATCTTCGACTCGTGCCCATCCTATGGCTCAACATCACCCTCCCGGCAATGGACAAAGTTACCCCCTCCACGGGCGCGCTGTACGGGATGCGCGACGACTTGGGCTTGGAGGGAGATCAATATGCCTGGGTGAGTTCAGCATTCTACGCAAGTCCTCCCTCTCCCCCCCTCTAACTCTCAAGATAGCCATTCTAACCTCTAGTCCGCAGTTCGGCTACCTAATCTGGTGCCTCCCCTCCTCCCAAATCCTCCAACGCCTTCCCATCGCAAAATCAATGTGCGCCGTCATGATAGCCTGGGGCATAGTCCTCATCGGCGCAGGGTTTACGCGCTCCTTTGTCCCCATGGTCGTCACGCGCGTCTTACTCGGTGCCCTCGAGGCCCCCGTCGCGCCGGGAAATTTTGTGATTATGACAATGTGGTATACCCGCCAAGAACAGCCCGTCCGCGCGGGGTTATTCTACACGGGCCTTTCAACCATCATCACGGGGACGATGGGCTGGGCTGTGGGGTTTATTCCCGGCGAGAACGCCTGGCGCTCGTTCTTCTGGATTACGGGTGGGATTTCGATCGTGTATGGGGTTGTGGTGGGTGTGTTGTTACCGGATAACCCCGTCTCTGCGGAATTTATCTCGGAGAGGGAGAGGTTTGTGGCCGTGGAGCGGTTGCGTGGTGATCAGCTGGGTATTGAGAACAAGACGTTTTCGAGGCGGCATTTTTGTGAGACGTTGGTTGATCCCAAGACGTGGCTCATGTTTGCTTTCAATGTGTGGGTGTCGATACCCAATGGAGGGTTGACGAACTTTGCGCCGTTGATTGTTAATGGGCTTGGGTTCTCGCCGCAGAGATCGACGTTGTTGATGATGCCTACGGGGGTCGTGCAGACTTTGAGTAGTTATGTTTGTAACTTTGGGGTGTTCTGGTGTGTGAGACGGTTTGGGAAAGGTGTGCAGGCGAGAGGGCTATTTGTGGTTTGCGGATTGCTTGTTGGGATGGTTGCTACTGTTTTTTTGTACACTTTGCCTATTGATAATTATTCGGCAAGGTTGTGGGCTTTGTATTGGTCTTATTTCTATCTTGGGCCGTATATTGGTGAGTCATTTTCTCTTCTGTTTTTGATGTATACATTATCGGAGTCGAGTAATCGCTGGACTAACGAAGGCACGAATTGAGTTGGCTTGGGCATGAATAGTGCCAACACGGCAGGCCACACCAAAAAGGTCACGACGAACGCTATCGTCTTTGTGGCATATTGCATCAGCAACATCGTTGGCCCCCAATTCTTCAAGGCGGCTCAGGCGCCGCTTTATCCCCTCGGCATGGGTGCCATGCTGGTCTCGTACGCTCTGAGCATCTTCACTATGGGGCTTTACATGCTGTACTGTTGGAGCGAGAACCGGAGGAGAGACCGACTGAATATTGCGCGGGGAGGTAGCCGAGTACATTTGGATTCGGACTTCAGAGACTTGACGGACCGGGAGAACGTGCATTTCCGGTATGTTTGGTAGTAGGAAATCGATTAAGCATGCGGAAAGGTGAAAGCTTGCGAATCCACACGATGCTTTGTTGGCTTTCACCAGTGATTCAGCACTGGCGAGTGACAATGAATCCACAAGGACATTGTCTGACTGTTTGAACTACATTCGTTGACAGAATAATCGCCTTTGTTTATTGGCTTATTAGATAGGACCTCGACTATTGTCCAAGGTCATAACCAACAATATGTCTCTTAGTTTCTATGTCATTGTTTTGGGACTGCCAGCTTTGATCTCAACTAATTCAAGTGACTTCCAAAGTCTGCTTCCACGGTTGGGAGACTACATATATGAGATTGAGTCTCCTCAACCCCAATTGCATTACACAACCACCATAATCACAACTCAGCATCTCACCAACAACACAATAACAACGAACAAGGTTCAGTACAACCCGAATCCTACTAACCCACTTAAACACAGATTTGATATCTACTAAGTTGGTACTAGCAATGGCGCAATCAACAGAGTTCCTTGACCGCGCGCAACTTAAATACATCATCACAAATTTCCTCATCGACACTAACAACCGCGACGACGTCGAGGATTGGGAAGATGTAAAAAGAGCCACCATCGAAGCTATGGGAGACATCGTCGTCCAAATTGCCCGGGCGCAAGGGAAGGCACAAGTCGAAGGCAGAGGCGACTCCCCGGAACCGATGGACCTGGACGATGGAGAGGCTGTAAAACAGGAAGGACCAGATTCGGATAGTAGTTCGGATCCAGATGACTTTGTGAGAGACGACATCCCTCCCCAAGGACGTCAGCAACCCAAGAACGCCCCTAGCTCCTCACAACAGCCCTATTCAGGCTCCGACTTTGAGGAGCCTGCTTCGAAGAATCCACGCGGTGGTAAAGGAGCGATCAAGACCAATAAACCCCCTCGGAAGAACGCCAAGGTGCCGACTGACCGTGTCTTAAGCCTAGAGGAACGCAAGACGAACCGATGTGTGTTGGGATGTGGCGTGGGCTACACGACAGCGGATCGCCTCAAGAGAGTAAGTCGATTTTCATTTCCCCTCGATGCCCATTTATTTCTGAGGATAAATCAGCTGACAGTATCCATAGCATTACAAAGACAATCACGCCGGCTGGGAGGAGGCAGTTGTGGCTGCTGGTCAGAACGTCTTTCGAAATCAGCGCAAATACACGAAGCGTGAAACATGAGAGGGGGAATTCGTTTTGGATATGGGAGGTTTGTTATGTGAATGACTTTGCTGATAAGAGTACAGAAAGGGGTTTTTTAGTTTTTGTCTGACTTCAATTTTCAAAATTCAGGGTTTCGGGTGTTGAATACTCATGCGAGGAGAAAGACTGTGATGTCCAAGCAGAGTATTGTGAGCCAAGATTGTGTCAGGGGTGGAGGAAGGGGGGTTGAAATAGTTGATATGTCAGAAAACCCTCAAAAGCTCCCTTCACAATCCTAGTTCCGAACCTGCCTCGCGTAAATAAAAGATCGACGATCCATTTGACTTTGTTTGCTACTCTTTTCTTGACCTCGCCGGCACCTGGCGTTACGGTTGCGCCAAGGCATGTCCCGCGAGCGGGCTACCGCACCACTCAGGTGAGTGCGCGTAAATTGTCCCTATCATTGCTGGCTTCCTAGACACATTCTAACTCTAGTCAACGCCTTCGACCAGGGCCGGCGTGACGGAGTGATATTGGATCATTCAGATGCCCGGGAGCTACGGAGTATTTCATGGGTGACAGCGGCGTCTATTCGTCCATGTCATCCTACCGGCCCGTTGAAACAGACCGTCAAAGTTCAAGGGATGTCCCGCTAGCTTGCCTGATGACAGGACCACCGGTTCATCTTAGACTCGGGGGCTAATGCTCTTGGCCCACTTACAAACGTCAAGTCGGCATTCGGCAGTCGAAATTGATGTCGGACTCCTGCCGGCAGCATGGCGAAGTATAAGGTGATCAATATGCCGACGCAATTCAAATCCTCAGTTCATCACGGTATCTTTTCATCTTCCGCGGGTCGTAACAACTCGGTCCATTCCTTTTTACCACTTTAGCAAATCTGCCTTTCCGTTCCTTAATCCATTTCTCGCCCAACATGCGGTGCTCAACTTTCCTCGCCCTGGCTGCATCAGTCTCCAGCGCGTCCGCTCATTACTTTTTCCCCCACTTGATCGCCAACGGCAACTTCACCCGATACTACGAGTACGTCCGCGACAACAGCGCAAACTACATGCCCTTCAAAAACGGCTATGACAGCACCGACCTCCGATGCCGGACCGGGTCGATGGAGCACGCGGCCGCCACGGGCGTCTACAAGGTCAAGGCGGGCGACGAGGTGGGCTTCGGCCTCAACTTTGGCGGCTCGATTCAGCATCCGGGTCCCATGCAGGCCTACCTCTCCAAAGCACCGGGCGACGTGCGCGAATACGAAGGTGACGGCGACTGGTCCAAGATCTTTGAGCTTGGGCCAAAGTCCTTTTCTAGCGAGGGTATTGAATGGGGCGTCACCAATATTGGAAACTTTACGTTCAAGTTGCCTGAGGAGACGCCAGCTGGGCAGTATCTTTTGCGAATTGAGCACATTGGCGTCCATGAAGCTGGTGACTTTGGTGGTGCCGAGTTCTACTTCAACTGCGCCCAGATCGAAGTCGAGAGCAGTAGTACCGCGGTCCCTGGCCTCACTGTCAAGATTCCCGGGTTGTACGATGGTGACGAGCCCGGTATCGAGTTCTACATGTACCGTCCGTGGATTGTCAACTTCACGATGCCCGGACCGGCTAGATGGCCCCAGCCCCTTGTGGAAAACGTCACCGCAGAAGGTGTAAGTGTGGCTCCGACAGCTACGCCTTGGACACTCCCGGCAGTCACTTCGACAGTCGGAGGGCAAGATGTTGCATCCTCGGCGGCTGTCGTCGTGCCCACGAGCCTTACCTCCGCAGTTGCGCCTTCTGCGAATGCCACGTACTCGTACGCATCTATGACTGCAGCTGGCGCAAGTGAATCGGTAATTTCAAAGAGCGAGATTAGTGAGTTGGTGGCACCAACCTCCAGCTTAGCCGCAACGTTGAGCGCCACGGCCGCGCCTTCGACCACTTCAAAGAAGTCGCGATGCCCACCGCGAAGGACAGTGATCAGCACAGTTTACGTTACTGCAAGCGCTTGAACCTCTTTCTGAGAGTTGAATGTCTTCTGATTCTCTTGAGATCTATATGCTACACGAGCAAGGCAATTCTGGGAGTTGCTAAAGGCGAGGTGCTTTGTGTTGAGACTTGGTTGCTACATTATCCAAGATACTGGAGTCAAAGGTATGCCCCGAGACTTGACAAGTGGTCCCTGGGCCAGGGTTCCATTCTTTTCACTTCTATATGTATCATTATTCTTTACACATCGAATACTAAGACCTTATAGATGCCATAGGTTAGGAGTGAGAAGACTCCTGGATGTATTTTGTATTAATGAACGGAGTGAGATATTGTCGGCCTATCTTACGTTTGAGTCACCACGGACGAGTCACGCCGTTCCAATGCGCAATGTTTCAGTAATAACCCTCTGAGTCTTATCAGCCTGGCATCTCAAAACGAAAGCCAAGGATACATCTTTTCCGGCTCGTTAGCTATCTTGACACGGTGATCCCGGGCCCGACATCAGGGGTAAATACCAGGACTAACTGCATGCCAGGCGTCGCCACGGCCCACCTCCTATTCATTTTACAAAAGTCCTTACCAGGTCCCTGCGCTCTCTTCTCCACCTATCGTAGGTATGTTCAGAGTACTGATTAGAGAATTCTGGCTGTTGCGGGGTGGCTGATGTACCTGCATGAAATAACTTTTGGGCTGTTATCTCTCAGGCCATGAGATAGGTAGGTGGCCCTGGGAGACTTACGTCGCACAGCAGCATTTTGCGGACTGAGGTAATTATCCGAGCCATTCGATGTCTTCGAAGGCCAACATGTCACATTTTCACATGGGTTCCTTCCAGTGAGGACCAGAAATATGAACCATCAAAACACGCCCGTCCAGAGCAGCCAAGGAAACCTCAGTAAAAGTGAGGTCAAGCCGATGCAGTCAAACAGCGAAATTCTCGTCAATTAATGACTATTGGCCAAGGGCCGGCCGCCACAACCACAGCAAACAACAAAAAAAGCTTGAAAAAGCATCTTCCACCCAGCATTAACACAGCCCGAAGGCGCCACCAAACAAACACCCACACCCACACACAAACACAAAAACACAGACAAACAACCCCAGGCGGAGAAAAAAAGAACTCCCCTCACCACCTCCTCCCAGCAAAGATGCCCCTCTTGTACTCGGACACCGCGCGAAGCACAGACATGCCCGAAGGCCGGAAAGACAGCCACAGCAGACCCACGACAACAGTGCCAACAAGTGTTGCCCACACCATCAGCCCAAAGCTGGTCCCACAAGAGACCACACCCGATCTGTGTGAGCCAAGTAAAAAGCGGCCGGAAAAACGGCGCGCAAAACCATCCTCATCTATCGGACGTCCTGCTGCTGGCGGCACCGGGCCTGAGGCAGGGGTCGGGGTCGGGGCGGGGTGGGGCAGCAGAGGGGCCTCGCTTCCCCCGGAGCTATCCTCGGCAGTGCGGGCGGCGCAGGACTTGGCGGCGATACTGAAAGTTGGCCGCTGGTGATTATATAGGTAGTAGGTAGCGTTACGTCCGTAGCTTCCGGCCATTGTCGGAGTATTCTTGCCGGAATATACCCAGAGTAGAGGCGGGACGGGGCAAGACAAGGCCGGGGGACAGGTGACAGGAGACGGAGACGAGAAGAGGCAACGACGAGAAGAGAGAGAGACAAGAGGAGATAAAGACGAGCAGAGATAGGGACGAGAAGAGATAGAGACTGGCGAAACTGAGCAAATATTGGTTGCCGAAAGGCGGGAAAACCGAATAAAAGTGGTGAGAGTAGATGAGTCGGCGTCTGAAGAGAAGAGGAATCAGGGACAGGATGGGGGCGCGAAGGGGTTTTAAGGGCTGTTAGATACTTACAAGCGCGTCAACAATTCTTTCTCTACTTGAATTAAGTGAGCATTGCGGAAAAGAGGATGTGAGGCCGTCCGCCGAAACGAAGGACGAGTGCGTGGCGCACCATATTAGCAGTAGCAACGCAGTCCACCAAAGGAACCGAGCTCATAGAAGGAGGCAAAGTAGGAGCTTCCAGATTGTCCGTCGTGACGGATTCTTGCGGTTACCCCATCATGGAGCACAGCGGCTGGACGTTGTGCACTCGATGTTGGCAGTCGCGATCTCGGGCTGTTATTGCCTAGCATCCCTTAGATGACGGTCCTTCCAGACGGCAAGAGTCCATTCCGATTGAAGATCGAGTGCCTTCCAAGCTAATCACTCTTTCGATTGTGACGTACCTTACGGTGTCACCTCAGTCACATGTCCCTCCTTCCCGGGGTCCCTGCCTTGCTCTTTACACATACCTGACTCAAAGACTTGGACCAGACCCAATGCCACCAAGCATAGTACCTTCTCTCAGTTTCACGGAAATCACCAGGAGAAAGAACATGAATCAACGACTTCCCGCTAGGTGATAGATGTATGTGTGTTCCGCTTTCCACTCAAGGTACGCAGCACACCTCCATCCGTCCTTCCCAGTTCCGTTAAGAAGAACTTTCTTGACTCGCTATTGCTCCAATAGTCAATATTGCTTGCTCCTCCTAATGACACCGCCAGCAGCGCAAGCACCAAATCCGGCTGCTCCTCCACCAGCACCTGCACCAGCAACATCAGAGGCAGCGACACCGCCGCTCCCTGCTAGCAGTGGCAGCAGCAGCAGCAACAACATCAAAAACACCAGCCACCCCTCACCGGACAAGTTCTGATAGAGGATGGTATTTTTTGACAACTTGTTTTCTCGGTGGGTTTACATGGAGCTCTGGCTCAACCAAGTTGGCTATGGTCTTGTCAGTAATTGCTCGATGGTATAAATACATGTACGTACCTTAAGAAGGGGTAATAAGGTTTTACATACTTATCCGACCTCACTCCCCTTATATCCGCCCATGAATAATATTAAGACAAAGCAGAATTAAGAAATACTGAAGATGGATGCACTGTCGCTATCTAGGGTATTGGCGATTAATAGGATATGGGTCCAACTTTGGTTGATGGTGTGGGCAACGCTTGTTGGCACTGTTGTCGTGGGTCTGCTGTAGCTGTCTTTCCGGCCTTCAGTCATGTCCGTGTTTCGAGCGGTGGCTAAATACAGGTTGGGCATTAGGTACTTCTTGGCCTTGGAGGTGAGGTGACTTCTTTTGTTGGTTCTGTAGCGCCTTGAGGCTGTATTGACGGACGTGAGGTGCTTTTGTTGGGGTTTTTGCTGTTTACCTTCGTGGTGGCTTGCGTGCGGCCGGCCCTTACGCCAAAATGATAATAATTAATGGGAACCTCGCGGTCTGTTTGCATTGGCTTGACCTTTCTATGAACTCGCTATTCTGCAGACACTGTCTGACTGAGCTACCTTTGGTAGGTAGGCCTATTTATGCTGCCGAAGTTGTCTTCCGGCATCTTGCGAATTTTCTAAGCCTCTATGGTACTCGAAGAATGGTCATCGACTGACAAAATCTCAAGCTGTCTCAAGCTACCTTATGCAAAGTATTTTTGAATGTTGGAAACGATCGGGATCATACACGCTTTCTTAACACTCTGAGAGCCTTAGTAAAAAGGCCACCTAGAACAAAAGTGTTAAGCTTTTCTCTAAAAACCCTGATGGTCTGGCGAACTTGGGCTGACTTGAACCCTGATTGCCTTGTGACATGCCGCCTGCGTACCTTGGGTATTTAAGTTCCAATTGCCTCTGAAATCTTTTGTCTGTTCAACACCCTACCTTACAGTGTGTTAGTACGCTGCAGAGCCTACTCGCCTTCTCCGACTTAATACCTACTAGTACTCGTCCACCAATTCAGAAAGCGAATCATGGCTTTGGGTGTACTCGAGGCGGTAATGCCGCATCTAATTCAGTCCAATCGATCATACAGAGAAATTGAAGCTCGACGCAAAGACAGGTGTCTGGCACAGAATTCCCCTGATGAGACACAAGCAGAGTCGCAAAACTTCTCTTCGGCTCCGCAGACCACTACTGAGACACACCATAAGCCACTGCAACCGTTGGGATCGAATACAGGAATCACGCATCCTGTTGCTGCACGGCTAGACAACAGCCCAGCTCAGCCCTTGGCCTTGAGTCGCTTTCGTCATGGATAAAAGCCCTAGCGGGTCAAGCAGAGGAGAAGCCATACTTGGAACCGGGTCTCGATGAAGTCTTGTCACTTGATCTGTTTCTCGCCATCGCTAAACACCTCACAATGGTTGAGCGCGTAGCCTTGGCTTTGACGAGCAAAAGGATGCTATCAATCATGGCAAATGAACAGTTCTGGCTAAGTCGGGAGTCTAGTGGACGTCTGGATCTGTTGGAGTCACTAGAGGGGGACGCCATCAACACCACACGCATCACACGCATCACACGCACCACACGCAGGGAGATTCTTTGTCGGCCTTGTCAAATTTCCACGATCCCGTCTTATCGGCCACTACGGATGATCACAGCTCAAAAGAACAGTCGAATCACACAGCCCGCCCCTGCATCCAAGAAATCATTACAAACCAGCACCGGAGATTTTCGTCTCCCCATCTTCCACGTCACTTTCATTTCAACATGATCAAGGCCTTCATGCATTCGGAACGCGACAAATCGGGCTCCTTTGATTCTGTTGGAATAGGCCTACATTAGGCAGCAGGAGGTTGCTGCCGCGGTCCGTTCCAGCCACGGTGGTCCGTGTGGCTCAGCCACACGAGGGTGGTATACCCCAGACTTCCTGCCGCCGCTGGCACCTGGTTAGACTTCCACTGAAGAACAACAAGAACAAGCAATATCACCACTACAGTCGGTGATCGTTGCTACCCACGATACTCGAGTATTTTCCTTTTCCACCTGTGAATCCAACAGATTCGTACTTATTGGAAACGTCTTTTATCTGTGGGTACTGCTCTAAAGCAGCGGAAGCCAACCTTCAACAAGGCTTTACATGTCGCGTTTCAAACAAAGGAGAATTGCTTTTGAAAACAACCACAAGACTGTTCGCATGCCGCGACGCAAATCAGACAAAGGATAATGTCGGAACAGCAAGGCTGATAAGGAGCAATGGGCAGGTATCGTGGGCTGGCTGGCGCCTGCCCTGGGCGAAGTGGGACAACTGGCTTAGTCACCACGGCCGGTTAAGGTGGGGCAACCACCCAGGCCGTCACCACCTACTTCGACCGACCCCTGCCCACAATGTAAATAGGAAGAAAGAAGATCAACAGCAATTATCACGGACATCGACGTGATTGTTGCCGAAGATACACCCTCATGAGGAAATGTATCACGCCTGTGATACCAACAGATAATGTCTTTTTAGCCGTCGACATACTAGAACGGGCCCAGCTTACAAAATGCTGCAAGCACGTTGACTGGGTAAAAACATTACCCCTTCATATTCGACTACGATGGACTCCTCGCCGATGAAAGCAAGCTTTGCGCTTATCGCGCTTCGAAAGCGTAAAAAAAAGATCCTGTCGTATGATCACAATGTGGGCATCGAGATTTGTGATAGAGAACGGTTATCCATTGAGGCTCGCTCTGAAATAGGTGATGCGAGCGAATGTGGGCCTCGGTGATTATATAATCGAGGTCACGTGACTGGCAGTGAGGCCACAGATGGTTAAAGCCATCACGACAGATCCGATGAAGAGAATCGTTAGGTGAAGACGGTAGCCTGTAACATAGTTTAGATTAGCATAGACCATGTCGGCATAGCGCCCGGCACGTCCTTTTGTTACCAGACGTTAAATACATCATCATTGTTGGCCAGCGATTATCAGGTAGGGGGTCAATGGGATGTATTGATGAGTATGAAGAACGAGTGGCTATGGGGCTATGGGAATATCCCGACTATCCATATAGTGAGTGGAAGACCCTTTATACTGGCATATCCTTGGCAAACTTAGTCATGCTTGTGTAAGACCATATTGTTTCATAGGCATAGTGTGAAAATCGTTGTAACGAGTGTACTGGGATGGGCCTGACAATCATCATCATCAGATGAAGAGAATATGCGACATTTGGGACCCAGCCGTCAAGCCGCGATATGCACCTAAACACCGTATACCGATCATGCACTGCGAGTCTTGTTATCCCATCGGGTGCTGATGGACAGCACTTTAGCCAAGGGCGGGGTAGAGCCAATAAGGGCTTGCAAATCTATTAAGTTAACCAATAGGGCTGCAGTACCTCTATTTCCTATAAATTTTGGGTGTGCCAGAGGTACCAGCAATCTTTGCTAATACATAACGGTACATTACAATCTAAGCAGCCCTTTCGAGTTGTCTGCCGTCGTTGCCGAGCGATGGCATTCCCAGATATCTCCTTTAAAGCCTTCCTATTACCACAATAGGTACAAGGTTAAGATACCTTTCTTGATCCCTTCCTATGCTGTTCCCATGGAATAGAGGTATTCCTTTTGTCTGTAGCCCGTCTAGCCCTAGGGCCCTCCCTAGACAACGGTGCTGTATTCGTCCACTGGGCCCACTGCTCTGCGAGGCTCTGCGGAACGTATTGGAGGAACAGTTCAAGCGGGCTTGCCGGCAGCCCCCGTATCTCTTGGGCCCGGGCCGGCACGTTGAAGGGTCGGAAGGAGCCCGGAGGACCATGCTGAGTTGCCGGAGGTTCGTGGGGCCGGACTGTAGCTGCGTCACAGCGCTCGGGCGTACAGTCTGTATTACAAGCAGCAGTAAGGTCTTCTGGGTGGACCTCAACTACTATACAGCTGCGTATAGAAGTAATAGAAACATTAGATGCAATAGAGGTATCAGAATCACCAGAAGACATCACAGTATCAATCAAAATGGTAATAATAGTGATAATAATAGGCAAAAGAGCATAGGGATGAGTGACGTATCGTCAAGTACCCCTTTAAATGCGGGGTAATAGTGGATACATAGTGGGTATTTCATGGTCTTGGCGAAAGTGCTGTCCATCAGCACCCGATGGGATACGAACTATGAGTACGAGTGGAAGGACACTGAAGATGGAAGTCGTATCGTTTATCTCATCTCGTATAAGAATCTAGGCAAGGGCGTGGATATGAATGATCCTAAGTGGTCATCGCATTTCGACGGCCATATCCTTGATCCGAAAGTCAAGCCTCGCAGCTGCCACTACGAAGGGTTCACTCGGTGGCCTCGCACACTTGGCTGGAGAAAGCTGATGAGGCACCTTGGGACTCAGACTATTGAGTAATAACTTACATGTACTCAAGTTATCATGCCAGGGTTTTGGAGGTTCCATGAAGGCCGGAAATATACCTCCAATAGCTACATGTAAGTAAGGTAGCTAGTGAATGATACTACCAAGATCAATTGCTTGAGCGATTGCCTATTATTATGCTGCCTGATCAAGGAAATTGTGGTCCGGGTCGGAGAAAACGCAATCGGAGCCGAATGGAACTTTGAAGTTCATCAGGTCGGCGAGCTGAAGGCGCATGTAGACGTGGTATGTTGGGTTTGTGAAAATCCACTGGCGCTCTAGATAAAATTGAGCATTCCGCAATTGACTATGAATTGTACGGAAACCGCTTGACATTCCGGTCATGAGATTGATGATGTCAAGACTTCCGAGATCATCCCAAGTTGACCCCTGTGACAATCCAATGTGGCTGAAAATAAGGTGTGGCGTCAACGGTATCGGATTTCAAAGCACGCGATAACCCCCCGCATGTACGCGATAGCGAAACCGCTATCAATTAGTAAGAGCCCGGGAGCCGCGACTTGCCTTCATCAACGTCGACGACACAATTACCGACAGCAGCGGAATCACCGGGGAGTGTCACCAACCTTTGCGTTTGAAACCATGGCAGCACAGAAAGACTTGGAAAGTCAGCCGCAGCAGTCGGACGAGCGGACCCCGCTCCTGGGGACACCCGCCGAGGCCAGATCAAGCCAGCAGGCGGCAGAGGACAACAATGAAGCCAACGGAGGTGTCCAGGATCCTGAACAGGTGCCCCTTATTACGGGGCAGGATGCGCAAGAGAAGAAACAGAGGACTACCAGCTGGTGGCTATGGAGAGCGTTCTGGGCAGTTCTCGCCATCTTCGTCCTCGCTGTTTTTATCAAGGGCTGGATTGATGCCAAAGACACCAACGTGAGTCGGTCGGACGATCGACGTAGCAAATTAACAACTAACTCGTCGCCGCGTAGTTTGACCTCAAAGCAGCTCTTATGAGAGCTCTGGGCGGTGGCTTGAGTGGCGCCGCGGCTATGGTCTTGCAAGTTCTGACCCTCATGGTACGTAAATGAGAATAGGTGGAAGTCGATGCTTTGCTGCCAGGAAGCATGAACGATACTAATCGTGGATTGTCTCTTAGCCCATCAGGACTATCATGAACTACCAGTATCGCTTTGGGTCTGGCTTCAGGGAGGCGACTCGCACTCTTTATGAAGATGGAGGAGTGCGCAGGTATTACCAGGGAATCGGAGCCGCATTGATCCAGGGTACGTGGCGCATGCAGCTTCCCTCTTGAAGTGAATCTGTCAGAGCTGTGCTCACATGTCGGTGAACAGGGCCGGTTTCCCGCTTCGGCGACACTGCCGCTAACGCCGGTATCCTCGCACTTCTCGAGTCAAACTCGTTCTTGAACCAGCTCCCTACCTTGATCAAGACCATCTTCGCTTCTCTTTGGTAAGCTTACATCTATCTACCTTAGTCTCATATCATGGAACACAGAGCCATCAAAGTACTAACCTGGTTTGACTCTGCAGTGCTGCTGCTTTCCGCATGATCTTGACTCCCATTGATACTCTCAAGACGACGCTGCAGGCCCAGGGCGCCAAAGGTACCGCTATCCTGAGACAACGTGTAAAGACAAATGGTATTGGAAGCTTGTGGTGGGGAGCTTTTGCGACTGCCGCCGCCACGTTTGTCGGCCACTACCCTTGGTTTGCAACCGTAAGTCAAACATTTCTCACATCCTGCACATAGAAATCCAGGCTGAGGACCGATGACAGTACAACTACCTTTCCGCCAACATTCCCGAACCGGAAAAGAGCGACATTTTCGTGTGGCTTTTGCGTCTTGCATTCATTGGATTTTGTGCTTCCATCATCTCTGATTCTGTCTCCAACTCGCTCAGAGTAGTGAAGACCTATAGACAAGTCAACGACACGCAGATTTCATACTGTAAGTCGAATCTTCTCCTGATGAACCATGCCAAACTTCTATCAAACACCTTCTTTACTGACCGCAACTTTCTCCAATTTGTAGCGCAAGCAGCAAAGATTATCATACAAAGAGAGGGCTTCCTTGGCTTCCTGGGACGTGGTCTCAAGACCCGAATCTTGGCCAACGGCCTCCAGGGTGTCTTGTTTTCTATCCTTTGGAAGTTGTTCCTCGACCTGTGAGTTAAATGAAGAATACTTCATAACACCAAAGTTCTAACTTTGAATAGCTGGGAGAAGAAGACGCACTCTTAGTGTCCATCACGCTGAACCTGGCTTGACAACCGTCAGGTGACAAGTCGAGATTCTGAGAGCCGCCCAACTCTCTGTATGTATTCACCTACCTAGAGAAGGAACGAGTAATCCGCCATCGAGGCAATAGAGATCTGCATCGTAGTAACTTGAGTATGGGAAGTGTTTGTACGCGGAGTTTGAAGTAACGTTTAGTCTTTACGTGGATGTTATCCGATATTTGCTGCCTCAATAATGAGCCGGCTATTCTTTGACCGGTAATTCGGCTAGAGTCAGTCTCGGCAGCTTGAGCTGGCACACATGGCCTCTGGGGTAGAGGAAGGCGTAAATATTTGGCGAACACTGCTCCAATCAAGTAACTCGCATATTATCTCAGTGAATGAGGCTGGTTTCCGTCTTGCTAAAGTTCACTCAGTAATACGTTGTCTGAGGCGCCACCTCGTCTCCGAACTTTGTGCTACCCATGACGTGAGAAGTCATTGTAGAATGGAGTAGCCCTTTGATACCCCAAGAAAAACGTAACTGAGAGCCAAGAAACATGCATGGCTGACCTGAGACCATTACTGAGCCGACGGGTCCGAAGGGTCTCATTTATACCCGAAAACCTGGTGGAATTTGTCTGCAAAGGCAAGGGTAATCAGCAGCTTCAGGACCCTAAATGCTTCTTCCAATTTTGAGCGCCTTCGGAAGCACGTTTCGGCAAGTATGTACGCCCGCCCACTTGGAGAAAATCTAGCCCATGCATAACTTGTGTCACAATGTTGATCCTAGGGACAGAGACCACGTTCATTCCCGACGTATCACTACATATTCCATCCCCTGGGGTTTGCGTCCTTAGACAAAAATGACTCCGTTGGCTTTGGTTCTCTGCCGTAGAGGGCCTGACCCGCGGCTGCGGGCAGCAGTGGTAACTAGGATACCTAGGTACTCAAGCCTTGAACGAAAAAGAGACGTGAATATTAGTCGCCGAGTTGTAGCTTGTTTTTACTTGTACAACCGGGACAATAATGGGTCATGTAGCCCATGGTATTTATTGCCGATTGAGAACTTGGGTATTGCGAGGCAATTAAGACGCTTTAGTTCGTTGACTCTCAAGTCGTCATATCCTTGCCAGCCACTCTGTATGCATGGCATGAAGCGCCCCGAGGCTGACCCGGTGTAACCCAGGCCGGCTCCGATGTGCGGAGAAGGTTCGAGGAGGGAGACATCAGGCATCTGTTCGGGTTTGGTTTGCAGACTTACCTAGTCTGAGACTGATCAACTCAATACAGTCTTTGAGGCTTTTCTCAATTACCACAGTGGCTTTCAATTGACCGATTGCCTTTCCAAGGCGGCAGATCGAACACGAGCCCATTACGGTTCGATGTCTCCGTCTCATGTCTTGGTCTGTAACGGGGTATTCGCGGTACATCAGTTGTAACCAAAATGAAGTCTTTTGGACAAATGCATGTTGGATGGCACTAGTATTGGAGACTTAGGCGAAATTACTCTTTCGAGAAGAACGTGAGCCCAAAGAGACCACGCTGATAAGGCACAATTACGACAGAGGCAAACTTAGTACAGTAGCAAGCCCTCGCGAGATGCCCAATCTAAGGACCGAGATCACGACACTTAAGACTTCTCGTATGGAGTTGAACGTGGCTTCAAGACATCGTTGAGATTCAAAGACACTAAGGAAGCTTATGAATCAATGGGGCCATCCCGCTGTCAAACCCCCGCTAAGGAACGTTGAGGTTCCACTTCTACGGACTTCCCCAGTCTCCACTCCGGATCCGGGCATCCCATTGACGACAAGTTGGGCCGGCTGGAATGTCCCCCTTGCAGCCGCTTCCTTCTGCCTCGTTCTTGTCAAGTAGATATTCAAGCTCGAGCCGTTGCCTGGCGCGCGCGGGAAGCTTCCGGAGCCAATTTGTTCGTCCCGTCTCGCGATCTCGCGAGTTGGATGTCATCCGATGTGCTCAGCGACTAGCACGCGAGCTGACATCTGAGGTAGCCAGTCGCCAATTATATCACACGACCCAACGGCCCATTCTAGAGGGCTTACCCCCACTGATAAAGACGCATTTTGCGGCGATCTTTCTCCCGCGCGCAGAGGGGGCGCCACGACAGCATATCAGCACGGCACTGAGAGTGCCGCCTGTTGTAATACACTACTGGCCAATCTCGTATCTTACTGCGTTAAGAGGGCAAGTTCATCTTGACATTCTCACTGGCACGAGATTACAGGCACAACCAAATGTCGTGCGCGTAGTAAGCCCTTATGGTGCATACCCGCGCTCCTGACGGCTTGCTCCCGCGCGTGCTCGGACGATTTATACGGTCCAATCTCGAGCGAGTTGTCTCAAAGGCTTCCAACGTCATGTTTTACTGAGGCTGTTATAGCCGTAGGAAGAATTGAAGTCGATGAACGTTGAACAAAACGAAAGAGCAAGGGTAGTGACAATTATTTCACTAGGACTTTAGCGTATTTAGCTCTGCGTGGTGTCAAGGGTCCTAGGCGGAATCGGCTGTGGCCAAGTCACGATGTGACACTGCCCCTGCCATGCGGCGCAGGCGTCTTCTTTGTCCCTGCTGGGAAATCCTGCAGGTCTCTCATCACAATAAGCCTGTAAATGGGGTCTTGAGACATATCCACCCCCATTGATTCACCTCAGCGATGAATTTGTGCGCAATAATAGGCTGCCGCCTTTGCTTACACAGGAATGGTCGATGTGCCTCTCAGGGCGTCTATTATTTGCCAGATCGGGAAAGCCAGTGACGGAATGTGCGAGAATTTCAAGCTAAGACAACACTTGGCAGTGATGTTCATGGTCGGAAGGAAGCACACATGTGAGGGATGCTTATCCCATTGACTCGTGGCTCGCTCTGCTTCGGACTTCACGGGGTCAACATCGTGCGATTCTATTCCGAAAGAAGGCAGTCGAAAGACTTTGATACCCGTTGAAGGCGTTCGGAGTCGACCTCATGTACACATCGCGTCGTGTAACAATCATCGCAATGCGGTCTCTGGCGCGATGGAGAGCGGAATCGCTCCTATTTGTTGTCTGCCTGCACTTTCAGCTGGGGACGCCGATAACACTGGAGTTCCGGTCTCTTCACAGAAAGGGACTTTGGACGGTCACGACCGAGCCAACCCACCCAAAGGCCTTTCGGCAAGTTTGCCAGCCCTACATGCAGCAAGGTTGAGTAACTGGTTCTCAGTGACTCACGTAGTAGTATATCTATCTGCAATGCCACCCTTCCACTGTCTCCATCTCCCCTCCCTGGCTCCCCAGAGCATCCACTATTACCCTCTTCTTACGCGGCAAACCCTGAGAGCCTCATTATGGAGAGCTTTACTCTCATCATATTTTATCTTGGCATCCTGGTGGTGCCCAGCTTCTTCTTTTCTTCTCTTCGACGCTTGCTAGAATGGTCTACAAAATCCTCCCTAGATGTCAAGACATCCAAGCTCCCTTCCAAGTTCCCCGGTCCTAAGCAGTACCCCATTGTCGGCCGGGTCCATGATTTGCCCAGGTTTGCCATGTGGCTCAAGCTCAAGGAATGGGCCGATGAGTTTGGGCCGATTTACCAAACCAGTATGCTTGGTCAAAAGTTTGTGATCATCTCTGATGAGGGAATGGCTCAAGATCTCCTCATCAAAGACGGCAATAAGTTTGCCGGACGGCCCCAGATCAGGGCTCTCATTGATCACAAGTTGGGCCCGGCATACTCTGCTTTGATGGACCGCCATGGTCAGTGAAATAACAAACTCTACAAAACCGAGCATGAACATGAAGCTGACTAGATCAACAGACACTTGGAAGCACCAAAGAAAATGGGTCCATGCGGCTATGGCGGCTGCTCATCAGCAGCACTTCTATGGTCACATCGAGAATGAGGTCAAGCGATGGCTTGTGACCCTCCTTGTTGACCCAGAGAAGTTTCACGGAAACACTCGCGAACTGACCGGACGTATAATCAGCCGCCTCGCGTGGGATGACTCAACGCAAGGACGCGCCTATGGCGAGAGTGCCATCGAAACTTTGACAAGGATGTCAATCTCAGGGCCAATTGTCAATACTATGACACCACTGTGGCATCTCGCCGACCTTTTCCGGTATAACCCTTGGCGCAAATATGAAATGAACCGGGAGAAGAACCAGCGGGCTTGGTGGTTGAAAACATTCCGGCTCGCCAAGGCGAGATATCTGAAGGGAGACTTGCCAACAGACACCTGGACCTACCGGTACTTCGAGCAACTGCAGAAGAGTGGAAACGAGACCCTCAAGCAGACTGAAAAAGCCGAAGACTTCGCAGCCTGCATGCTCGGCTTCCAGTGTCTTGTCGGAGTTGTCACTATTTCTGGGCCTATGCAATTCTTCTTGATGTGCATGGCGCTCCATCCTGAATGGTTGAAAAAGTGCCAAGAGGAGATTGACAGGGTCTGTGGCGACAGAATGCCCACTCGAGACGACTTCGCCGAGCTTCCAACAGTGAGAGCTTGTTTGAAAGAGACCCTTCGGTGGAGATCTGGAGTACCTCTTGGTGAGTAGTTCCTCATGAGGCAACGAAATTGGAGTGGATCTGAGAACTGACACCATTTGCCCAGGGGTTCCCCATCAATGCGAGCAGGATTCCGAGTTCCGGGGTGTGAAGATTGAGAAAGGAACTATCATCCTTGCCTGCGAGTGGTATGTCACTCCATGCTGATTTTCCGGGAATCTCTGACTGACGTGACACGACTGCAGGAGCATCAACCGTGTTCCGGAAAAGTACCCTGACCCAGAACATTACCGTCCGGATCGCTACCTGGATCCCAGCTTCCCCACGTATCAGGAGCCTCTCAGTCGGTACCCGAACTTCCGTGACGGAGTGGGCATGCATACGTTTGGCTGGGGTCGCCGAACATGCCTGGGCCAGAACCTTGTAGACGATGAGATGTTCGTCGCAGGGGCAGGTGTATGCTGGGCTTTCGACATGAGCCTCAAGAAATGCCCCTCCACTGGTAAGGACGTGACGTTCGATACACAGGCGACGAACTCCAACGTCATTCTGGAGCCTCTGCCATTCCCCATGCAGTTCAAGATCAGAAGCCCCGAGCGAGCCAGAGATGTATTTGAGGGGTACAATGCTGTCAGGGATGCATTGAAGGTTTGATCTTGAAAGCTTGAACGATTTGAGGCAATGGCGTGATTCAAGATTGTGTTATACAGATAGAATAGAAGACTGTTTTGGTGATGCAACAAATGCAGCAAATTCATATCTTACTGGTATTCATATCCTATTTCTTACGGTAAACGTCTCCAGTTCTCTCAATCTCAAAGTTGGCGTCCTTGCCACGACCCTCCTTTTCAAATTGCCTTACTAGAGGCAGAACTTCGCGTCCAAATTGCTCAATCTCTTCATCGTAGTGCAAGAAAGCAGTGAGCACTAGGTTGACACCCAAACTCTTCAACAAGACGATTCGCTCGGCAACCTGCTCCTTAGTACCGATAAGCTTTGTCTTAAAGCCATCGTTGTACTGTACCAAGTCATCAAACTTGCTGTCAGCCCACATGCCCTTTTTGTTGGATGTGCTGGCGCCTGCTTCCTGAACGGAGGCCCGGAACGCTTCAACGGCCTCCTTGTCGGCCTTGCCCTGGATCTCCTGCAACACGCGAACGGCCTCTTCTTCGGTCTCACGAACGATGACGAAGCCGTTTACGGCGAAGCGAACTTGGTCTTCGCGACCGACCTTTGCCGCGCGGGCCTTGACGTCCGCAATCTGGGTGCGGAAACCGTCGAGGTCGTTGCCGTTCATGAAGTACCAGTCACTGACCTCGGCGCCATTGTTCCTGGCGTCATCGCTGTTGCCGCCCTGGAAGATCTCTGGATGGGGCTTTTGAACAGGCTTAGGGTTGAGCACATAGTTCCTGTACCGGTAAAAGTCGCCGCCAAAGGTGAAGCCCATGTCCTCGGGCGCGGTCCAGATGCCCTTGAGACAGCGAATGAACTCGTTGCTGCGACGATAGCGCTCGGCATGGTCCAGCCACCACTCACCAATGGCTGTAAACTCGCTCTTAAACCAGCCGCTCACAATATTCACGGCAACGCGGCCATTGCTATAGTGGTCGATACTGGCGATCTGCTTCGCCACCGTCGTAGGGTTCCAGGGCCCGGGCAGGATAGCAGCAATGATCTTGACTGTGTCTGTTGCTTGGAGAATTGCTTGCGAGAAGGACACAGATTCGTGTTGGTTTGCAGCACCGTATCCAGAAGTGAAGCGAATTTGCGTCAAGCCATATTCGATACCAGCTTGTTCAGCCGCCTTGGCATATCTGACGTTGCTAGCCAGGTCCCAGTTTGTCCTCTGCGGGATCTTGCTAATGATCAGACCGCCTGAGACATTGGGTACCCAGTATCTAAATAATCAGCTGTTTGTATGAAACTTTGAGAAAAGGAGACGTACGCGAAGAGCAGCCGTTCAGGGTCGGTATTGAGGGGATGTGGCTGAGCGGTCATTCTCGCTGAGGCTCAATGGAAAAGGCAGGGTCAGCGACTGTAATTTGACAAGTATAGCTCGATGGTGGGAAGTGATGAATGTTGATTTTCACTTCAAGTCGGTATCGCTGAAGCAGATTGACAATACAAGTGATGTTGGTCGAAAGCACTTCGGAGAGGAGGGGTAGAAAAAGGGCAGGCTCTCAACTCCTGGTGTCAAAACCATTGACATGGCAACAGTGACAGAAGAGCAAATGTGATAAGTACGTATCAAACCATGATCTTGCGCCTACCAGGATGTAGCTATCAGCTTGCTGGCGCGTTCTGCGCGATATTCTCAAATTGACATTGCGGAGGAAGTTCCGTCGGTTTGATGACATTGGCGAAGCTATGCCTAGCTCTGACGTGATTTCAAAATACCACATTACGACGCATGCCGGAATTCAGATTGATACGATGGGAGCCAGTCACGGCACTTGAGGGCCCATTTGGTACTGAGGGGAATAGCTACGTGCTTTGCCGTTCAACCGACCTCTCCAAATGAGGCAATTGCACCATTATCAACTCAATGACGAGATCATCAGATCCCAGTTGACCGGGGTTTCCCCACGCTACGATTGCTGCATCCACCCCAACATGGCGCGATGTGGGATTGAACCAAGATCTGCGAACTTTAATCTGAATCAATTGATTGAGACCAGTCTGAGCTGTCTGAGGTCTCATTGCGATGGGCAAGGATAGAGCAAATTTTCGGGAAACTGATTGAGACCAGGGCCATGTCGTCGGGTTCGTAGCCAAGTTCTCCATGATTTATCTGTTGAAGGATCCGAAAGACAGACTTGCGGCTGCAACTTTTCTTCTTGTCTTTCTTGTTCAAACTGTGTCGTCTGGTGTGCCATACTCCAACTCAGCACAATGTCCATCTACTCTTCAGCCCCCAATGGGGCAAGCGAAAAAGGGGTCGAGTCCGTAAAGCCGGAGCCAACCTTTGAGAGATTCGAGACGATCCATCATGGACCTCGATTCACCGCACCAAGACCGCTTCCTACGGCAGCAGTAAGCACCATGTTCCCTAGAATCGCAATCATTCCAAACGTTTTTACTGATCGAGGATTTCTACAGACCTCACTTCCGATCGGAGCTTTTTCTACAACATTGACCACGCTTTCTCTAAGCTTAATGGAGTGGCGAGGAGTGACGACAACCAACGTTTACATCGCGAATTTCTTTTTCCTAGCTGCCTTCGGCCTAGTGATATCTGCGCAGTGGGAGCTTACCGGAGGAAACGGCTTTGGATACAGTGCCTTCAGTGCTTTCGGTAAGCTCTGATAAAGTAGCTTACAACGCTCGTTCTGACTGACAATCCGTGACAGGTCTCTTCTACGCAGGGTACGGTGCCATCTTGACTCCCTCTTTTGGGGTGGCAGCAGCATATGGCGATGACACAAAGCAGTTGAACAATGCTCTCGGACTATTCATGATCAGTGAGTGATCTCGCAGTCGTTGCATCAATAACTCAAGACTAACGCAGCATCCTCACGCAGTTTGGAGCGTCTTCGTCCTTGCCTACTTAGTCGCTACAATACCGACAAATGTTGTCTATATACTGATCTTCATCTTCGTTGAATTATGCTTCGTACTGGTTGCTGCTGGCTACTTTGCTGCTGCTGATGGCCACGAGAGCGCCTCGATTGGTTTGAAGAAAAGTGGTGGCGTTTTCGCGTTCCTTGCTGGGCTTGTTGGATGGTAGGTTTCCCACCTGATTCTGACAACGATTTTCTCAGCTAACACAATTCAGGTATTTGACTTTCCATCTCCTGCTGAAGGACTCTTTGGTAGAGTTGCCCTTGGGAGACACGTCTCAATACTTCCCTAAGACTCGGAAGAAGACCGAGTGAGGTAGCTTCTCTAAATGAGACAAAGTGCGAAGTAGCACAACACCTCCATAGGCCTGGAGAACTGGGCATAGAATTATCACGGGTCCACCGGAATTGAAGGTGCCAATAGTTAGGGTTACAGGACAGAAAAGCTTGAAAGTAACCGGTCTTTTGAAGCGACAGCAAATAAGATTTTAGTGGTAGAGGCCAGACCATGAACACCAGACGTTTCCCAATCGCAAACCCAGTACTCCTCGTAAAGCTTCAACTGTTAGCTACGTTCTACTCACCGAGGGTCAACTGGTGAGAGAATTAAATAGACTAACGATATATGATATCTTCTGTCTCCCATCCCTCTTGGCCAGTTGGGTCGGTGCTGCGGGGCGAGGTTGACAGACAACCAACCTCGGGGTTTCGCGGTACTTGGGAGTCTAAAAACTCAATTGAACGAAGTACCTACACTGACTATGAACCTTAATTAGTGGTTATGAAGTTATGCCTCGATTGCTGCAGAATAGCGCATATGATGCCATCCTCATGCTACCTGACCCCTCATCAGAGCATTCTCTCCGACCATGGAGGTCAGAGATGTTGCCGAGATGTTGATACTTTCAACGTCAGATAGAATATCTGCTCGATCACGAAAATGGTTTGAAGGCGAGTCTACGGAGTACATTGATAAGTACAAATACAATCGAGCTAGTATCGTGACCTTGTCCCTGCATGCCGCATCATCTGTCGGCCAGGGTTTGGGGGCCATATGCGGAGGTGAGAACTGCACATGTGCGCGTATCGCAAGTCAGTGCGATTGCGACATATCACAACATAGATGTGGACCCTCGCGCCACTGCCGACGGCGGAACGGGGTACCGGCTATCGTCGAACCGTTCGACGACGGAGGCGGCACGGACGGGTGACGATGAGTATATTTAGATACATGTTGGCGCATTTTGGCTTCTCAGATGGATGCAAGACAAGATTCACTCAATACTCCCACACGTCCTTCAACCTTCTCCCGCTCATTGCAGAACTTTCCCTCTTTCGAGTAGTGATCCCCCTAACCTTAAGTTGGACTCATCACCACAAGACAAATCATCTGTTTCGAAGCATCCAATAGCCTTATCTCAAAGGACGGTCAAAATGAGCAGCAACGCCCATTCGGTTCCTGCAACGGACCCCAAAGTCTACGACGAGTATCAGCAGAAGTGGTCTTCACTCCCAACGGACGAAGCCGCGTGGCTCCAGAGAGCCAAAGACGTTGCAAACGTGCTAGCCGTAGACGCTGCACAGCGTGAGAGAGAAAACAAGTCACCTAGAGCTGAGATTACGCTGCTGAAGCATTCTAGTCTTCTCAAGGTTCTGGGGTGGAAGAAGTATGGCGGTGGTGAACAACCGTGGAGTGTCGGCTACAAGGTGATTCGCGAGGTTTCCAAGGGGGACGGGTAAGTGCTATACGTACTGAACAAGAAATAACTTGTCAAAATTGCTTGCTGATTGACTTGCACAGATCAATTGGCATGCTTCTGGGATATCACTTGCTATGGTCAACAACAGCCAACGTCATTGGCAGCTCAGAGCAAGCTGATCGTACCCAGGATCTCATCATCTCTAACAACTACTTTGTCGGTGGTGCTGTGAACCCTCGCGACAGCGATCACAAGATTACTTCAGACGGCGACAACGTCGTCTTCAATGGCTTCAAGAACTTCAACACCGGTGGAGTCATCTCCGACTTGACCGTCCTCGAAGGTGTTCTTGAGGGTACGGAAGACCACCTGTATGCGTTGGTGAAGACTGACCAGCCGGGCATCATTTTTTCCCACAACTGGGACAATGTTGGGCTGCGTCTGAGTGAGTCAGGAAGCGTTAAGATCGAGAATGTTACTGCGCCCTGGTCCGATGCGCTGGGATGGAATGCGGCCGAGAAAAAGCCAGATGACTCCATCCTCAAGATTCCATTTGCTAGTTTGCTTCTTCCCACGTAAGATACAAAAGTCCAATGACTCGATCTTCACAAACCCACTCTAATTATTGAATAGTATTCAGCTCGTTTTCAGCAACTTCTACATCGGCATTGCCTGGGGTGCATTAGACTTTGCGTCAGCCTACACTAGAAGGAACACACGCGCTTGGCCTTTTGGCGGTGATGTAAGTGCTAGATCTTTTCTAATTGTTAATACGGGATTTCTAATGCTAGAATCCAGGACAAGGAAAAAGCCGAGGACGAGTTTTACATTTTGTCCACCTACGGCAACTTTCTAGCTCATCTCCGAGCAGCTGATGCGCTTGCCGACAAGGCAGGTCTCGAGATTGATGCATTGTATAAGTACTCTGGAGACCCAGCGACTAGAGCTCAGGTCACTGCTAAGGCCCGAGGAGAGGCAGCTGAGTGGGTTGCTAGCGTCAAGGTCACAGCGACTGATACGGGACTTCGGGTTACATCTGGTGTGTTTGAAGTGACTGGTGCCAAAGCCACCGGAACCAAGGTTGGTCTTGACAGGTTCTGGAGGGATATCAGAACACACAGTCTGCATGACCCTGTGTCTTACAAGAACCGTGAGCTCGGGAGATATCAGCTGCTTGGCGAGATTCCTGAGCCAACATGGTACACTTGAGGGATAATCGAAGTAGACAGCGATAGCATCGTGATAGTGCGCAGTTTAGTGAGGAGCAACATAGCAGCGTGCGGCATTCTTGTTCAGGTGGAAAATGGCATCTACTTAAGCATCACTCCGTTGCTTCGGGCATAGTTCCGCCAGTTACATTATCGAATTACTAAGTAAGCTACGCCATTCACCCTAGATCGTGTTGATTTTCGCACGCGATGGCCGGCAACGGAGGCACTAAAACGGAGGCGGAGACGAAGGTAACAGCGGGAATCGGGACAGAGATGCAACGGACATCATACCTAACAATTCGTAGACCAATTTGCTGACGGTTTACGGGAATGGCCATAAAAAGGGTCCTCGGCATGGATATTTGTTAAACCAATCCAGAGATCTTTATACTAGCAACTTCATTTTTGTGATCAATAACCGTCTTCATGGCCACTATGGCACTCCTTAAGCACTTCTTCTGGTGCACAGGATGCCTTTTTATGCGCTTCGAATTATTACCGCACAGCCGAATTCTACCGGCAGAACAACCTGTTCGAGGACAAACTGTCCGATCATCGATTCAAATGTTTCACCGTCCATCTTGGTTTCTACTCCGACTTAACTGTCTCAAACCAAGGTACTACGATCGATCCTTTCAGTATCTACCTCTATCACTATCGACACGGTTGCCGATTTTGCTGCTCTTTGAGGGATTCCTTGAAATAAGACTTCTAAAGTATTCCGATGAGCTGGTTACACGGATCGCAGTGGCAATATGGCTTAGCGGGCTGATTATTACATGTGCATTGATCGGCAGGATATTTTGGTCACCCACCTCACTTCGTGAGGCCAACATGTCTTCGCGGCACGGAGTACTAGATTACTATTGAGTCTCAAGAGCACAAAGCTTCTCACTCTTGCTCCAATGTGAAGATCATCTCCGAAGGGTTGCCATCGTCCACAGAGATTCCAGCGATTCCTTTGCCAACCGCCTGGGCCAATTCCGACGCCACCACGCCGTAAGGGCTAGCCATCAGCGTATTCCAGCCCTTCGTCTCACCGAGGTCGTTAGTCGTAGTGAAGCCTCCGGCACTCTCTCCAAGCTCAGTGCGGGCGTTGCTAATTGCGGTTTGAGTCGCGGGGTCGACAAGTTCGGAAAACTTGATGAAATTGACCTGGTTGATACCAACTTCCGTGGATGTCCACAGCTGTTCGATGATTGAGCTAAGACTGAGCCCAGTCGGAGCCTGGCTTGCCCATGCTTCATTGGCAACAATCCTGTATCCGTACACATCGCAGAGGACCTTCGCAATAGCCTCTTTGCCGTTTGTGAACCCATCAGTGTAGATTACCTTCCAGCGTCCAAGATCCTTCACGGAGTAATCTGAGGATGACCCGCCGCCAGTTGCACCGCCCTCTTTCGCCTTGAAGGTGACTTCGTATCTAGTAGACTCATCCGCTGTACCTGAATTGTGGAATGCTTGACGCATGTCTGCCTTCTTCGCCGGCTTTCCAGGAGGCTTCAACAGCTCCGCGCGCGTATCGGCGACATTGAAGCCCTTCGGCGGTCTGGGCCGGGGCTCAGTGGGTTCGACGGTTTCGGTCACGTTGCCCTTGTACCAGTATACTGCACCTCCGTTGCTGAGTCCGAGAGGAATGAGAGAGTTGATGTCGATGATGAGACCTCCCTCTTCCTTCGACTCTCGCAGCACGCAGTCTGCGATAGACTTGTCTGAGCGTGAATCGTATCCACCGCGAGGCAGAATGTAGCCGACTTGATCGAAGTTGCCGTTGGCTGGAATCATCCAAATGTTGTCTTCTTTGTCGTAGCCAACAACACCGCAACGGATACGGTTGCCAGTGGCCTTCTGGAGCACTGTGACAAACATTAGCTTCGGGATACGGCCTTGGTCTCGGTGGTAGACTGATGATGGGGGACTTACCAGAGCCATCTTTGTCGCCACCGTCAACCACATCATCGGGTAGATACCACGGGTCAACCGTTCCGATCGCTTTCCAGACAGTTTCGCTGTCATCTCCAGGGAGGAGATCTTTGACTTGAGCCTTCACAGCGACTAGGCCGAAAGCGCCCCAAAGGGCCAACTTTTGAATGTTGATCATGGAGTACTGCATACTGGTCCGCGTCGATAATACTCGAGAACAATTCTTCGACGTCTGAGCCAACTGATGTAGGCGATCAAAAGCCCGGGACCTTGAGACTATTCGTATATGATCTTTCCCGGACCAGATCCGTGCATCTTTTCAGGTAACCTTGGACCTCATTTGCCAATGATCAACAGGACTGGGCTTAGAGCCGCTCCGACGTAACTTTCTTTTAGTGCTCCTATGGATATCCATACAGTACTTTGATTGTTTTGACATCACTTTATTTGGGTTTGTAGAGGAACATAACAGAATTCGCACGCCCCGACGGTAGACTAGTACCTATAAAACACTATTACCTCGAACACAGGGTAAGTCCACCATGATCATTGATGCCATTGGGGCCTGGCCGCCTGGGCGGTCAAGTTGAGATTGCCTATGGGTCCTCATAACGAATGTGTATTTTAGTCTTTTGGTCGCCTTACTTCGTTTCCCCCGCCAGGACCACCGTTCGTGCTCTTTGCCTTGGCGTTCTTAGTAGGCTTATTGAACAAGTCTCCGGTTCGGATATAGCCGCGTTTATAGTTTTTAGCGATCAATCCAGCTACGCTCCACATCTAATGCGGCTCGCCCGGCTATCAAAGAGCCGACAGATAATTACTTAAAAAGCGCTGTTCCCAACTTGTCAAGGGCCAATTGAAGCCAAAGTAAAGTTTCCCTGGTCCCGAGATGCCGATAGTAGGTGACTAAGCCTCTCAGGTATGCCCGGTGAAGCCACGCTCATTTCTTAGACTCCATCATCAGCTGCCTATCAACTCAGCGCTATGAGTTACTTGATCATCTGCTAACGACCTGTGATCTCTCTATTCATGATCGGTTCATGTAACAGCGCATTCATCCTATGTGAACAGCGCATGCGGACCATCAAAACAGTCGTCCCAGGTGTTTTCAGCAGAGGCATAGAATCTTTCGAGTACCTCTTTGGCTGCGAATGGAAGATAAATTCCCATCCGCTGACTGTCTTCTTTCATACGCCCCAGGACGAAGTTCCGCATCGATGGATTCCCAATCTTCGCTTCAAATCCAGCTACAATCATTGGCCATGTGGTGCAAATCTTTAGCGCTGGAGAGGCAAGCGAGGCCTTGAGAAAAGAAAACAGCCTATTGCAGTGCTTATCCTTGACAGTCATCCAGTCCTTTGATAGAGGAATGACCTTGACACTCTGTAACGAAGAAACACCGAATAGCACCACGGCAGACCGGTAGGTCTTGGCCATCAAAAGATGCCCATCTACTAGAGGTTCCGTGCTACTAGCCCAGAATTCCGGTGAATAGTCCAGAATTCTATCCAGGAGACGTTCTGCTTCAATCCTAATCGAAGTGAGAGATCCTTCAGGTTGACTGCATGTTGCTTGGAAGCGGAGGCGGTTGATGTGGATTATATCGATGAGCAAGTCGACCGGACATGGAAATTGGGGGTAATATCCAATCGAGAACACGTCCCTTACCACGTTCCGTATTTTATAGTTGGCTACTGGGGACACTTGGTCGTGGGCTGGGCTGGTCGTGTTGGCAAGATTCTCGATTCTAGGTGAAAGAGTTAGTAGAAAGGTGACGTATGCCGTGATTACAACACCAAGTATGGCCAAGATCTCCTCTAAAGGCTGCAAGATGTTGCACAAACTGAAGCCCTCACATTTTACAGAACAATACCAAAGACTTGAGATGCGGCGACTTTTGACAGAACGCATCCCAGCCACCACGCAAGGCGATCAACGCAGCGAATCCACTCAGGTGAACACGCCAATTTGGCTCCGTTGCACTCCCCATGAGCTACATAGTATCAGTGTCAAGTTGATTATCGATGTGACGACATTTTGTCTCTTACATCACCGAAGAGGAAAACAATTACGCCCGCCAGAGTCGCATCAGAGCACCGCGTACTCTCGTTTTCGATCTCCTTGTTGAGGGCCCGGATTGCTGTGAGACGGTGTTGGTAGGCTCTAGCTCTGACCTCAACTGCATAAGCGTCATTCCGTGCCGGCGATAGGCGCGACATCCGGTGCTCGATAGCCATGGTGACTAGCCCATGTCGTCTGTAGGGCTTCATCGCATGGATGTGTGAAATAGGTACGACCCATGGGCTCTTACTGAGCTGATTCTCATAGAAGTACGGGTAAACCTGTTCGTTCCCTATGGATACCGAGGTTTTCGTCAGCCTAAATCTCTCGGTATAGTCAAGTGGATACTTCGGAATTGCTTGGTTCTGTGGCACGATTTGGAAGTCTGACTAACAGTATACCGAAGCCTCAGCAATGTCACACGTTTCCGTCCGGAGCTCTTGTCCGGGAAATACATGGACGAGCTGTACCCTGTGACCTTCCTCTTCAGGGGTCTTTGGGATCGCCTTTTTCTTGCCGCTACCTTTCGTGCCCTTATTGGCGATGTCGACTTTTTCAGTTTTCGGTTTTCTTCCGCCCCTCCGTGTCCGTGTCGTGATCTGATTAGGGGCCACCCAGGTCAAAGGCTTTACGTTCTCATACCCGGGGCACACTATGCCGCTAAGCTTACATTTAGAGCAGACGGGGCGGTTCGAGTCGCAGACCAAGCGCCGGCGCTGGCATTCCCAGCAGTATCGCCTGGCGCTACCGGTACCAACGCTCTTGTCGTCGGGGCTCTGTGACGCACCAGTGGAGGGGGGCGGCTCTGGTGATGGCGCCATCGATCTGACTAGAAGGCGGGAAAGTGAGGGGAAAGACTTGTACGTTTTTGGGTTATTGGAAGTATTGATAGGAATCGCCCGTATATATTGGCGGCCCGCGGTCATTTCGTAGGACGTGTACCTCCTTGGGGCGGGAGAGCTACCCGCGTAGAAGAGGGGAAGCCATGCGGACGCTTTTGACTGGCGATGAGAGACATTCAGTGGATACGTGCAGTTCTTGGCTTATTCCTTCTGCCAACCATGCAAGGCCCAGCAAACAGCTTGTGTCTCCAGCATGATTTGGGCGCCAACCAGCTGCAAGGGTTCAACGGACGGCCGATTGTGCGCGGAACGATGGTTTAACTATAAAGAGAAGAGAAGGAATCAAACGGATTGCAGTACAAAGTACTACTTGGAATTATCACTTATATTGCGAGATTCTGAGCGTGTTTCTGACCAGATCGCTCCATGAACCAAGGTCGTGATGATGCGTAGTGATTTCTTTCCGAGCTTGAGTGATCGTCCCAACAAAGCCTGCTGCATCGGCCGTGTAACTTGGTGACGCAGCCTAGGCTTCAATAAAGCAAATGATTCGTCAAACCTGTTTCTGACTGATATGAGAAAACATCCGACTCTTTGAGGTAAGCCTGCTATGCAGGTATGGATGGAGGTCGGTCTCGCCCAAGTCTGTGTGCCGTAACCTATCAATCATACCAATTCTGAAGAAACCCCCCCCCCCCCCCCCCCCGTATCATTCTACTTACTCTCGGCTTGCTCAACGGGAAGCAAATTCCACAACGAGTGAGAGTCATAATAATAACGGGAGAATGAAACCGACTAGGGAGTCAGAAGCAAAGGTACTAGGTAGTCAACAAGACGTAATATAACGCCAAAAAGTAAGGAACTAGTCCACGCCAATTCAGCTTGAGCAAAGTTTAGGTCACAAGAACACGTAGACAAGAGAAATCATGCTTTTCCCCCAATAAAGACACGGTCTTTTTAGATGATCTTGATGGACAAATGGCGCGGGATCAGGCATTAATCGGACAGCTTTGAAGTTAGCAGAAAAATGGATGTGTTGGAAAAAGTGACGTTTAGCCCCTAAAAGTCCTCGAAAGACGGCCAGGACAATTATGTACATCTTGCACATGCGATAACGGCCGATATATGTATGCAGAGGGTAAACAGGCAATGAGTTCGGCCCATCAGATCAGGTCATTGACATCTGAGGCCACTGCCGCAGAAGAAGTAGCAGGCTAGCAGGTAGGCCTGATTTCGCCGTCCAAATCAAGGAGGTTATTGATAGCAACAACTAGAAGACAGTCAAACCGCAGTTTCTACAGAAGTTGGCCATGCGTAGAGGGTCAGCCGGCCTTTTGCACATAGCCGCGCGGGAAAGGACTGACGGTCTGCCCTGCCAAGGATCGGCAAAATCTGTAATTGGCAAGTTGTATCCGTGTCGATCAGCCCAAATAGCGTTGTCTCTCCGGGGCATGACACATGCCAGCACATACCCCTTTGAGTAGCTCAAGGAACGGGACGAATGGAGGCTCAAAGATTCAGCCTTGGCATTGCCAGAATACGTCTTTGACTGGCATGTCACAGCGGATAGTCATTTTGCTGCTAGTTCAATGACAAAGAAAGGATACCGTTACTTTTGCAGGTCTCATGCTTCAAATGATAGCAGCAAAGTTCTGGAGGTAGCAACTTACAAGTTACCTGGCCGGCATGGAGAATCAATGTAGCAAGAATTCCTCCTTTACGGAGAACTCCGACGTGGCCTGTTATCTACCAAACTATCACGCAATAAGGATGCAACTTTCTTGGATACCGGAGGTAGTTCCAACTTGTTCTGGAGTGTTCTTGAGGCAGTGCAAATACCAATAGTGTTGATCTCAGCACACCCATGTATTTGAGACATTGCGCAATGGCCATCACTAATGGAGATGCTGTACAGAAAGGGGTCATCAAGCGGCATGCTAGAAATACAGAAACATTACGAAGCATTTCCTGAGGACTTGGATGATGTTAAAAATTGTGATGGTATTGACTCGAGGGGACAGATTGTATTTTCTGTCAGCTAGCTGACCTTGTCTGGTATTAGTATGAGCTGGAAAGAGAGCACACCTCCAGACTAAGCACGAGAACCGAGAGCGAATACATGGCATTATTTTCCGGCTTGGACCACGCAACTACAAAACTGGCCAAAATGTATGTGGGTAAAGATTCGCCCGCCCCTTACAAGTGTATTCTGTACGCGGAACAGCTCCGACGAGGTCCTTGTCGATCAAGGTTAAGCATGCCATCGCGGGGGTGGTTACATCTATTTACGTTTCAGCACCCGGCTAGGGTTCGTTTAAGGTGTCAGCCACCTGCATCTCTCTCCATTATACTGGTAAACTCCGACTTTACTCTTTGACGATCTTCAAGAGGCGACGTAATCGTTCTCCTGTAATCTGACCCGTCCTTCTGTGAGTTCGAAAAGTTGACTAATCCGCCCGGTCTACGTGACAGCCTTCTACAGGTATGCGATACGTTGTGACAGGTCATCTGTTGTTATGGAAAAGCGCTTAAGCTTAAAGAAAATGCCGTCTTTTCCTAATTTGAACGATTTGTGGCTTGAAGTAGAGCTTTGAAGTTATGTTGTAAAGCCACAACTACACGTTGATTTTAGCACCGAGGGAACTGCTCAAAGATCACAGAGTAAAAGAAAGTTCAGCCTAGACCATCTAGCCTCAAGACTCGCAGGGTTCGGCATAGTCCACATCGCACCAGGACGCAGCAATCGAGCCCACTGTGCCGCGTCCTGAGACGGAAGCATATTGAACCCGGGGTATTGAAGATCTCTGAAGATCTAATTGCCTGCCCCGGTAGCCCTATAGCAGGAAACGTGCTCCCCGGTATGCTTACGTGCACCACTCCGGTGTTGTCGTGGCCGCACAAAGAAGTGAAGGGTACTTGATAAGTCAAACCCCCCACTTCCTGGCACCCCCCTGTTTCTGGCACCACAAAAACGATGGGATCACAACCCGACCTCCTCATTACTATTAACTATTGATCCTCAACCACACCCACTACAATACAGCTGCCAGCCTCACTAGGGCATTCAGAGTCGCTGGATTCAGCCGTGATAACCTCCTTTTCACCCGCTTCGATTTGAGCCCGATGGATATCCCTGATGTTCGCGAACTTCGTGTTGGGATCGATTTGAACAGTCTTCCTCTTCCTCACTGCAGCGTTGGTAACTTGAGCCCTCAGGTGAGCTAGTTGCTGCTGGGCAGCTGCCAGTTGCCAGGCCTGCTCTGTGAAGCCTTTTTTCACCTTCCTGAATAGCAGCCGTTGAGTGCTGGTATCATTGTCGAGTTGGGTGTATAAGTGCAGTTGACCGCTGAGCTCTGCCAGCTTCCTGGGTGTCGACCAGACCACTGCAGAGGAGGCAGAATCCCATGGCTCAACAGGGGTAGTTTGTTGACCATTATGGCATCGCTTTCTGCCCTGACTAGTTGGTTTGGGTGTGGTGGGCTTAGCAGGAGGCTCAGGTAGCACCATAGGGTTCATCAGGGGCTTAACCATCGCCACAGGGTGTAGACCAGTCCACTTCCAACCACTTCTGATGTTCGAGACTGATAGACCAGCAAGTCGAGCCTTCTGGTAACAGTCCAGGAAGTTCCTTTTACCTATAATGGTAGAGTCGTTCCATTGAGACAAGTAACCGAGCTCCTTCCGATAGGCTGACTTAACAGGGCTGAAGACAGACTGGTCAAGAGGCTGGAGGACATGAGAGGAGTGTGGTGGTAAGAACAGTAAATGGATATTGTTAATATAGCAATTCCACATGAAGTCTGTCGTCGTATGACTCCCATGCCCATCCACAATCAGCAGTCGAGCCTCCCCCTCAGCCTCAGGCATAGTCTGTGGGATGAACACCTTCTCTAACCATTCAATGGCAGTTAAGTCTGTAGTCCAGCCATTATCTGTTGCTGTGAACTCCCACCCATCGTATGGAACGAGATGTAATGGAAACCACTGCTGTTGGACTGTCTTCCCCTTGAAAATGATAAGAGGACGAAGTGCCCTACCCAAGGCTGAGATACACTCAATGATAGAGAACCATGCCCTCGACCCAGGTTGTTTCTTGCGAACAGACGTCGTCTCAGCCATACCCAGCACTAACCCATTAGCTCCCTGACCCTCGAGGATGCCAGTCTCATCCATATTATATCTGTTGGCTGGTTTGATGTCCTTGATCTCAGGGATAGCGAGGAACTTAAACCAGTTCCTAATGACCTCAGTAGATGCCCCATTAACGCGTCTAGAATCGATAGAACGACTTCTCTGAACCTTAATGATAGGGTTCCTTCTCACAAAGGCATAGATCCAGCCTTTTCCCAGTGGTTTGGTATCCCCAGCAGCAGCCAGAACTCGCTCTGCGAATTCCTTTACCTGTTGGTGCGTTGGTGCGAGGCCCAGCGAAGCCTGAATGCGAACCCATTGTGCCAGCTTACTCTCCTGGTCAGGAGACAGCCTCTGCCAGTCAGCAAAAGCCACTTTCCTAGTCTGACCACCTTGGAGACGTAGTTGGAGGGTTGATCGTGGTATCCCATACTCCAATGAGGCTCTCTTTTGACTCTTGCCGTTTGAGATGTCCTCGAGAGCCTGACGAAGCTGATCTTCGGTATATTGAGGCATTAGATATAGAAGAAGGTATGTGCAAAAGATGAGCCCATTTGGACGCGAATTGAAAATGTTGTGATAAAAGGAGGTTGGGGGTGGGCATTGGGTTGTGGTGGATTTTCGCGTTTTTGTGGGTGCCAGAAACAGGGGGGTGCCAGGAAGTGGGGGGTTTGACTTAACAAGAAGTGGACTTCCCAGTAAATTGCCAGGGCTGTTTGACGGAGCAGCTGGCGCCACTTCAGGGGCGATGATGATCGTAGCGAGTAGACAAGGGAGGATCCCTATGCTACAGAGAAAGAATGTGAGGCTGTGTGTCTCGTCGAAAATACCACCTCTTTCATCCCCGAAAGGCAGGTCGACAACTTCGACGAACGAAGATCAGGCGAGAGTGTGGCGCATTCTCTTCAGTTGTAAGCTAAAGGCTCGAACCTTAGTCTATTAGCAGTTTGCAAGAACTTCCAAATGAGCAAGATGATATGACCTCGGGATAAGCCTAGAGACAGACAAGGTTTGGTCCCTACGGCGCCGAGTTTAGGCCCGGCTGTTGCACCCAAGCATGTTTCCATCATCCACTGCATGCGCCAGGTGCCAGTAATTAGACTGTTTTATGCGGGGTACAGGATGGGACTGCATGATGTACAGTACTTTACTCGGTTTTTTAACCTAAAGTGTACGGAGTAGTATGCCTGGATAGCATCGATATCCAAGACCGTAGGTAGTAGAGACGTCCGCACATCGGTGTTCCCGCTGCCCTAGCTATGACCCAGATTTAGCCAGTATTCAGGAGAAGGCATGAATCGTTCAAGTCTTGATTACGCGTCCTTATCCAGCTTACGGAATATAAGGATGACTTCAACTGTACTAAGGGAACGCCGCATCGCATGCTCATCATGATGCTGTTCTCTGCATCACTTCGCATTCATTACACTCACTCAGTCTTTCATTAACAAAAACTTGTCTCTCGTTATGATACCGCTGATACTTCTTGGCGCTCTGGCGCCAAGCGTCCAAGCCCTTGCCCTTGCCAAGGGTAACACGACCTTTGAGCAACAGTGCTCCTCTTTTGCAACTTCTCTGCGTATCAACGGAGCAAACTCGACCGCCTCCGAGTACGTCTCGGCCGGAACTACCCTGCAGTTTCCCAATGCCGATCCCACTTGCAGCCGTCCCTCTCAAAATGTCACGGTGAATCTCTGCCGTGTTACCGCGCGCATCGCAACCTCGCCCCGCTCCGGTATCAAGTTCGAAGCTTGGCTGCCCGAGAACTGGACCGGCCGCTTCTTGAGTACAGGCAACGGCGCCCTCGGTGGCTGCATTCAATATGAGGATCTTGGATATGCCTCTTCCCTCGGCTTCGCTTCCGTGGCCACCAACAACGGCCACGACGGTCAGAGCGGACTCCAATTCTTGAACAATGAGGATATGATCGAGGACTTTACGTACCGCGCCCTGACGACTGGTGTCGTTGTCGGCAAGGACGTAACCAAGTCGTTCTACAACAAGCCCCATACCAAGAGCTACTATCTCGGCTGTTCTACTGGAGGTCGCCAGGGCTTCAAGCAGGCGCAGGTCTTCCCCGACAACTTTGACGGCATCGTCGCCGGAGCTCCGGCCTTCGCCTTCAACAACCTTACCTCATGGAGTTGCCACTTCCTCCCCCTCACCGGCCAGCAGGGAGCCGACACCTTCATCCCCATGACCATGTGGCCGACTATCCACGAAGATATCCTGGCTCAGTGCGACGAGCTGGACGGCGTCAAGGACGGCTTCCTCGAATCCCCTGACCTCTGCGATTACAAGCCCGAAAGCCTCCTCTGCGGCGTCAACAGCAACCAGACAGACGCCTGTCTCAACCAAAAGCAAGTCGAAACCCTCCGCGGTATCTACGCGCCCCTGATCGACGCCTCCGGCGACCTCGTCTACCCGCGCATGCAGCCCGGCGCTGAGCGCTCCGGCGCACCGCAGACCTACTTTAGCGGACAGCCCTTTGGCGCCTCGGACTGGTTCAAGTACGCGATTCTGAATGATTCCACCTGGGACCCGGCCACAATCACCCCTGAAGACTACGTCCGCTCATCAAGCCTGAACCTCTTCAACATCGAGACCTGGGACGGCGACCTGTCCCCCTTCCAGAGCCGTGGCGGAAAGCTCCTACACTACCACGGCCTCATCGACGGCACGATCTCCAGCGACAACTCGCCCCGGTACTACGAGCACGTGTCCCAGACGATGGGTCTAGCCCCGGCCGAACTCGATGAGTTTTACCGTCTGTTCCGTATTTCCGGCCTGGCGCACTGCAGCGGCGGCACCGGAGCTGCGTTCATCGGTAACCAGGCCAAGAACATGGCGAGTCTTGACCCCGAGGAGAACGTCCTCATGGCTATGGTCCGCTGGGTTGAGGAGGGGATTGCCCCTGAGCATGTTACCGGAACTGCCTTTGTGAATAACAAAGTGAGCGCAGGCGTCGATTACAAGCGTCGCCATTGCCGCTGGCCGACGCGTAATGTCTTCAAGGGAACTGGGGATTACAAGGATGAGAACAACTGGGAATGTGTACCAATCTAGATAAGACGCCGTTTAGGTAATAGATATCCAGAATCTTGACTTGTCTTGGTTAACACGGTGGTCGCTTCATTTGTTCGCGCGGCCGATTAAAATTTCACCTACCTGATCTCCTTCCAATGCGTTTCGGCCCTTCTGTCGTGACATGCAATATGATGCGGAGTCCTGGAGATGGTACTAAGCCCGGCACAAGTTTGATAAAGGGGTAGTCATGAACATTCATAAGTATTAGTATTATTTGTGTAATCATATCTGACATCAATCCAAACGGTCTTTGCTTCTCGACCGCTGGCTAGCCTCCTGGTACGGGGCTGAAGACTGGGAGCCAATCTCGACAACGCTCATATCTGACCGAACGTTGAAAGTTCGCCCTCTCCAGTTTACCGTCGAGCCACAGAAAACAGCCCACGTCCAAATGGGGAGAGCTAGGAATTCTCTCCCAAGCCAGGCGGGCACCCACTCCAAAAAGGACCTCGGGGGTGCTCCGCCAGGTGTCGCAGTGCCTCTGGCAAACTTGGGCGTGTTCCCGTCCACTTCAACAGTGTACCCAGCATGAAGGCGGTTGTATGTGAACCAGTCAAACGTCATCCAAATAGTTGTAAAAGCCGCCCAGTAGAGGCCAAATGCGCCCCAAGTCTGCGACGTGCCAAAGGTTTTGTGGAACCAGGGAAGGGTAGTGACGGCAAAAGCAAAGTAGCCGCAGCAGGGAAGACTCTCAACACCAGGTTCGACTAAGGTGGCGGCAAGGACCGTCCACTTTCGCGCACGGAGCCATCGAGCGCGACGGGCAAAGTATGCGTGTACAGACATGCCGGCCATTGGCTGAACGGCAAGGTCGCCCATGACGAGTCCGTGGTTCTTCATGCCCGGCAGACTGGACTTCCACAACAGATCGCCAATAAGATGATCCTCACAGATGTACTCAGAGAAGTAGTTGATACCCTTGGGTAGGTTCTTGTTGGGTAATATCGGGTTTTGGGCCGGGTCCGTGACGGTGTCTAAATGCGACTTGCGGAACATATTGCTCTTGCCGACGGCGCAAGGAGCCACGCCAACGGTATTGATTGCGCAGTAAAACTTGGCGTGGCTTGTGGCCATGAACATCTCGTCGAGTCGGCCACCACCTTGACTCTTCGCATAATCGAGGAACGAAACACTTTGGCCTTTGCCGGAGGTGTGTTGCGAGGAGCTGGGCTCGGAGGTCGAAGATAGGAGCGTTTGCTTCTCTGCTGAGATGTCTCCTCGAGACACAGTATCGACGACGATTGGCAGAAGGTGGACAAACTTGTAAGGCTTGACTTGTTTCCCACCTGGTCCGTATCCCAACAGCTTGTCAACCATACGGCCAGCAACGCCCTTGGCAATCCAGATGTTGCAGTCCATAACCCAGATGATGTCTCCTTTGGCCTCTCGGTACGCGCGACTGATATTCCTGATCTTTGGATTTGGGCCTAGGTTATCGATGTGGCCATCAGTGCCATGCAGCAGCGGATCTTCCTCCTCGACCAATAGTCGAGCATCGAAACCAGGGAAGTCCTGCACAAGCTTCACTAAGACGGGGTATGCCGGGTCGCTCTTCTCGGCGACGCAGAGGTAAATCGTCAGTTTGTCGCGCGGATAGTCTTGTCGGAACGAGGACGCTATGCATTCGTAGAGGCCATGCTCAAGACCCTTGACAGGACGGATAATTGTGATGTGCGGTACATCTTCTTTCTTGAGAGATGGGGAGACGGCAGGTCGTAGGCGAGAAGAGTACGAGAGGAAGCTGAAGAAGATCAGTGGATGGTTGCCATCACCCAGGAACTGAACTTACATTCTAACGATACCAATGGACTGCACAGCATAGACAAAGGTGCTCCATACAGCGCAAACGATCGCAATGGCTTGCGCCACGGACGACCAGTCTACCATTATTGGATCGAGGCCGTTTTGCGATGCGCGATGCGCGAAGAAAGGGGTTTAGGATGAGGAATAGTTGATGCGCCTAAATGCCATGAGAGGAGAACGCCGCGGGAGAAGGAAAGGAAGATTCGTCACGAAGCCGCCGACAGCATGGCAAATGTCAGACTCCCGAATCCTACCCAGAAGCGAGGAGATCGGAAATTGGCTGTAAGCTTAGCGGAGACGGGGCCGATAAACTTGCCAGAGTCGGTAGGAGCGGAGGAGTCCCGTGGCATGGGATTTCGACGTGCCCCACCAAGCTCAAAGCTTAAAATTGGGAGCACCAGCCACACATGGGACCTTGAGAGCTGAAAGTGTGGCGCGAGCTTCGCTGAAACCTGAGGATTGATAGCAAGGATACATACCTGTAGGTCTCCACCCGAGTTATTCCGGCCGGAGCCTAATGGGAGCACGGTCCACCTCAGTGGGTGGAAAAGAGTCAAACGGCGGGGCTTTGACGGAAGCGAGCGATGGATACGGCGGAAACCTTTTTCTACGCTGAAATTTTCTGCGCTCAACGCCGTTTTCTTCCTTCACCATCCACACACGTCTGCCGAACAGGATCAAGCTGCCTCTAAAAAGTGAGGTGTTTTTCGGCTTGTATGGCCCAATTGACGGGTGATCTGTCGGCTAGACGGGTGGAATATTCCTCAATCAAGTAAGTTCCTTCAGGGCTCTCTCAATTTCTTCCCTTGGTCCATAAGGTGGTTGCCGCGATTGGCCAAGCCTTCTTCAGTCAACGCGATGACTTTATCGCGCGATTTGATAAAGGCCTGCTCAGCTGCTCTTCCACCTGTCTGTTTGCTATGATGACACCTATTACCCATTGTGCGAAGAGTGCGTCTTCATTGAACCTCTGTGCCGCGAAACAATATAGACTACAACGGTATCTGATGCAAACTTTGGACATCATCTTTTTTTGGTTTTCGAGCACTGAGTCGTGGATAACAAGCTAACCAGTGCCCAAAAGATAGACATGACTTGCTAGTACAATGTCGCAAACTAAAACTACGGCTTCACAGCCGGCGCAGGCTACGACGCCTGCTCAGAGCTCCTCGAACTCTACGACAACGTCGCGGCCGAGAGGCCCTCCGTTGCACAAGATTTACGAGTTGCCTGCTCCCATACGGACATTTCCGCTTCCTAGCTTTTATCCGAATAATCCAATTTCTCTATTCCATGTCCTTTTCGCTTGGACGAAACAATCCTTGTTCCCACCGCCTGCTGAACCGTCCATTGTGCACGAGGGTATCTGGTCCCCAGAATCCAAATCTGTCAACATTATCGACGAGAAGTCCATGCGCGCGCTGTGGGAACAAGGGTTCTACGGCAAGGGCAACTTGAGTCGAAGTGAGCCCAACTGGTTGAAGCGCGAGCATGTCAGACGAGGACTTGTCCCAGGCCAGGTCAGCGAGCTGGTGACGGCAAACAGACGTGAAGAGCGAAGGCAGATGAAATGGGAGAGAGCCAAGACAGAACAAGAAGCTATCAGACAACTGCGAATCCAGGAAGCCCAGCTGGCGACTCAGGTGTTAGGGGATGGGGCAGTTAATCCTCCTGCCTCGGCCGCTGAGGATGAGGCCACCCTTGATGCAACAAAAAATCATGTTCCTGAGCGAGAAGCCTCGACAGATGCGGATGCCCTGCCTGAGCCACTTGTTTCCCTTAAATCAGCGCTCGCCGCCAAGTCCAACCACCAAACAAATGGTGTCGATACGACAGCAATGGCGCCCGTCGCCGGGCCTGAGGCCATCTGCCAGATGACTGCCGAACCCTCTACCATCCAAAGGACATCTACATCAGCTATCGAGCCGGCCAAGATCGTCAAGCCCAGTGACTTCCTTCACTCGATTCAGGATCCTGAGGCTTTCGTCGAATCCGAAAGTGCTCTGCCGTTGGATGAGGTGCCTCTGGCATCACGTCCTCTCGTACGGAGTGCCCCTGTTGGCCCCTTGGAACTGCTATGCCTTCCCAACTCGCACACTCTGTCTGCGACAACAGGTTTGGTCGAGGTTGAGGAACTGAATGGTGGTGCTCAACAAGTCAATGGCTACCACCAGGCTGCGGTATCTCAGGACGTTGGTCTCGGTTCTTTCGAGCTAGACGCTAAGGAATTACCCGTCAACGGCATCACAACTACAGCAGTGATTGCCTCACCGGTCGGACCTTTAGAGCTTCTGTCTCTCCCTAACGCCGAGCTACCTGTGACCAACGGAACGAAGAATATTACCGACAGCCCTATCGCCGACATTACTCCCTCCGAAACACCTAAGCTCTCGACGATCCACGAAGACGCGGGCATGAAAGGTCACCTGATCAACGACTTGATAACGAATACCAATGGGGACAAGTCCGTTCATCAAAATGGGTTGAACGGGGCGGCCAAATCCGCTGTTAGCTCTGTCGAGATCCCATCAACACCAAAGTCGGCCAAACGCCGCAAGAGCGTTCGCTTCTCGCCCAAGGTCGAGTCAGCCACATATCAGCTGTCCGATCCCCCTAGTCCCAGCCTCGCTCTCTTCAACGGAACCAACGGAAAGACGATACCGCCTGTCAACGGCACGCAATTGGGTCCTAGTGTCTTGGAGACAGATGCTGATGACGCGGCTACATCTAACGACATTGAGGAGCCCGAGAAGCTGCCCGAGGTCACTGCAGAGCCTGTCGAGCTCGTGAACAAGGAACATCTCCAGCTCACATCCGAGGAAGCTTTCTTTCTGGCTTTCGGCATGGGTGCTCTTCGAGTTATCGACCCTGCCACCAAGGCTCCGATCCCAACTCCCGAGCTCTTCGACCTCTTTAGACAATACTCTTACTTCCCCCGTCGCCCTACCGAAGAGCTCCAACCGGACGATGGATTCCTGGTGAATTACGCCGTGTACCATCACTTCCGCTCCTTGGGATGGGTTCCCAGAGCGGGTATCAAGTTCGGCGTCGACTGGATGTTGTATGCCAAAGGACCCGTGTTCGATCACGCAGAATTCGGCGCCATCCTCCTGCCATCCTATTCCCACCAATGGTGGAAGGACAGTGACCGCAAGCTGCCGCGCAAGACCTGGCACTGGCTTCACGGGGTCGTCCGTGTCCTATCCCACGTCCAGAAGAGCTTGGTCTTGGTCTACGTCGACATCCCGCCGCCTCCCCAATTAGAAGAGGCGATGAAGAAGGGCCCGGCCGAGGTCTTCAAGTTGTACAAGATTCGCGAAGTTATGGTTAAGCGGTGGTCAAGCAACCGCAACAGATGATTTCCCGCATTTCAGTTTCACGATCTGATCTGGGTGGGCGTTGGAAAAGGGCATGAAAAAGTTTGGGGGCGGAACATACAAGCCGGGTCTTGGTTATGGTTTGCGGTGCTGACCATGCATGGAGATCCAAGGTGTATACGAGTATTGGGAAACGTCTATGCTTGCGTGGGCGGGCATTGGGCACATTGTATGAATAAAACGGAAGACTCGAACTACGGCATATTCGGCGACAGTATGCCATTGTCTTTCTTGCTACATTAGAATACCCCACCAAAACATGTAGGATGATGATGAGGCAATCTATCCTGTCAATTTACAATGGTCTCAGGTGTGCAGGTTCACCTGGCGTCTGCAGTTTTCTCCTTTTCCCACGAGTCACGTCCTCGGCCTCCCGCAGTTTGAACGGAGTGCTTTCGCCGCTCCCCGACCCCGGAGTCAACGTCTGTTCTCGGCCTCCCCAAGACTTTACCAAGCATACCCAAGCCAATTCTTCGTCCCCTTCATCACAAAGCCCCCTTCACAGGTTTACACCACCATGACCACTCAAGCTTTGCACCAAGGCACCAAGCGGCCAAGCCCTGGCCCTCGTGTCCTATTCGGACGAACTGCGACGGTCAATTTTATTCCAGGGACCGAGCGAACCCCACACCGCGCATATGGATTGGGGATGGTGGTGTTTTCCCCGACCCCCCGAAAACCCCGCGATCTATCTGAATCCTTCTAGAGATCTAACTGGACTAGATGCCGTGCGCTCACCCGGCGTGCAGTAGGGTAGCTGAAGCTAACGCCGGCGACAGAAAAATGGAGGTGTCGTGTTTATACCTGCAGTAGATGACGTGAGTAGCATCTCTGCTCGATTCAATTTCCTGCCAATCCCAACCCCAGCTTGCCCAGCAGGAGGGAAAAGAAGAGACGGGAAAGCTAAGGAGCTTTAGTTCTGCTCGGAGAGCTAATTTGTCTCGGAGAATCGTTGCATTCCTACACCAGTTCCGAACGTGGCTAAGCTTTTTAGGGGAGCTAGGGGGGGAGAAGCGAGAGGGGTAATCTACTAAACTTTGTCTTTCATCCCATTGACGGAAGAAAATTCCCCAAGCTACGGATACTACACCATCGCGAGTGGGGGACAGCCAAGCATCCCAGCATCATCCCAGACCTGCCAGGGGTGTGGAGTAGTGTAGGTACCCGTCGTTTACTTTTTGCCTTCGCCAGATTCTACGGTGTAATACCCTAAGATTTTGTTGCTCGATCTAATTTTCCCTGCAGGACTTTGGGACGTTCGGGTTCGTCAAACGGTCAAACGAAGGGAGAAGGAAGCTAGGTTCCTGGTCCTGGAGGTGCGGCCGTCGGCTTGGGTTGCATCAAGGATTCGAGAGCTTCTGCTTGGCGCAGGCGTTCGACCGGGGACGGCGAGGCAAGGTTTAGGTGGTAGTTGAAGCTGTCGGTATACTCGTAAAGGGGGGCCCAAGATGGTTCTCGTATATGAAGAGGATGGACGTCCGGTCCGACGACCTCCTGGTGTTGCTTTTGCTTCTGCTTCTCCAGCTTCGTCTTCAGCTTCACAGTCATTACCACGCAAACCCCAGCAAACAACACCTGAAGAGTCGAACCAGACGACTACAGAAGACACCACGATGAAGCCTCAAGCCCTCCTCTCGGCCGCGGCCTTCCTCCCGGCCTTCGTCTCGGCTGCCCCGTCAGCGGACAAGAGAGACGCGAAGCCTCCCG